GACTTACAGTTTAAGTTCCACCAAGCAGTAGGGAATACTGCCAGCCTCATTAGCCTATTGCAAATGTTCACAGACCCATGTCCAGAGTTTTTTCTAGAAGAGAGGAAATGAGAGCATAAGAGCAGAAAAGGAGGAAGATGACATGTCAGGAGGAAATCCCACAAGCAGCCTCACCTCCTTCACTGCCACTACACTGCCTGCTCCCTCCCTGCTGCTACCCAGAAAAAGAGAAACTGAATCCCATGCTTGAAGTGCTGTCTGCCTTCTCAGTTTGTGTTAGTCACTCCCCAGACCCTCCCATTTCTCCTCCTAGGCTTCTCGTCTCCATCCATCAACTTGCTAATCTCTTCCAGGAAAGGCTGATAAACCACCCTTCCCAGTCCTGCCCTTGGGTCTCTGCTCTTGCCTGTCACACTCCCAGAAACACATAATTTCCCATAAGGACCTTTCATCCCCATCACATGCTCACAAGCACACATCATCCCTTTGAGGCTGGCTATCTCACTCCTCCAGCAAATTTCTGATGGTGTCACAGAACTGAGTTGGCTACAGTTTTAGAAGGTGATTTCCCAAAGGTCAAAAAGTTTCTGAAGCCCAAAAGCTAGGCTTGATTTTCTTCTCTCTATTTATATAAAATTATCCAATATTTTAAGACAATGTCTAAAAATCAAAGGATTGTCAAAAGGTCTCAACCATCCACTAAATCTCATCAGTGTGACTTCTTTCTTTCTCAAGCTGACTTCTGAAGTTGCAGCAACCTCTTGAATTTCCCTTTTTGGGGTTCTACAAAAGGTCTTTATGTCAATGGAAAGATCTGGTGGCATATTCTGCTGGAAGCCTGAAAGACTTCTTTGAGATTAGGAGCAAACTGTTATCCTCAAAAGGCTTCCTTCTGGAAGCTGGCCCACATTTAGCATGCTGGATTCTGTTCTGGTCCTCATATTCCTGGCTCCCACAGCTCAGAAATGATCCACTTAAATGATAAAGGTTCAAAGAAGGGCAAAGATTATCAAAGGTGTGGGGAAACTGAATAAACTGGAACACTGTCAGCCCAAGAGCAATGACTGTGGTGGGATATGATAGAGGTCTACAATATCTTCATTGCCCAGGAAAGCGTGGCTAGGACCAGCACTTGAGCATCTTTGCGGAAAAAAGAATGGAGGGCATCAAATTAATTAGTTGGTTCAAAATAAGATAGGTCTTATTCAAGAACTTGTAAATCCATGGAACTGCTTTTCAGGGCTCAGAGAGGGATAGGAGAAGGATAGTTTAGAATTTATTAAAGAGAAGTCATGGAGTCAGGAACATCTCCCAAGTTGAAAATTACCAGCACCATAAAGAGCACCAGAAGGGAAGAATCATTAGTTTACCTTGTTCTTGCTCTTCTCTGGACAGCTGCTTGTAACCACTCTTGGAGGCAAGATTTGGGCAAGATGGACTCTTGGTCTGAAACTAGTCTGCTGTTCCCACAGGCCCCACAGAAAACCCCTGGGCAAGAACAGTCAGACCATCAGCAGAATTCACCTGCCTGCCTTTAGCATCCAGCTCATCTCTCACTTCCCTCCTGTCCTGCTGTAAGTTAGTGTCACTTCATTCCGCAGATAACTCCTGGATGGGGCAGCAGGCAACTTACCACTCCCTGTTCCTTGTCATCTTTGCCACAATGTGCTTGGAACAGTCTTTTCCAACTCAGGGTAGGCATGTCCACCCCATGTACAGCACCATATAGATATTTATAAAATAAGTATCCTGTTTATTAATTTATTTTTAAATATATATATATTTGATACCTACAATGTATATCCTATGTCCAGCTGTCATTTTGAGGAGTGTTCAGAGTGAAGAAAGCCACATGCACACCACAGTAGTGTTGCCATAGGTACAAGCAGAAGCCTGAGTGTTTGTTGCTTGGATATGAAAGATTTTTCAGGCAGGAAAAAAAAAATTAAAGCATCACAGTTACTGTAAACCCAAGAAATGAGGGAAGATGTGCAAACAGGTTTGGATGAACAGGTTAAAAAGCAGTGCTTCTGGAAACTGATTCTATGATTAAAAAGTTCACAAACCTGGATGGTAGGAGAAGCTCTAGACTGGTGGATACCTTTGGGAGCTTTGGGTTCCTGGCTCTGTTGTAACAGCCAGACCTCTTGCCCTGCCCAGGCATTTTCCCCATGGTTACAGACAGCACTTTTCCTTTGGATTGCTCTTTAATGGTTTTTCTCCACTGCAGCACCTGCTGAAGCGATGACAAGCAGGATACCAGTGAGTTAGAAACCTGTGAACCATCTGACTTGGTACTGAAGTGGGGCTTAAGAGTTAGGCTTTAAACAACACATCACATAGGATATGCCATCAAATTCAGCAACTTCCCCTTGATGAAGCCAGTACTTTGAGTTGCATTTGAATTAGCCGAGTTACTTCCATTGAAATGTAGAACTATAGATCATCTAAGTTGGAAAAAACCTCTAAGATCATCAAGTCCAGCCATTAACCCAACACTGCCAACTCCACCATTAAACGATGTCCTCAGGTGCCAAATCTACATATTTTTTTAAAACCTCCAGGGATGGTTACTCCACCCCTTTCCTGGACAGCCTGTTACAGTGCTTGACAACCCTTTAGGTGAAGAAATTTTTTTCATAATATCCAACTTAAACCTTCCTTGGGGAAGCCTGAAGCCATTTCCTTTTATCCTGTTGCTTGTTACCTGTGACAAGAGACTGGTCCCCACCTTGCTACAGCATCCTGTCGTGTGATTGTAGAGACCGATAAGGTCTCTCCTGAGCCTCCTTTTCTCCAGGCTAAACACCTCCAGCTCCCTCAGCCACTAGATATGTGCTCCAGACCCTTCCCAGCTCCATTGCCCTTCCCTGGACATGCTCTAGCACCTCAATGTCTTTCTTGTGCTGAGTAGCCTCTTTCTTGTAGTGAACCCAGGATCTGAGGTGAGGCCTCACCAGTGCCGAGTACAGGGGGATGGTCACTGCCCTGGTCCTGCTGGCCACACTATTGCTGACACAGGCCAGGTGCCATTGGCCTTCTTGGCCACCTGGGTACAGTCTGGCTCATGTTCAGCCACTGTCGACCAGCACCCCCAGGTCCTTTTCCACTGGGCAGTTTTCCAGCCACTCTGCCCCAGGGCTGTAGCACTGCAGGGGTTTGTTGTGACCCAAGGGCAGGACCTGGCACTTGGCCCTCTGAAACCTCACACAGTGGGCCTCAGCCCATCAATCCAGCCTGTACAGACACCTCTTCAGAGCCTTGCTACCTTCCCATCCACGTTGGTGTCATCTGTGAAATGACTGAGGGCGCACTTGATCCCCTCATCAAGATCACCAATAAAGATATAAAACAGGACTGGGCCCGGTCCTGATCCCCAGGGGACCCACCGTCTGCCAGCTGGATACAGCACTTTTCACCACTACTCTCTAGGCCTGGCCATGCAGCCAGTTTTTACCCAGTGAACAGTGCACACGCCCAAGCTATGAGCAGCCAGCTTCTCTAGGAGAATGCTGTGGTAGACAGTGTAAAAGGCTTTGCTGAAGTGCCTATCTGCTGGTTGTCCTGCACATGCTGCGTGATGGCAATCAGTATGCTCTGCTCCATGAGCTCAGGTTGCCAGGCCTGGAGTTCCCTGGATTCTTCTTCCAGCCCTACTTGTAGATGGGCATCAAGTTTGCCAACCTCCAATCAGCTAGGACCTCCCCAGTGAGCCAGGGGAAATGATAAATGATAGAAAGTGGCTTGTTGAACACTTCCACAACTCTCTCAGTGCCCTTGGGTGGATCCCATCTAGCCCCATAGACCTGTGGGTCTCTAAGTGATATAGCAGGTCTTTTCCCTGATCATTTCCCCTTGGATCATGGGGGCTTCGTTCTGCACCCTATCCCTGTTGTCCAGCTCACAGGCCTGGGTATCCCGAGAACGAGGGGTCTTGCTACTCCAGACTGAGGCATTAAGGTGGCATTAAGTACTTCAGCCTTTTCCTCCTCCTTTGTCACTATCCTTCCCACCACATCCAACATAGGATGGAGATTGTCCTTAGCCCTCATTTTGTTGCTGAGGTATTTATAGAAACATTTTTTATTGTCTTTTATGGCAGTAGCCAGGTTAAGTTCTAGTTGGGCTTTGGCCCTTTCAGTGTTCTCCCCAACATCCTTGTAGTCCTCCCAGGTTGCCCCTTCTTCCACAGGTCATAAACTCTCCTTTCTTACCCAAGTTCCAGACAAAGCTCTCTGTTCAGCCACACCAGTCTTCTTCCCCACTGGCTCATCTTCTGGCCCATAGTGATGCCCTGCTCCTGTGCCTTTAAGATTTACTTCTTGAAGAATATCCAGTCTTCCTGGATTCATTTGCCCTTTAGGACTGCCTCCCAAGGGACTCTGTTGCTGAGCATATGTTACCCAAGGCAAAAATGGTATCTCAGATCACAGAAATTCGGAGACCCATGTTATCATGAAATATGAGTCTCTGAGTTATTTGACCTTGTCTGCTGGAAATTGGCAGAATCCCCAAAAACTGAGGAGAGGGAGTAGTTTACTTGACATCAAGAAGGCTTATTCTTTCATCTCTTGTCAATAAAATTTATGGAGTATTAATGATCATATGAAGCTGAAAGTTATGAATCAAGTTTGTTACATAATTATTTTTCTTCACATTTTATCTGTAAAGTATCCGACTGCCTGTCTGAGTCTTTCCACTCAGCACCTTCATGAGACTATGCAAGTACGAAGGAATGTGACTTAAAGGCCAGACAGGAGGAAAAAAAAGGAACTAAGCTATTCTCTATGCTTTTCTGTGATGTTTCAGTGTGTTATCAGAAGCCAAGGACTTCAGGGAAAGATGTCCTAGATAGAGGCACCACTGAGGAGGGGGGAATTTGCTGGGTATCTACAGCACCAAAGAAATCTATATGCTAAAGCAGATTTACAAAGATGCAGTAATGATTCTTCCCCACATGGTTTAGCAAACCCAATTACAGTTACACTTCCACAGATGACTCCAAATGCTGCTAAAAGAGTTTATTAAAGACCATACTAACAGTTCTCATAACAATGGCACGTACAGTGATTCAAAATCATGACAAATAGCGTGGAGTTTTGAAGAGCATTATTATAACACACCTTGGACAAGAACAAAGCAGATGTGCTGTCTCAGAACTCTACAAGCAGGCCTATGAAATACAAGAGTCACATCATACAGCTGTACAAGTATCAGAGAAAATAGAAAGGAAAAAAAAAAAAAGTCATTCAATTGCAGTCCTTGAATTTATTGACAGTATTACAGTACTTTATGGGCAAGGACTGGCTTGTTCCAGCTGCACTTTCCAGAGCACAAGGGCAGCTGGAAAAGCAAAAATATCCCCAATAAAAACCCTCCAACAAACATACCTCAGGTGCAATCACCACTCCAGACCTTCCTGCTTACGAATTTTCAGTCAGAAATTCTGACCTCCCTGCAATTACTTCGCTCAGGACAGTGTTTTGTTTTGCAAGAAAACAAAAGCAGGATGCTTCTTTAAGACAGTGCAAAAATATTTCAATGGTATCATCAATGGTATCGTAAGATTAATGACAATCAGCGTGGATCAATCACAGAATCTTCAAGATCAGAACCGAACGAACGTGCTGCCCCTTGACCAGCACTCCAGACTGAGGGCTTGCAGAGGGGAGGCTTCTTCCTCTCTCCCAGGCAAGCCATTGTTTCTGGGTTCATAGTGAGGAATGGTCTCAGCTACTCCAGGGTAACAAAATGCTACAGAAAGCCTGCAAGTATGAAATTATCCAATCCTCTGTCAAAAACTAACAAAAGAATATTGAAGTGGAAAAAAAGTACATAGCAGCCATGTAATTTGCCACGGCTCTAACTCTACAGCTCTAACGTTGATCCCTTCCTTACCACGTTGGTCACGGTAGCCAGAGCGTGCCTGGCGGAGCTGAGCAGCTCACAGCACCCCCCCGGCGGCGCGGGATTCCCGGCAGCACGCGGGGATTTGTGTTCTCCGAGACACACGATCTAATTACAATGGCAGGGCAGCTGCCGCCTGCTCCCGGTGTGTTGCCTTCGCAGCTTTTGGCTATGAGATCTTAGGCCCCTCTGCACTTGTCTCTCTGCAGCACACCCATGGACATGCATTCATCCAGGGTGCATCTCCAGAGCGGTCTGCCACCTCCTTTTTTAAGCAGATGTTGAGGTGTCTGCATATCATGTTGGCATAATCTGTGACAGAAGATCCCCAGGCAGCTCCACAGTACATGAATTCAATGAGAGATAACTGTGCTTTGTCAAACCCCCAAATCATCTCCTCCCAATTTCCACACAGTTGTGTGTTTGCATCGTAGTGAGATTATGTAGAACCTTTTTAATGCCTGCCAACTTCAGAGGATAAAATCACAGTGCTGCATATCAACAAAACCCAGCAACTCCAGCCTCCAATATAAAATAATTTATATACACAAAGCAGAATTTGCATCTTAAATAAGAAGAGATTGTCTCATTCTCTATGGTGTCTTACCCAGCTACTAAAAAATAAATAATTCACATCAGATTGATGGATTTGTTTCCTATACAGCACACGTGCGCTATCGGAGCTGACAAAGACAACATGAAAAAAAACCTTTTGCAATTAATAAAAGAGAATTGTTGAACACTTGCACATATTGGCACAAGGCAGAAGAGAATAGGGAACATTACACAGCTCAGCTCAGGTGCCTTCCTCTGTGGAGCGGGATTCAGATTTCAACTTTACAAATTCTCTGGCAACTTCATCATTGGTTCTCTGAGAGAGAATCCTCAGGATTGTAAGTCCAGTCTCATCCATGTGAATCCTGCGCCCGAGGGGGCACCAGCAAGCACAGCTTCCTTTGTCTGCTATGTCTCTGAGCTGCATCACTGCTATCCCCAGTACCCGGTCCTCCCGAGCAAAGCAGTAATCCTTCACACAGACTTGGAGCTCGTAGGCATCGGGGCCATCTTCGTTCCCCAGGATGCTGAAAGACACACACAGTTTCTAAAGTGTATAAATTCCTCTGCAAAATAAAGGTATCAGCCACAGAAACTCATTTCTACAGAAAACCTTGGTCAGAGAGGGAGAAGTGAAACTTATAGCATGTGAGCATTTTTGCTGATTTATAGCAGATAAGACAACCTGGTTACTTAAAAAAAAACCCAACAACAACCCTTATCAAGTTGCCTTTGCAACTTGTGTGTGTGTGTTAAACTGTGAAATGAGAGGAGCATGGAACGTTAAAGCCATGCTAATAGATTTTCAGCTCAGAAGACTTTAAGCATTTCTGCTTCTGTTAAGGTTGCTTCATTTCAGAATTACTATTTTAATTAGATAAGGTCTTTGTTAAAGATTCAAACTCTTCCATTAGAGCAAAAGCTAATAAAAATAAATCCCCAACCCTTCTGATGTTTCTAAAATTAAAAGAAGGAAGGGAACAAAATCTCTACACTTAGAGGAAGCATGCCTTTTCCCACAGAATAGAAAAATTGTATGAACATTCCCTCTCCTCCAGATTTCCACACGCTTTTGCTGGTCAGCTCTGCTCCACTCATTTTTACATGTACAGCTGAGTGAGCACTAGCCTGCAGCTCCCTTTGTTGAGCCTTCAAAGAAGGAATGTGTCTTTGTAATAATGAGAGAAAGCCAAATAGGAAGAGATCAATACTCGACGTTGAGAAACACCGCAATTTTAGCAGTGCAAGTACCAGTTCCAAGGGCTGTATCCTTGGAAACAAGTTCAGAAAGCATGTCCCGCAGGTCAAATAGGGATAAAAATGCACACTAAGACTAAGAGAACGAAAAACATTTAAAGAACTTTTAGCATCAATTCTACCAGTAAAAGATACAAAGTTCATTAAAATGACAGAGTAAAATATGTTCATAGGACACACAGTGCATTTCAGAAGGTAGCTAAAGGGCTCTGCTGGTACAGAACAGACCTCAGCATCCCACCTGCAGCAAAAATTCCCCTGATCTAGAGTTTCCTGCCAAGGAACCAGGCACGGGGCCAAGCTACTGGTTCACACACTCTTCTGGGCCCTGAGCAGGCTGTTTGTGGACACCGAAAAACCCTATCTGCCCTCTGCATCTGCACTTGCCACGCCAGATCCCTAGGCTATTTTTCACACTTACAAGTGAAAGGTTTCATTGTATTTTGGAGCCCAGTTGTTGCTCTTTGACTTGGTTGTGAACTTCCTCTTCTTGTCACTCTGATGGGGCCCAATCATGGTGATTTCAACAAATGGACGGAACATGCCAGACGTCTGCCACTTCAGGTCGTTGGCTGCCACAACTGGAAAAGAGAGTTATCATCTGTTCCCTTTCCGCTCCACCCTGCTTCCAATTTCTTGTTTCAGGGGACAATGTCACAGCATGCATGGGCAGTGTATGTTTGGTAGTACAAAAGATATATATGCTTTTTTGATCTCATTTAAATTCTGTGAAGGGAATTTAATGTTTGGGACATACAGCTTCTTCTGTATGCATGCCAAAAAATTAGCCAGAGAAATCAGGCATCCCTGCAGCTCCAGGCAGGCTGCCTTGAGAGTTCAGTGCTTATATCTACCTTATAGGTAGGATAAGAAAAAAAAAGGGGGACTTTTTGGAGGCCAATATTAAGGTCTCTGTTGAAAAGGAAAATGAGACTGCAGGTGAGACAAACAAACAATGTGAGCTGTGAGTGGTTCCAGAATCCACAATTATTAGATTTTTAATTCTCTTTCTGTCTCAGGTCACTGCAGGGAACACACTGAAGCAGAGGAAATAGCTCTGAAAATCAGCTTTTGCACTGCAGTGCAGATTTAGCCAGAAGAGAGGCCTGAAGAACTCTTTATGTAAATCTTTAGAGGAAATTAAAGTAGTTAAGTATGCTGTATTCAACTAAAGGAGACGAAGGAGGAAGAGGAAGCCTGGGATGAATCACTACTTTGGCTATTTTCAGAGCATTTCTTCAGGGACCAACGTGGCCTTCAGGATGGGGGAGAGGAGCCTCTGAACTCTTACTGGTTCTGTGATCTCTGGCTATACACTGAACAGTTTCGCAACACCACCCTGTCACGCTGCCCCGTTCTCTGCAGCACAGACTAAACTGTGGCGCCTGGTGAGAGCCATCATCTGATTTTTGTTTACTGCTTATACCGTTGCCAATAAACAACAGCGCTGTACATTGCCGTGTCACTGGCTGGACAAGCTCATTTGCTGTTTCTCTACATGTTCCTGATGTGAAACAGAGAAAACAGTTGTGGACTCAGATCCCTTGAGCTAACACAGAAATATCATGGCTGCCAACTGGAGGTTTGCCTCGATGCAGTCACGGAGCCTGAGCAATAACACGTTTTGCCATACCTTTCACCGTGACCTTGTGTTCACCAGTCCCTGGGTGCGTGTACAGGTCGATCTGTATGGACACTTCACCCACAGGATCATCCACACCGGAGCCTGTTGGAAGAAAATGGGGCACCCCCCGCGCACACATGGATTACTGTTTATTGGCACCAATCTTGGCCTCAGCAAGAAAACACGATGTTTTCACAGTGCACCTTCCATAGCCAGCTTTTCAGTCAACACCAATAATGTCACATTAATGCAAGATATCATCAGGCTCGCATGCCCAACACGCATGAACACTAACATTTCTTGCACTCCACCGTGAAGATCACATCCTATTGAGAATAATAGCAAGGATTTCAAAAGAATTTAAAAGACCTAACACTCAACAATGGACCTTCACAGAGAGCAAGGATTTTTCAGAGGTTCCTGCCAAGGTATTGTGTGTACATGCAGGCATTCCAGTGGTGGGCATCAGCATTCCTGTCCGCTCAGGGAAGAAGGGAGGACAAAAACCCCAACAAACAAAAAGAGGGGCAGAGGACATAACACAAGAGAGGAAGTTTAGGGGAAAAAAATACATAGATGCTAGTGATTTGCACAGAGCTATAGTGCGGTCTCACCCTCCAAGAACCTTTTTCCATGTTGCACATCAATTGTCATCCTGATTGCCTATCTGCTTCCCTTTGGAGGATAATGAGAACCCCTTCTCTGTTGTGCACCAAAAATGATGAGAGAGAAGTAATCACAATTTGCATACTTGTTTCCCTTTATCAGTTATCAGGGAGAAAACCAGATTTAGCTTCAGAGAGGAAAAGATAATGTGTTGCAACAGAGGGAGAAGATCTCATGAACCTCACCATTCACGTATTATGATTTTTTCATCTTTTTAACTTTTAATCATGATTATCATGGAATATGTAGGAGTGCCATTTTTCTGGGTAGTAAAATCAAGATGTCATGTAATTACAGAATAAGACTGCTTAGCAAATGAAAATGAAGTCTTTGATAAGATAGCGAGATTAATTTTGCTTTCGCTTTGATAACTGCCTGACCTCAGGTTGACAATTAGCAATGCTGTTGTAATTGAGGTACCTACAGGGTAATTGAGTACCTATGAACAACAGTGTTACTTTGTTAGTTTTGAGGCTGAGACACATTAGTAAGTGAAAAACTGATCTGTTTGAAATTCTAGATAAGGAATCAAACATTTTGATTAAATCTAATAAGTCAACTTTCATATGAATGATCTGCAGTAAAACCACTCATTTAAAATACAAGAGGTCGAGAGGTAATCTGTTCAATTCTCTGAAGAAAATTACATGCCACAGAACTGTAGGCAGTGAAAGTCATATTAATATACATGTAAAAGTATCTGAGTAACCAAAAGAGAACCTCAAATTATTACCTTAGGGTAGATTCTAATGCTTGACCTGAGTACAATAAACAGTCTTTAGGCTGTAACAAACATGATTTTGAACGTACTGTTTCCTCCCCACTTAGAAGGACAGTGTTACTTTTTTGTATATAAGCATAGAGCTTTAAAATCGGTAGGCTTAATTATTGACCTGACTCATCTGATGGTGTGGGTCTGTCACTTACACTGTTGGCGTTTTCCATAGGAACAGACAGGACTGCCAACAGTATATAACTGCCAAATCCACGTAAACATCAGCCAACAAACACTCAGGTCTTCATTTTATGGATCTTTAGTGTAATTTATACATTATAAAGGAGACACTGATGCTTCAGAAAAATGATGGTGGAATTATGCCATTACCTTTGAGGAAGATAGAATTTAGATTATTGTTTTATTCCTAGCTTTGTTCTTTCCTTTTCATACAAAAACCTTATTCAACTAACTGAAATTACAAAAAAAAAACCCACTTTGAAAAATGCCAGCTGAGCACATACAACTGTGTGCATGCACATGCTTGCACATGCAGTGACAAGCAGATTTAATCCTTAACATGAAAGTCTCATTGGCATTGCAATACTGAAAGGTGAAACTGCAGAACTGAGCTCGTGCAGTGGGTTACAGATGTATTTCACCTAAGATAATAAAAAGATTTGGGCAGCAAAAAAATAAACTGAGAGATGAAACATTACAAGATGAAACATTATTTTTTTTTAGGGGTCTCCTGACCACTCAGACCTTTAGCTATTCCCCTTCAAGCCAGGTGGTTCAAGCTTGGCATAACCTTGAGTGCAAATCAGACATTTCCATGTATTACAGTAGCCCTTCTCAGCAAACCACACACATGCAAGTCCAGGTCTTGAAATACACAGCCCGTGGTAAAGGGTGGGGGAACAAGTCTGCAGCATCTCCCAAAAAACAGTCCATTTTCAAGACAAGGTTCATAACCCATTAATAAATCTCAAGCCTGGGGACAGGCTCTCAGGCAAGGTACAGACTTCTAAACCGCGCAACCTGTGGCTCTGTCTGTGGGATGCAAGCATTCAGTGGAAGTTCACTTCTACAGGGAACTACAGGAAACAGGACTCTGGAAAAGGTTTCTGAGCATGGGTAAGATGACTTCAAAAGCAAGGCAGTTGGGTAATGTTGTTATGGTAACAACATTAATCTTGAACATACCCTTATCAGGAAGAACGTCCTCATTAGCGGTAAACCTTATACCTTTCCCATCATGCACTGAGACATGAATTCAAAAGGTAAGAAGCAAGCAGGATAAAGAGAGAAGAGTATGAATTACAATACAATCAGCAGTGTCACTTAAACACAAGACAAATATTCTAGCTCTTAATAACAAACAAAATATCCTCCTAGGTCTTCTGCTCCAGCCCAAGCTTTGGAGAGCAACGCTGTCTGTGAGTAAGGGATTATCTGGGTTAGAACAGAAGCAGAATTTGTGCTGGCAAAACTAAACTGCAAGCCCTGATCCAGATCTGCAGAGCAAATATTTAACAGCATAGTGCTATCGAAGCCTGAGTAATAAGGAAATGAGAGCTGTAGGTACCTCACAAACTGGAAGAAGCAATCATTGGGCAGTGAAGTAAGAGAAGCAAGAAGCATTTAAATAATTCTGCATAAAGCCATGTCCTCCCATGGGCTTGTGGGACACTTGACTTATGCAAAGGGAAACACTGGTCACAGCTGTAAATAGAGGTGCTGTCCTTTCTGCCCCTTCAACGAGTGGGCAGATCTCCAAACCCACCTACCAACTGTGAGTAGAAGTGTAAGCAAGTAATATCCTTCTTTAGCCCAAATCCCAGGAGAAACTCATGCCTTTCTCAGAGATATTCCATCACAGATATTAGGTGGAGGATCTCAAATCTTTCATTCCCCAAACAGAATCCAAAACTCTCAAGCACACTAATATACAAGATGCTGATTTGGACCAGCTCAGCCTACTATGCCTGGTACCTGTTCTACAAAGTGGCTCAGATAAGTCACAAAAAATGCCCTCAGTCAGCTATGAGATATAATTGATTACCTCGCAACATGTGCATTTTATGTCCTAAAGCTAGAGTTTCATTCTTTCTAAGCTTCTTAAAAAATACATAAATAAATACCCAGGCACACATTTCTGTGGCAACCCTCTATCCTGCTGCTCAGAGATTATGTTCTATTATCTTTGTGTTTTGGCTAAATATTTGCCCCCAGTGAAGTTCTACAGTCAACTCATCATTGCATAAAGCTGCTTTCTCATATCAGCTTTGAATTTGTCACTTTGTGACTTCAATGGAGCAATTTCTTTTTCTAATTTTAAATACTCCTGACTGGCATGGACTGGAGGAGGGCATTGCATTGCAGCACACTTCCTTGTATCTTGGGTCATCATGACAACATAAGAGAATCCACTTAAAAAAATAGCTTCAATTCATGGTTTGGATATGTATGTGAAACATTTTCATAGAGCAGTAGAGACTGAAAGCACTCAAGTGTTCACTCAAGTTCCCTGTTAAAAAGTGTTCTGAGTAACTGATGGCAACAGCCAAATTTCCGGAGTCCCTTGTGAATGTAGAAGTCTTTGACCTGTCTGGCCACTGGATGTCATCGTTGCTCTGCTGGGACACAGCTACAGGACCATTCTCTCAGAGGCAGGTACTGACTTTTAGTTAATTTCAATGTTTTAATGCAGTATGTTTCAACCTAAGCAAGACCAGACCATGCTGCTAAAGGCAGGGATCACAGAGTTACAGAATCATCATGGTTGGAAGAGACCTTCAAGATCATCTAGTCCAACTGTCAACCCAGCACCACCATAATCCCCCTTAAACCATGACCCCAAGCACCACATCCACACCTCTTGAACACTTCCAGAGATTCTGTTATCTCCCTGGGCACCTTACTCCAATGTCTAACCACCCTTTCAACAAAAAAATAAATTCTAATATCTAATCTGAACCTCCCCTGGGACAATTTAAGGCCATTTCCTCTCATCCTTTCACTTGAGACATGGCACAGCAAATTCCCACCTCACTTCAATCTCGTTTCAGGTCCCCCAAGTCTCCTCTTCTGATGATTCAGCCCCCCACAATTACACTCAACCTTTCACTTTAGAAACAAACCTTGCTTTGCTTACGAAATCTCTGTACTTTCTACTCAGTTAGAAGAATGCCAGTATCAAGCACGCTCATTTGCACAAATGGGAAAAGTTTGTCAGCTAAGGAGTGCTTTCCCCTTGATTCTGGGGCTCGGTGTGATGGTATGCTGGCAGAGTTAGTACCATCTGGGTGGTTGCCAACTCTCATAGTCTTGGAAGGATTAAAGGAGAAGGATTCCATGCAAAAAGATGGCAGGAGGACACCCCTATGGAGCTCTGAGTTTGCTGCTGAGATGAAGTAGCTTAATGACATATATTTAAACAGCCCGAGAGCTTAAATGCATTAGTTTTGGTTTTGACCTAACCTCTAGTAGCACCTATAGCCTCTTGGTGAGATTCATAGTCAGCTGGTGAAGGTCCTTGACTAGAGACCAAATTATTCTCTACAACAATCTGGAGATATTCACATGGAAGCAATGAAAGATAGAGACAATTAACTGTTTATCCCTTCAAATTCAATGAAATAGTACCACTAAGCCATAAGGCTTCCCAGAGAGCCACCAAAAACTGTGGTGACCCATCCCAGCAGCTTATTAATATGTTGTGGTGATCTGTAAACATCTAGCTCCCACATATCCTTTAGGTCCATGACTCATCACACTTCTGTCAGTCAGCTTTAGTCAGGCCTGCACGGGCTGTGCTGGCAGCTGGCCTGTGACACAGGCACTGACTACTTTCTGCAGTGGTGTCTTGCTGAAATGGTCCCCCACACCACCGTGTTAAGTCTCGGTACAGTAACTTCAAATTTCACTTAAGTCACCCACCCACATTAATTCATGAAACGTGACTGATAAGGATTGCAGAGAAAAAAGACCACAAACACCCCAAGCCTTATGTTCCACATATCTCTGCTGTCTCAAAATGTAGTCATGGAGTGGGAAATAACCCCCTTTTCCTCCTTCCCAGTTTTAAAAGCTCTGAACTGTCACGTTTCCAGAAACGTTGCTGCCAAAAGCACTCTACAAACTGGCAGTACAAGACAGAGAAATTATGAACAGAGTGGAGAGCTCCATTCAACTCTGCCAACAATACAAAAGAGTCTTACCCTGAGCTGTCTGACTCTGGACAAAGGTTTTGATGAGAGTGTCTGTGGTCTGAGTGTAGAGAGAGAGAGCATATCGAAGAGACTGCAGGTCTGGACTCTTCTCCAAGAAGGTTTTTTTCAGACCATTCCCACCAGCATGGAAATATTGCTAAGAGGAAAAAGAAACAGGAAAAATACTGAGCAAGAATTGCAACCAGCAACAAACACATATGTGCTATTGCATGTGCAGATAGGAAAGAGCTGGAAAAATTCACAAAACAGCTTCTGTGCTGGAAATCCAGCTCTTAGACCAACTGATACCAACTGCTCATGGCTTTCCTCTTCCAAAGCACTGTATGTATGCTGACTCCCAGCATGCCAGTTACCTGAGCCTATTCAGGTTTAAACAAACTCTTGCCATTTCCTGAACTGGGACAGGCACTATCCTCCCACACAGGATTTGGGGATGGAGTAAGGGAAAGACAGAGACAGAAATGGAATCACTTACTTTGATTGTATCCAGTGCCAGGTCCAGAACAGCACACTGCTTTGGAGTGAGACTCCTAGTTTCTTCTCTCACCATATGATCCTGCAAACAACCATTATATTTGACACGGGCATGCTATGAGAAGGTAAAGAAAAAGGAGGCCCCACTATCATCACTTTTTCTGGATTCATGCTGTAGTTATTTGGTGACAGCATTAATTCAGCTCTTTAAGGAATGCTTAATGGAATATCTCAGTCATTTATTACAGCTTAACTTGAAAATAAACTCATTTTCTCTCTTTTTTTTGCGGCCGCAGGACACATAAATAAGGAAAGAAAGTGGACAGAGATAAGTGACAATTTAAAATCACAGTCTGCCTCTCTAGAAAGCTCAAACAAAAGTCTGTCTGCTACCACTGTCATTCTAGAGCAGCTACAACAAAACTCCCAAAACACCACCTAAATCAAGGAATTCTGGTAACTATAAGTCAAAATTGTGATATGTTGTTTCTGGATTTTTTAATTCTTCTAGCTACAAAGATCACTAATTCATCATGTCATCAGTGTCATCTTCTTTTGCTAAAAGAACACGTTGTTCCCATTAAGACCCACCATCTCTAATAGCAAACAGCCAGAAGTCACTTGGTAAAGAATTCCCTTTCCTGAAGTGGGAGCACACCCCTGTTAAGACTCCTGGCTGACAACAAGGATGTGCCATTCTTTGGTGTTTCACCAATCTCTTCTCTCTGATGCTTAGTCTATGTCTCAGGGGAAGACAGCATATTTTAGGAAGTTGCGCTTTGCACAAACTCAAATTGTAACTGGACAGTCAGGCCAGCTGGCTGCAGGTTGGGTGCTAAAGCATTCGTGAAAAAGATGTAGGCAAATCAGGCAAAGGTTATTTATGCTACTTTAAGCACGTCAGAGCCTCCGATAAGAGACACTTCCCAAGACGCACAACTGCTAAATTGCCTTTCAGTAAAGCATGCCTAGTGTGTGGCACCATGTGTGCATTTCACACAGACAGACCTGCTGGCTATCTTGCAGTTTGGTGATTCTTCACACTGCCTGGTGCTGCTCCTATTCATTATCCACTGCGATCCATCTCCTGCCTGATGGAGACGGGGATCGCCGCAGTTCAGGTGCAGCGCGAGGCATTTGCCATGCTTCTCACAGACATCTAGCTGGCAACTTCACACAGTGCTGCATTAAACTGCACAGAAGATGCCTCTCGAATTGTCAGTACCTCAGACAAGCTCACACTGTGCTTTCTTGAGTAGCAGAGACATGCCTCCACTTGCCTCTTTCCCCCGCACAGGACGCTCCTGGTCTGGGGACCTATGTGCAGTGGCACAGTACTCTGTAAGCTGCAGAGTATCTCCTGTTGTGACAAGCTGTCCTGAGGGAAGCAATACCTCTCTTCCCTCTTCTTCATGAGCTAGGATTAATTCAATTGAAGATGATGTGGCTTCACACTTCAGTAGACAGAGGGTAAAGCATTCTTTTCTCTCTCTGACAGTCAGATAAAGAGCAAAATCAGCCAGAGCCCAAAGCCACATTAGTAGGAGAGGCCAATTTACTCAGGGTAGCTGTGTTTCCAAGTCAGAGTGACTTTCACATCTGTTAAGATGACTTTCTAGACCTGCCTGCCAGATTGCCCAGACTGTGACAGAAACCAGGTGGTTTTTCTTTCTCAACATTTTTCTCTTAAACACCTGAAGAGCTCATTCAGCCCTGTTCTGAGCGGTCATTCCCCCAGTGCCCATGCTGTCAATGTGCAGCAGCACATCACTGCTTTCTTTGAATTTCCCAGTGTCATTTACTTCAACACATTATATAAAAATAACCCAGCGACTGGACTGGAGATGCTTGCACCTACTCACAGAGGAGCCCACGACTGTCATTCCTCTGCATACCTGCCCTCTGCAAATCCCACACTGTTCCTGTAAAGGACTGTGCAGAGTGCTACCTTGCACTTCCCAGACTGCCAGCCAGGAGCAAGATGCAAATATTTACGTCAAATAATTACGCAACCTCAAGCAGAAGAAGTAAAAGACCCCGAACAACCCAACAAACTTGTCAAACTCATCCTTGTATTCTGCACAGGTACTCTCAGAAGAAACTCTGTGGTCAGAGCCTGGCTATTTAACCTGGGGGCAACAAAAGGAAGAAGAGGTGGCTGCTCCCTGCTCCAGCTGCTGGCTATTAAGCAAACTAAGCAGAAAGAGTTTGATAAAAAGTGGGAAGCAGATATGTGGCACCTAGGTGCCAGGTTTATGGTTGGCTTTCTGAGCATTTTAAAATACACTGTGAAATTGATTTGTCGTCAGGATGAGAGCCTGTGCTTGTCAGGTCTGTCAGTCTCAGTTTTCAGCTGAGTTATCTGATTCACTAGGGCTCTGTTCTCCCTGCTCTATTTAAGACCAAAAAAGCTTAAAATCCATCCCATAATTTTCCCAGGCTTTTAGTGGAACTGCAAAATGAAGAACATAGAGACTCTGAAGGACCATTTACTCATGCCTTCCCTGTTAGCCTGTATGTGCCTGCAAAAACAAAAGGACAAAAATTTGTAACATCCACGATGCTCACAAGGACCCAAACAACGTACACTCTTTTAACACTCCTATTCTTCTAGAAGTTTTCGGACGCAACGTTGGTTCACATAAAGGTTTCCAAAATTCACGTTGGTAGAGTGGTTTCCCACTTGAGCACGACTCTCTTGCCACATATAAAATCCTGTGTACCTGTGCTGCTGCAGTTCTTTATGCGGATGTGCAAATAAAGGTTTGAACACACACCAGGGCTTGCTTGATTTGCATGATTATGTGCATTTCTAAAAATGCACCCCAGGGTTAACAAAGTTAAGCTTTACTGTAACTGAACTGAAGACAGGCTGCTGCTGAGGGATGGCCTTCATCTGACCAGTGCAAACGGAAACCAGCAAAGCTTCCAACTCATTCCTGGCAAAAGGCATATGTTTGAAAATTCCAGTAAAAAGAACATATGGAACAAGTAAAAGACAACATTGAATGTCAGTGGCCACGCTCAAGAATGCCAGCAAGCCACAGGAACTCACAGACTGCCCTTGTGACGTGGGAGAAGGAACAGAGCTCTGCCCCTCAGACTGCAGGAGGGCCTGTAGAAGGCAGGGATGGCTTCTCTTCTGCAAATGCTGGGTTCTTGCTGATGTTTTTGGAGGGGGAAGGGGATACTCACAGTAAACAGGAGTCACACTTGGATACTGTGGTTCAGCTCCCATTTTCCCAGGCTGGCTACAAAGCTCCTTTCTACCCGTTTTTCCCACAGAAGCGACACACAGCACTGCAAGTGCAGGAAGCAGTGAAGGAAATGCAATCCGTAGGAGCCACCATGTCACCAGGGAGGACAGCCTGACCGTGGGAGTGCATGAGGACATCACTCAGCACAAGTGACAGCTATTCCCCCCGGGGAGCCACACTTGAAGGTTTATTTTATGTGACTGTTAACTGCTATGTAACAGCCTCAAAATGCAGCTGGAGAAGAGTGTGCACATGTAATTACATACCTGCATGTCCAGATCACTTACTAGGATTGCTAACAAGCACCACCTTAAATGAGCTGTGTACTGGCCTGGCTCATAAACATGTATGTAAAATGTGTCTGCTAGGCAAGAGAAATACATAGGTGTATGAAAACAACTGTATTAACTGTGCAAGACAAAAAATATATGTAAAGAGGGATGAATAGATTTTGAAATTACTCCTAATCACTTAGGAGACTGTCCTTTGGTCTGGGAAGATTTCCCTGATTGTGCTCCAAGACAGAGTTCATGTTCAGCTCCCTCGCAGAACAGTTTGTGTACTGTGACGCTTCAGCTTTAGACCTCCTCTTGCACAATACTTGTCTTGTAGCACAAGTCCAACCACAGCATAGTGCAATTTGAATGCTGGAAGGCGTCACTATTCTCATACCATTCCTGTCGTGATCAGTGAATTAGTGCTTGATTTGCTTATGATGAGGTGGCGTGCACTTCATAATGCTCATGTCATGCACTGTCATGTCATGCACTGTCAAAACACATCAACAGAGCCTTCATGCTAAATGCCAGCTTGCCTGTAAAGAGAGCCCACGCAGAAGGAATTTACAGACACAGGCTCTCTTCCATAACAGTTATTTTTGTAACAGTCCATATAATTCATCCACAGCTAGCACAGTCGTCTTTCCAACCAGTACCTCATTAGGGACTCCCTTTTATACGTGGGGATACAGAGGAACTGCACAGACAATTGAGAAATCTACTTTTTTTTCGTTTTAAATTGATGCCCCAAACTGATCACTGTATCTACAGAAGAGAAAAACTACTTTGATGATTAAACTCACAATAAAATTAGCTGTTAAACACTATACTAATGTTAGTAGAATGCATTTAAAAGCACATTTAATGCATTTAAAAGCATCTCTCTACAACTGCATTCAGTGACAAACCACTGGAAGCACAAGACATGCTATGCACTACTACACCTCCATGCTTACACACAGGGACAACAACAGAAGCCATGCAGGACAATACCTTCAGCTTTGACAAGTGTCCCAGTTCCTTAGCAGCACTGAAAATCAACTGTGTGCCCTATGATGGTGAGAAGTTAGAAAAGAAAGGAGGGGAAGAAAAAGGTTATGAACAAGCTTTGCATATATTTCCAAGCAAGTCAAGTCAATTCACAGCTGAAACTTTATATAACCTTCCCAAGGCCAGTCACAACAACTGGACTCCTTGCCGGTTTATTATCTAGTGTAAAACCTGGCATTTCCATGGATACCACATCAGGAGCTATTTCAGAGCACAATATTTTGCTAACTGGTTCTCTCTTGTTTACAGCAGCTACTCATTTACCCAGTATGTGGCTTCAAATGGATTGCACAGGGTTGGGGTGGAGGCAGTGCACTGGAATCATCTCCATGTGCTCCTTCAGATGTCACATCTAAATACACATGAAAACAGCATAAGAGTGGCCAGAGCAAAGGGTCACAAAACTGATGAAAATCTCTCTGTAGAGGTGGGGCCTAATCATCAGGGTGGAGGTAAAGCACACCTCAGATCAGAAACAAAACTGCACCCGAGCTGTTTACAAGTGAGAGATTGCCAAAGTCCAGCGAATACTACAGCATCAAGGGCTTGGCCAATGGCTCTTCTTCCTCCACTGTGCCTTACTGAAGCTGTATAACCAATGAAACAGCATAATGGGAAGATAAATCCCAATGTCAGGAAGTCTTGCTTCAAGTCACTTATGCTCCTGTATAATGTATTTTTATATACTTTTTCAGCAATGGTTGCAACCAAGATATTTTTCTTTTTTACCCTATACATCATTTCTCTGTTAGCAATATTCCCTTTGCCTGAGGATTGAAGCCCAAAGTTAATGAGAAAGTCAAAAGCAACCAAGACAATTCTCCAGTACCACCTCCCAAAGATACTTAATGGGGTGTGCTATAATTTATTTTCTTCCATTTGATTCATCCTTTTCATTCATTTAATTTTGTCTTTTTCTTAAAAAAAGTCACCATTGTCTATTACTCCACTTGGTGTGAAACCCCAGCTTACTATAACTCTGACTACAAATTTGCACTCCAGCTCTCTCGGGCTAGTCAGATTTGGGCTTTAGGACCAAGACAAAGCTACAGGTGAGCCCTCTTCCCTAGTTAAACCTCCCCTCCATTGTCTCTCTCAGGAAAACCTTCAGCACGTCAGGAGCAATGCCCTCCCAAAGACCATCTTTGGCTCTCCTCACTTGTACTTGGTCACTAGGGGCTGGTGGTACAGTACATGTTACTGCAGGTATCAACTGAGAAGTGCCCAGGGATGTCCCAATTGAATGCCTGAAGTAAGATTCCAGGGATGGACACTTCCAGGAATGCGTTTGCAGTAGGGCCTTTTGCTCAGAAAAACACCTGGGAGATGAATCACAGAATGGTTTCGGTTGGGCAGGACTTTCAAAGATCATCTAGTCCAATTTCTCTGCAGTGAGCAGGAACACCTTCAACCAGACCAGGCTGCTCTGAGCCCTGTTCAAACTGACCTTGAACACTTTCAGAGATGGGGCATCTACCACCTAGTCTAAATCTATCCTCTTCTGGTTTAAAATCACACTTGCTCCATGATACCTATGTACCAATTGGTCACTTAGGCACTTGGAAAATAAATATTAACACTTAAAATGTGTTTCAACTAGATCAGGTTGGTCAGAGTCCCACCTAATCTGGCCTTGAATGTTTCCAAGGACGGGATATCCTGTATCAGGACTGTTGGCTCCACCAGCTAAAGGTCTCCAGTAAACCCCATTCTCCTTTCCACCGCCCTTCTTCCCTCTCCTTTACTACCCTTTCTCATCTCGACCGTCTTTCCCTCTCCCACTTAATCACAACTGCTATGACCACTCCCCACCCCAAAATACCTCAAACCATAGTGAAGCTAAATGTAAACCCAGAGTTACTATATTGCCTTTTATTAGTGCCTATCTTGTTCATCTTTTCTTTGCTGCCTTCCTTGGTATTTGGTTGTTTCCTTTTGTTTGTTGCCTGTGGAACAGGAACTACTCCATACGCGCATTTGCAGAGAAGACTCTGGGAACTGGCTACAACTGCCAAGATCACTGCTGAAGTAATTATTTTTTTTTCCCCTAGGATTAAAGTCAACATTAGCCCAGATCAGCCCAGCTAAGGGTACCTCTCATGAAAAAGGCTGTTGCTAATGGTAGCAGGTACCCTTTTATAGAAAGAAAACAGGCAGTTTACAGCTGTAACACTGGAAAGACCAAGACCCGCTCGAGGGAAACTGCACACTCTCTGCCCATTAAAACAGCAGCCCAGAGCTGAATTTTTAAGATGAGGTTTTTTTCCTTTAGTTTCCCTGGCTTTGGAAATTTCTTCAAGCTGAAAGACTCTGTGACCTGAAATTACAGATCACCTCTTGATTTGCTCTGCTCATAACAATCACCTAACCCTCGCTATTCCTCAGCCTTTTATATTTGTTGACTACAAATCGTCACAGAATGAACATTATTGATTTTGTAGCTAAACAGAAGCTCTTGATAAATGATTAAATTCACAACTTTTGGCAGGGGTGGAGGGGAGAGTGCAGACAAGGACAATACATCCACAAAGGAAAGCTTATGAACTGAAACTGGGAGCTTGACTTGCTGTCAGTATCCAGTGGATAGTGTTTAAGACAACTACTCTGTAACGTAAAAGAGAAGTATTTTCTCTGTATTTTCAGCAAGCAAGGTTGAACATGATTGCATACCAGGAACAACAAAGAGATTCCACTGTGGGCCATGCCAAATAACTCACCAGAGTACAGGGTTTCAGCCAGCAGATGTGCCTGCTGTTCCGTACAATTGGCCACAAAGGTTTTTTTTGACTTATGGGTCTTAAAATTTAAGGTTTTCAAGCCTATAACCAAGCGGGGGGGTGTGGGGGGGATCAACATTTTTATATTCTGAGTTCTGAAAAATGGAGTAGTCTCAAAACACACTAACATCAACATTTCTTAATTCAGTATTTTCAACATTCACTGATTGCTTTTTTTTAGATACACTTGAACAACAACATTAACCAGCCTTGGCACGTAGTCTCACTGCTGCAGGCTTCTAAGGAGGGCAGGCCAGTAACACTGAGCAATACTCAGTGACTGGATACGCTTCACAGAACAAAGCTGCTCAGATAACTACTCATTTCTTGCATGCTAAGAAAATCCTCGTCAATCAGTGCAATCTAATGCATCTGCAAGGAGAAGTTATTTTACTGTTACACTGAGTTTGTCACCAATGCTGGTAACATCTAATGAAAATCTGGACAGCTCCTTCCTCTGCCAAATGGCATTCTTGTAAACAAGATGCCATACTGCTAAAAAAAGTTATTTATTAATGAAAAAAACACCACAAAGTTCTACAGACAGCACTTATTCTAGGGAATGAAAACAACTAAACTCAAGCTATCAGGTAGTTTTGAGAAAAGCTGCCTACAATGGAATTGCTTAAAAGGACAAGGATAGAAATGGGGAAAAATTAAGTCCTTATCATGCCTAGCTCTGTGGCAAAAACAGCTGGAAGGGGGACAAGCCTTCGTGCTGGTTTTTTTTGCCTCTTCCCATAATACTAGCTGTATTTTCCTAAACTTTACAGTAACAAGAAACACACCTATAGTCCACAATTCAGAGATTTTAAATTCCTTGTTAGTGATCTGATGCTTTTTTCTCCCTCAGTGAAAGTATTTAGAGAAGGATCATCAGCTGACTCAAGTCTAATTGTTAGAAGCCAACAGAACTGCACTGATTTATATTCCAAGCACCTCAAACCCTCAAAGCTTAACTGTCCTACTGCTCAGTTGACAAAGTTAGGAAACAAAAGCCTACTGCAAGTCTTTTGGATTCCAATCCTTTTTTGTAAAACATATTATTAGTGAGGCTTATTTTTCTGAGATATACCAGTGAAAGGAAGTTTAATCTGCTATTGTACATTCCTTTCCCGTATTTTTTTTTAATTCCTACATTCAACATCAATGAGATCTGATAATTTTTAAACAGCATTTTAAGTTCATTTAAAAAACTCTGTCATATCTGGCAATGTTCATTTGCACACATTAAAAGACTATTTTTTTTCCATTGTGGTGTATTAATCACTGACAAAATAGGCTTAAAAGTGGGGATGAAAAGGGGAAAATAATTACCTGACAGTACAGAGATCTAGACACATGTGCAGTTCACAGACCATAATTTTATTCAAGGCTAAGAAAGTTTTTTCTCCTCATCACAGAGGCAGCCTTAAACTCTTCTGCTCCTAGCTAGCACAAGGGAGAGGATTCATTTAAACTAACACAAGTTAAGAAAGGTTTCTGAAAACCTCTTAAAGCCACACTCTCTTCCACCACAAAACAGCTCTGAAGTGGCTCAGGCAGATGAGTCTGAAGAACAGACGGTTTGGAAGTCACATGTCCTCAGCTTAAAGGAAATTTAGTTCTTATCCTGGACCATGTTCTCATTTTGTGAGGAGAAGTCTGACAAGTAGAAAAAAGCACAGCAGGAACAAACATAAATGGAGCCTCTTGTGAATGGTTGCAGTGTACTGTGTGAAATAAATAAAGGAGAGGCTCCAGAGGAATCATCTGGGTGTAAACTAAGCAACTCTTCACTGACCTCACTAGTCACTGATGGCATGGTACAGTTTCCTCCATTCATTCAAGCAGTAAGAAAGAAATATGTAACTAACCCATTAATATCCCCAAGTGTTGCGCACTGAACCCTGAAATAAAGACTCCCAAAGTGTATATATCCACTCAACCAAGACAGAAGGTGTTTAATTAAAAGCTGATCTTAAAATTAGGGAGGTGTGAATTACTTGGTGAGTTACTGGAGAACACGTTGCTACCAATCTCACAAGCCACAGGCAGCCAATGCTCAGAGAGGCTGAAGCATCTGAAAGTCATGAAGGACCCACAGCTCAGGTTCATCAGAGCGGGAGGTTGTAAAACTGCCCTATCCCCACTGGATCCTTCACAGGCAGTAGCTGACACTTTCCCCCTTGGGCCCCACCCTTGCACAAAATATTCCAGAAGCTAATTTAAGTGGAACAATCAGTCTGGAGAATGGCATTTAAGCACTGTGCAGTATGGGGGTCATGCAAGTGACAGGTGAGACAAACTGCAGTGTGACTTCTACCTGATGCTTGCCATGATCATCATCATAACCACTTCTGCACCTCCATCAATTTTACACAAAGAAGAGAGAGTATGCCATAAAAGAGATGCTTTTCTGACATGAATATCCCCTACTTCTTAAGAGCTGCAAAGGAGTTTTAGGAGGGAAATCCCCATCAGTGGTCCTTCAAATCTGGAGAGGCACCACTGGGGCTTTCTTTTGCTGAGGGCTGGGAGGAAAGTGTGTTGCAGTGCCTGAGGCTATTTGTGTCTGATGTGCTTTCAAAAAAAAAAAAAAAAACAACAAACCACCACCACCAAAAAAAGCCACCAACCAACCAAAAAACCACAGTATCCCCCCCAAAAAAACCCCAAAATTAGATAAGAGGTGCTTGACAGAGAAGTAGAATAGCAAAGAGAATGTACTGCTTCTGCCCATGCTGACAACCCTGAGTTTTGCCTTGCCTTGCCCTGCCAGCCTTCACTACTGGGAATGATGAAAATCTGGTGGTGACAGAATAAATTGCTATGACCCAGAGAATAGTGGAAGAAGCTCTTTGTCCTTGTAGCTCATCTAGCTTCAACACAGGTTCCCTGCTCGAGGCCTGCAGACAAGGCCATTTGAATCACTGCTTTGTTCACAACTGTCCTTCTGAAACAGCGACTCTCTCCCAGTTTGGACTAGTTCAGCCTCCTTGCTACCATCCAGTGATGACCATTTTGCACTACCTCAGACAACTGAGGATACGCTTCAATTTGCTTCTCAATTTGAAACTGAAGTGATGGCAACAAGAAACTCTTTGTGAAGAACACTCTAAATGGCTTACAGCAACATCCCACAGATTGGAAGAATTGGCTGATAGCACTTATTGCCTCCTTCATGATACAAGCACTGAATCACTCCCCTACTCTGCCTTTGAAATACAAAACTAGCAAGTATAAAGCTCAAGCAGCTCCTCCTTAGTTCTGTCTGAGGCCCTTGATCTCACTGATTCCATTCCAAATGGGTCATGTTAATGCCGCTCTTACATGATGATTTTAGCACCTGTCCCCCGAGACTCCTTATTAAAAGTGATTCAACCGAGAAAAAGAAATTTCATCCTCCTAAATTAATTTTCTTTTTCTTCCTTATAAATTAAAAAGGCAAGCGGAAATTATTGCTCTGAATCCAAGCTCAGAGAAAGCAGTCTTCAGCAAATTGTGCCTTATGCTAATTTTATGGTTGTAGGTATGACAGCACAGTTTTAAAGTTGCCATCATCAAGGCCAGAGACAAGGGCCTTCCCTCTCAGAGCAAGAAACACCTTGTGCAAGAGGCAGGTTTGCATCACTTCCCTAGACACTGAAACCCAAGAAGTCCACTCAAAATACACGAGGGAACTGCTGAATAGTGAAAACCACTATTGTTCTTCCCACCACTGGGAAAAAACATAAATCTGCGTAAATTAGCCACAGACTGGAAGTTTACTCTAACAGAGAGACAAAAAGAAGTTCTGGATCATCTGTAAATAATAAGGTTATAGCCCAAACTTCACAATGCCTCCAACTGACTACATCCCAGAGCAGCTGGGCATGCGTGACTGATATTTAATCAGTTTCTGTGGTTTCTCAAAATTGGGGAAGAGTTAATCTTCCATTGTTAAAATCACTACTACATTCATGACACACATTCATCCAGCAAGTCCACAGAGCTGAACAATTACACAAAAGACTTCCTCTGAAGGAAAACTGTATGGACACACTTCCAACTCCCCAACATCACAGATTTCCTGCCATGCTGACGTTAAAGTCTTCTGGGGAGCAAAACAGGGGATGGCTTCATTAATAATCAAGCTCAAATTAACCATATCTGTACAGAGAGACACTCAAATTAGCCCTGATGATTAGGCAAAAGGGCTTACAGGTGTTGACCTAATGCCATGAACACAACACTAACGGCTCGATAATCCCACATACGCAGACAGCTCTCCTTAGAGGATTGCAAATCCCTAATCAATGACAGTTGATACACTGGATAGGAACTCCTTTTGGATCACGGATTTTTAATTGTTTTTTTTTCTGAGGCTTGCTCTGTATCTTGCAACCCTACTATAAAGAGAGCTGCTCTCTTTCTTTACTAGGTTACAGACATGTTTTTCCAACCTCAAGCAGCCAAATTTACCTGGAGAGATGACTCATTAGGTCAGGGAGATGAATTACACAGGCAATGGCAACGCTTTCTGGTATGAGTCAGGGAGAAGAAAATGCTTTACCGTATGGTCTGTAAGAGGAGGCAGCACAATCAGCTTCTCCATGGTATTCATTACCACCCTCCAGAGCTCTTTCAGCACCCGCTTCAACACTGTCTTTTCACACACTGTTGCAAACAGAGTCAGGCTGTAGGGAGAGAGCAGGAACTAAGTTCAAAGAGTGCAATATACAATAAAAGAGGAGATATGTATAAAAGAACCAGTGCCTTACCCAAAGCAGTTATAATGATTGTTTTAAGGGTTAAAATCTTCCCTTTTTCACAAAGTATAGCCTTTGCTCAACCTTGGAGTTCTAGAACTAGAGATAATGGCCAAAATGGATTTTTGACATTTCTGATCTCAGTGATTTCTATTTATTGACCTGGGGGTTACAGAAGGTATCACTTGGTGACAGGTGGTTGGGAATAACATATATAGTCCAAATAAGAGCAGGTACCATCAAACAGGTTTCCCTTAAAAAGATGTATCAGGTTTATAGAGAATACAGGAAAAATTATAAATATAGAATAATAAGTTTTAACTTCAAGCTGTATTATAAGGATATATGTCGAAAGTCTTAAATTAACACTTCCCAGAGTGTTATGCAGAAATTCCTGTACAGCTTCTGATAGCTGCTCAAGTCTCTAAATCTTTAACCTCTACAACCCCCCTGAAGCATCTCTTGGACTCCTCTATATTTTGTTGTGATTGCATTCAGCACCAATCAACTGCCATATGTTTGTCTGCTCTAACATAAAGACATTCTGCTTTATCTCCCTGGTTTTTCTCCCTTTATTATTGTACAGGCTATCAAAAAAGGCCACAAATCACCAGAATTTCCTTTGTTGGACTTTGGCATTTGCTGATCACACTGGAAGAGCTACAGAACAGGAACTCTGTGGCCAGTAGCAGGGCACAGGTGACAGCTGGCTTTTCTACAGTGTGTAACACCTTCTCCCAATTTCCCTTCTTCCCACAGCTGGTTAGACAGTAAATGAACAAAACTAAACAGGGATAAGATTGATGCGGGGTGGGGGGTGTAAATGCAGTAAGCATCAAAAAATACTCTCCTTCTTCAAAGGAGGAAAGAAAATAATCCAGGCTTGGATTATCATAATCAAAATTACTTGCACCACAGCTGGATGACAAGCCTGTAGCATACCAAGTTCCCAGTGGCACAAAGGAGTCTGGCTTCTCAGGATTCATGAAGGCATGCATGGAAAAAGCTCACACGAGAAAGCTCCTAAATGTAATGACTGCTGCAGAGAGTCACTTAGCACACAATGACCCAAAGCAAAGGTGGGATAACCAACACTAAGAGCAACCAAACTCCCTATATTTTAAACTTGCAAAGCTTCACATCTTTTGCAGCATTTATTATGAAAACTGATGACCGCCCCTTCCAAAATAAAGAACTGCTGTGCATCAGCAGGAGGTTTAGCTTCTACAATGATTAAAAGCTATTTCTCTTTGTAGTTCAAAGCTTGGCTGACAAAAATTATGTCCAGTTAGCCACATTTAGCTGTCCCAGTACAGCTGAATCCTGCTACGTGGTATTAATGGCAACAGTTAATGAAAGCAATGGCTCAAGCTTATGCACATCACATGGTTCGGAAGCTTATTTGCTAGTCAGAACAAACTGGGTATGACCAGAACACACACGCTTAAAACAATTGGGATCCTGAGTAGTACATGTATCAAGTATGCAAGCACTGTTTTCAATGTGTTTGCTAACTGGTTACAGTACAATACCTATAGGAAACATAGCTACAAAATTTAGAATTTCAAACTTCTCCACTACTTGATCAGTAGTGTGTTTTGCTGATTGCTTTAATTGCCAGAGGTAGAAAAAATAATTGAGAGTGCACTGTGGCACTGAATGAGGGCTGAAGAGGCTATCCATGGCTTGTGAGAAGCAGATATGAGAAGAAAAGCTATTAATTCTTCTTGAAAATTTGGAGACCAGAAATCTCAATAACAATCCAGGAATACAGAGCTATTTTCCTCTCTGCCCCATTCCTGTTCCAATCCAATGAACTGTATGTGCAGCATAAATTTGAACACTCCCTTACTTTCCATCCAGGAAATCCATCAATGGCCTCAGGACATTATCTGCATCTTGTGCAACTGTGTTTCTGGCATTAGCAGCAGAATTTGCTGTCCCTTTCACTTGACAGAGGATATCAGACATTTGCTTGACGCACTCATCAATACGAGTCTGAAAGCTGAAGAGATAGGAGAGAGGCAAAAACAGGATTATCAGTGGCAGAGATATAGGGTAAAATATTGCAAATTCATAAACCATGCACTCAGTTACTCTTCCTTTATGAGACTTGCTGCTCTTTTCTTCACTGCACTTATTTCCAAGGGGCACGCTTTCCAGTTCCTTATGCCCACCACCCACACACAGCTAATCACCTCTGAACACGAGACACAATCACATTTGAGAAGAGTTTGTTCATTCTTCTTGCAGAAAGAAATTACCCTTTCCTGATTTCAAGAAACACTGTTATTCTTAGCTCAAAGCACCCTGCTGTATCCTTTTTCTGCTTTCTCCATTTTTCTGCAATGACACAATGCATGCACAACTCTGAGCACCCAGGAGTCCATCAGCAGAAATCTGGTTATGACCCATCACAGGCTAAGTCTTTAAAATAACAGAGACAGCCTGAAGGCAGGCACCAACTTTAAATCAGTTCAGTGCCATACAGTCCATGCCAGGTGTCAAACTGGGATGTGGGGCTCAGCTGTGCAATGAGCAGTGTCCCTGTAATGAAGTGACACACAAGGCATTAAAGTACAATTACTTTTCCATCTCTTCCTGCTAAGAGGAGGTTCAAAATTAAATAATGCAATGATAAAAAATTATGAATAGATCAGCAGAGCTGATAACAAATCAATTCAGCAAATAAAGGAAAATGCTTTGACATTTAAAAGAACAGTTAGTAACAACAGGCACTACAAGTGACATTTAACTATCCACTAATGGCACAGGGGCTTGAAACCAGGAAGATAAGACACTGGTAGGAGCTAGGGTAAAGTTTTAAGAGCAGGGACGCAAGTCTGGAAATCAGCTTTGCATCTGCCTAAATGACCTGAACTTCTGGTGTGCGAGCCACCCAGGACACCTGTGGGTTGGGTGCTATGGTACAACTGCTCTGCCCTGTGGCTCTCACCTTCTTTCTCCACCTGGTCACCTTTCTCCACTGACACCTCCAGCCTCACAGTCCCTCTTGCTCCCTTCTAGCATGCCTCTCACTGGAACAATTCCAGAGCTTTCCTTCCATGAAGCCTCCCACCTTCCCCATTTCTAGCAGAGAGAGGCTTGCAGCACTCATTTGTGGCTGCATTGTCAGCTTAACCAGAGACTTAAATCACATCAAATGAAAGAGCATAAAAAAATTTCCTGTACTGCTGACAGTCCCTGTTCTGCCACAGGCTCATCCCACCCCACAGTTCTCCCAAACACTGCATCAGCTGCAGGGCCCCGCTTCAAGATGCATTAAACCTCCCAGCCAGGGCTAAAAAATAACAATGCCTTAAAAGATAAAAAAAATTATGAGCTAAAATTTTTACCAACTTTGTGAAAAATAATAAATCAGTTACTGTGGCAACAGGTTCACGTGAATGTAAAGTTTGTGTAGATGTACAGCTTGACAGGAGTCTCTGGCAGCAGCAAGCTAAAAAGTGACCTCACCTGTGCTGTCAGACAGGGCCTGCTACTCCCTAATTCCTGCAGAAATTCCCGTCTTCAATCCTTCAGCCTCTAGGGGCAGAACAACAGCTAGCCTTGCATGAAGTATAAACCCTTCCAAGACTCCTGTTCGCTATGATACCTCTTAAAGCAGAAAGTACTTCTATGTCCAGACAAAATCCTCTCTCAGCTCAAAGGTGACGAGAGTCCCTGGACATGTGCTGCCTGATCAGCAAATACAGTTATATTACGTAGATGAAGAGGAGTTAAAATCTGCAGCATCAGATGTTCACAGTGTTGTAGGAGCAACTGCTTACAGACTCTGCACAGAATATTGCAGATATCTGTCTTATCTTCTAAGTTTACATCCTTTAGAAGATTCTGCTTATACAGTAAAACTGCAGCTCTGCTTTTCACTCCCTGTTACTGTTAAGGAATGAACAAAGCATCTGAGCCATCTGACTGGCTAAATTTCCCTCTGGCTTATCTCTCTAAAACACTTCCCAGTAGGTATGCTGAAACTGGATAATCTCTTTAAACCATATTTGCAAATGTCAAGATTGTACCTTAATTATTTTGTAGCAGCAACACCATGGAGACAATATTCAGATTAAAAAAAATAAAAACTCACCCTCCTAATTATGATTTCTCACTCACCCTTCATCTAGTTATGAACCTTATTGATTAATTTTGGTTACAGTTTGAGCCTCTCTATTTCTTGCTACAGCATCCATTACTGGCACTGGGAACTCCTCACTTATCTCCCTGCTTAGCTCCCTGTGCAGAAATCCAAACAGTCATTGACAAATCCCACTATGATTTTTCAGTCATAAATACTGCAAATCTGTAGACCCCAGGAGGCCAAGTTGGTACAATTTGCCTTGCCTTGCCTGTATTCAAGCTACATTGTGGTTTATTCCTGCATTAATCCTGTTATGGAGCCCAATATGAAATGAATGGGGTTTGTAATGAGAAGGGGTTGTTTTTGAAGATCAGTTAGGAGTTCTGCATTTTTAGATTTTCCTTAATTGACAGCTTTTATGGTTTGCTACAAAATTATTGTAAAGCTGAGCACATTTTTATCCTCAGGTAAATGGTAACATGATTCGTAATAAAACTTAATTGCTATCAATTACTCTGGTGATATTTTAGAGAGCTCCTCTTCTTGAAACATTAGAAAACACCATTTGCAGCAGCATTAGAACAAGTCAATCTCAAATTCCAAACCTGTTTCCTTCTTATTCCAATATTCATTTAACAATCAGAAATCAGTCAGCTGTTTCATACATTTAGAGCAAAATGTTTAAACATGAATGTTGTTTCATAAACGCTAAGCTGGAAACTGCTTTCTGAGCAGTAAAGGAGCAGGCAATTCTGTTACTGACAAGCACTGCTTACAAAAAAAAAAATCACTCTATGTAAGTCAAATACATTTCACAGTTGAGAGATCTCCATGTTATATTTTCCAAGCAGAGCAATACAGAAGAGAAGGACTTTAAAAGTATTTCTCACTTCTTTAGATGGTCTCAGTATTTGAAAGGCAATGAATTTAGGACAAAAAAGAAAAATATAATGCAGTTCACAGGAGTTCCTTTTCTCTTCTTAACCTGACTGAATGAGATTAGACAAAAGAAAGGAATGCTTCAAGGACAGGGACCTCCTAATACTCACCTGTTACCAAACACTGCACTCAGCTCATCCAAAACGTTGTTCAGCTTCACCTGGAGCTCTTTGAGATGGTCACTTGCTTCTGCATCCAACTGCAGATGAAAAAGAGCATTTAGTTTGAACCCAGAGGGCAGTCTGCTGTCCTTTGCAGTGTTTCTCTTCACTGTTGAAGGTACACTTAATAAGCAAATGAACTATCCCCACTGGACTCTGCCATCTAGGATGCTCTCCTCCACTGCCTGCTGCTGCTACAAAAGCTGTGAAATTATCAACATCAATTATTTGCCTAAAAAGCAGCAAGTGATTTCCCCAGGCTCCAATACCCTTCAATGCCCTTCCTGAGGTTTGTGAAGTTGAGGAATAAAGTGCATGTGAACTCCCTGTGGCCAAGAGTGTAACTAGGCAGAGAAATCACGTACTGTGCAGTTATCTTCAGCTCATGGGTCATTTCACCCCTCTAAGTTTAGAATGAGACAGGGCTTTTCAGACTGGTTGTTATTTACTTGTGCGTGATCTTGAAAGAAGCTGTTTCACCTTCCACCCTGCTGCCAAATATTCCAGCTGAAGACTGACCCAGCCCCTGCTCTCAGAAGGTTGGACCCCAGAGATCTTGAAAATCTGGTGACAGTATAATGGCAGGAGCTGTCGTGCACTTATTGCTTTTGGAAAGTATAATCTCAGCTTTAGGTATTGAGCAGATGCAGCTCTACTCACATGGAGCCAGACAGCTTTTTGTATGCAAATGTTCAGAGGAGACTTCAGGAAACAAAAGCAAAAATAAGGTGCCCCAAGCACTACATGAATGCTGTTGACACCTTGGCAGGTTCTGTAAGAAAGCACTTCCTCCATTATTATCAGCACAAAGCCACCTGTTTTTGCATGGAAAAGTGCCCTGTATTCCAGCTCTAGTCATCCCTCCAGCATCAAAAGAACCACTTCTGAGCAACCTACCTGTGTGTACACCTAACAACACATGATGAATGCTTTGGGATCACTTGCTCTGAAAAAGTAACTTGTAAAACAGATTTGCCTTTGTATGCAGGCAGGCAAGATGTTTGTAAAATAAAAAACCTCACAGAAATGCTTGTATTTGGCATTCACAACTTCAGTTCTTACCCCTAAGGCAGAGCGTCTATTTACAGATCTAATGAGCCAGGTACCAGTACAGTGGTATAAATCAGTTTAGATATTTACAGTATATCCATCTATATAGGATTTGAACACAATGGGAGTTCCCATTTCTAAATTCAGTGCCAAAGCCCTTTTCATATTCCTCAGCATCTGTCAGAGAAAGCGAAGCCTTAGGGGATTTGGAATCTGATCTGTTCACTTTCCTGTTGTAAGCTGGCATGGAAAATTGACTCTATTACGCATTTGAACCTGTGCTAATGAAACTCCTGGATCAGAATTTTAAAAGTAATTAAACTAAGAACCAACAACCAAGCAAATGATGATTACTTAGGCCTTATAATTTTAAGCATTGCTACCTCTGATTATTTTTCCTTTATTAAACTGAATTTCTCTTTCTATTAACTTTCTAACACCCTTGCTCTATGACAGCAGAAGGAAGCTAATGTCATGCCAATCAGCATTCATTCCAGCCAAGCTTGTAGGTAACAAAACAAAAACAGCATCTGGTGGTGGTGGCTTCTCTTGCCCCTACATTAATCCTTCCCTCCCACGGCCCAAAGGCACAATGAGTCACAAGCTGTCTGGTTTGTTATCTACAATCAATGGCACGGAACTGTCCCATGATTTTGGCCATTTCTGACAGACTTGAGGTAGGAGACCAGTTCAAGATTCATCAAAACATTCCAACTAACTGCTTTTCCAGTTGGAAAAAAAAAAAAAAAAAAAGCCAGAAGAATTTGGCACAAGACATCTGTTCTTCACAATTTGCTTCTTATGAGCTACCAGGTGCACATTCTAGAAGACATCTGAGGTCAGGATGAACAGCTTATTGCCCTGGTTCATGAATTATTTTTCTGTGAGGTGGCATGGAATTACTTTAAGCTTCCCCTTGCTACTGTACTTGTTCACTGCAAACTGATCTTCCTCAGAGCAGAAGAACAGTTGATTGCTGTCCCAGTACTGTGAGAAGAGACAGCAGGAACAGTGCTTTGCCAAGGGGATGAGCTCCATTATCTGTGGTAAGGAACTCTTATTCCTCCAAAGCATCAGCTCACAGCTCCCTGGCTGCATCTGGCAAGACAGCTGCCCAGATTTAACTTAGAGGTGCCCAGCCTCACCCTCAGGAAGCCAAACTGTGCTGGGTAAACATTCTGGTTCAGTGTCCACCAAGTCCTCTGCTATCCTAGAAAAGCTGTTGTCCTCTGAGCAACTGCTACTGAGGAGATGGAGTTCAGATAATACACATTACATAAGTGCTTAGGCTGTGGAATGCTTTGGCTTTGGGAAGCAAATTTCAGGAAATTACCTGAGGATGATTTAAGTCCATTAGGAAGGGGCTGGTAAGTATGTGCGGCTGTTTCAAACACATAAATTAAATGCTAGCTACAAAGTAGTGTAGCATGTGGTGTACCTGCAAACTACTCTTTGCCAATGTGGTGAAGCACTGATAACAGTGCTCAAATGAACCAGCACTGGTATTGCTGCTGCTGCTCAGCAATGAATTCTGAGCATATCAGCTATCATTGATAGCAGGAAATGCTACTTGGACTGCATGATAAATCTGGCTGGTAAAGCAGAAAGCAGTGTTAGGCAGCTGGGTCACTGCCACATGTCACATCCACACCATTTTTGTTGTAAGCTGGACGTGAGCAGGCTTATGATCTCCATTCTGTGAGTGTATCAGAGATAATTCAGAGGAGGAATGAAAAGTTCTCTGTGCAAAAAAAAGGCACAGTACCTACAGTGAGGTGGCTTCTGATCTCTTGAACCAGTGTTTCAATTCCAGTCAAATTTGCGTATTTGAGACTAAATGTGTGATACTGAAAAAACTGAGGTGCAAAGAAGGAAAAGCTAACCCTGAATTTAAATTTCAGGGAGGAAATCAGGGCTCTGTTAATTTTCTGCCAAGATTTGGGACTTGGTACTTCAGAGAACCTGGGCCTCAAAGTCTCATCCAAGCCCATTTAGGGCTGAAATCTCTAGTTGTCTTCTAATCTGAATGGTGGCATTTACAGCACAGGGATATCAACTTGCATTTAGGTTGATCTCCTGCTTCTCTCATGCATAAAACAGAACCCCTGAGTCTAAGAATTTGCTCTGATGGGGTTCCAAGTTATCCAAGAGATGCCATTAGTTCTTCTTTGGTTTCCACACCAACTGGTGAAGTGTGAGTGACCAGAACTGAAAGGCTTCTCTGTAGCTGGTGTAGGTGGAGAGACACGGCTCTTGCCTTTTAAAAGGCTGAAGATGTTAATCAATTCACATCTACAAGGCAGAGACACTGTGAAATCATCAGGTCTGACCTAACCTATCAGCAGGTAAAGAATTATGCCCTGCTAATTTATTTTAGCTTTATGCTAGTTATGGAGTTCCTCTGACTCCAGTTTGAAGCTGCTTATTTTTACTCTGCCTTCCTCTACCAGCCCCTGGGAGCTCCACTCTGCAGAGGTGACTGTGAGCCAGGGAGCTCACCAGGTCCCACCCCCTTTTAAGGACCTGCACTGAATCCAAACAACAGCTGCCAACTTCCCAAATACTAGGGTGGCCTTAGCTATGGCGTGTGGGAAGCTAAAGAGGAGCAAACAGTGGATACCGCAAATCCTCTGAGAACACTGCTATTAAATCTTGGCTGTTTCTAAGCTGCCCTGCAATTTGTTATTCAGGTGGCTAACTTAGGATTTAAAATGTGGGCTAACTCTGGCTAAGCATTAAGAGGAGAGTTTCCTGAAGCTTTAATTGTGCAGATTAGCTTGAAACCAAAGGCATGAAAATTGTGTGATGACAATATGCAGCTACTCAGCAGCTAATTCCTTGAGTTCCCCAGGCAGTGCTTGTCTCTGATACTCACCCCACATGATTGACTTCAGGGAAAAAAAAGGTGTAGAAATGTTTTAAACTAGTCTTTCACAGTACATCTAGACTCCAGCAGTATGCAATGCAGTACCACACTTTTTAATTTCAGTGCCATGAGTTCATTACTTGTAAAAAGCTAAGCAAAATAATGGACTGCAGGCTGAACTCTGCAGGAAAACTGCAGAGGTGGGTGGAAAATGCAGGAGACATTAAGTTTTATTAGATAATGTATGAATAATTAAATAAATGGGCCAAGTTCAGCCAAACACTAGCACTGAATGTTTGTAGCTCACCTTAGCACAGAGCTAAATTATAATCTCCATTCTGCGGTGTATTGGAGATGATTCAGATGAATCAAAGGTTTCAAAAGGTGTTCATCAGTTTTTATCCAGGACTCACCCCCCCAGTTCCACTGTTCATTATGCTTTTAATGCAATCTGCCACTCCATAAACACTGCCTTCCTAAAACATGCTTTAGGGATGTCTGAGAATGCTCCTGAGTCATGGTCATGCTGTTTTGATCCCACGAGATCAACACAGCACAAAAGGGAAATAAAAGTATTAATTATAATTCCCGAAAATAATTTAAGATACTTTTCTCTGTGTATGCACATATGTCTGTGTGTGCATCAATATATTTGCCATGAGTTCTCAAGCATAGACCCAAGAGAATCCCCCCACACAGAGCTCTCTGAAGCTTTGCTGGCTGTTGTCCTTATTGTTTCTGACTAATAATGTTCACAGATCACATGATGTCAACACATTAAACCATTTTTGCCCTGTTTTGTACCTGTGTGATGTATAGATGAATATAAAAGAGATCTCTCACAGAAAGTAAGAACTGTCCTTCCTGAAGGAGGATAAAACCCACAGCTACATTTTCCAAAAAGTCCTGTTTTCAAAGCTGTTGTCTCATCAATTGTTACCCAATAGTCAGGTTCAATCTGCATCAGAAAGACTACTCTACTAGGACAAGACCTTGTTTACTCTAGCAAAACAGAGAACCTGCAGGTTTCAAGTCAAGAAGCAAATGTACTACATAGTCACCAAGCAGGAAACCCCTGGGGACAGCAAATAATGCAGGCACCTAACACAACACGATTTATTTCTGGTGATCAGCAGCAGCCCCATGAAGTGCAGTAAGCATCATTTGAGAAGAAAAGAAAAAATCACTTCCAAAAACCAGCTTCCTAGAGTGTTTGTCACATTTCTTCCTGTGTGTTTTATTGCTCACAGTCTGGATTTCTCTCCCCCTTTTTTCTTTTGATTCCACAGCACAGGGGAAATAGTGGAATTATTACCTGTGTTTTACCTTAATTACACCTCCTGAGGAAGGTTTTAAGGGGCAGAATGCAGAAAAGAAGTCTAGGCAAAGTAGCCAACAGTCTCAAGAAACACCTGTTATTCTCCACTTATTTAATACAGTATCAGGGGATATTTTCAATTTGAACTATAGGGAAACCCTACTTAATGGCTACCGCTACAGAAAATAGTAGCAAATTGCTTCCTTAAGGGAAATTAAATGCACAGGCATTAAAATTTTATAAGCCGCTTCACAAACATTTCATCACAAGTTTACTTTTTTCCCCAAAAATGAGCATTTAGCTACTGCTGCTATTACAGCTGGGACCGTATAATGCTAGCTCTTGATGTAGGGCTCAGAAATTAGTATTGTTGAGGTGACATGTGAAAGAATGACAGCAGTTTTCTTTGCCTCATGGGGTAAATCTATTTGTTGAGATTTTTGCCACTTCATAGAATTCTGCCACTGAGCACAAGAAAGATTTGGAAAAGCAATATAGGCAAAAACTAAGCTGTCCATCAGCAAAGCTGACTCTCCTCTTGGCATACAGGTCATAGCACAGGCTCTATCACAACACAACCAAAGTAAATGCACTTGAAAATAATTTTTTCCTAACATCAGCATCAGCAGGCTTTTCTTCATCTTCCTGAATCTTGAAAAGCAGTGAAAAAAGAAGAGGGAAAAAAAAAGATACATACATTATATTAGAACAGAAAGAGTGATCTGGGGAGAATAAAACATTATTTCTGTAAAAATGACCGTCTCATAAAAAAATAGACACATCTGAGTATCCCTCAAAACATGAGTGCAGAACTCTTATTTGCATATCTGTAATGTATTAGATTTTGGACATTTCATGCTAAAGGTACTGTCCCACAATTGCATGCCATATAAAATGATTCAGCTCTCAACAGTTCTCAGACTTCTCTGTCTTCAGGGTTGAGAAACCACCAGCCACACCCACATCCAGCCCACATGAGCATGACATGCAACCTTCTCTTTCCTTCTCCATGCTATTCTGTGCTTCAAAATATTTGGTCCTGCTTTTTATGACAGATATAGGTGAAAAGTCTTCAGCCACTGCTGCCTCCTCACACTTACAGGGCCAGGTGTCACAAGGCTCTTGTCATGACTGCAGGCCTAAAGAACCATTACAATGCACATACCCCAGTAACAGCAGTGCAGCAGGAATGAGCAACACTCAGTCTCTGGGCTCTCTTACCTCTTTACCACCCATGGCTTCAAACATCTTCTCCAGCTGCACCCGCAGTTGTTGGATGTTATTCATCAGGATGCAGGGCTGCAGGGACAAAAGCAGGTGCCTGTTACTGCTCAGGATGCCAACACATTATCACCAGTGAGAGACCCTGTGCCTCAATACGCTTCCCCAAGTACCACCAGATCCAAGGCAAACAGGAGGTAGGGCATGCACAGATTTCAGCACTCAAACATATATAAAAAAAAAAAAAAAGTCATTTTTTCTTCAGCTTGAAATGGGACAGTCAGTTCCAGAACACCCAGATAGGAGATGTCTGCAAAGTACCAGATCTACAGAGCAATCTGTGCCCACTTTTCTTTTCAATCACCTCTGTAACACACAACTCAGGCAGTGTGGAAGTTAATTTCAAGGCGACCTGACAGCCTCCAAGCCCTGCAGATCATCTTCAGGACCTGTTTTTATTTTAGGGCCAAGCCACAATTCAATCTGCAAAAGCAAATGAATGATGATAACAATGCTAAAAATATTTACACCATCACCACGGCCAGGTGCAATGTGAGATTGGTTTCATCAGGACAATTATGTGATTCTCCAGAGCAAAAGAGAAGCTCAGCACAACTCACCAGTTTCTCCTTGGAACAGTAGGACTCGAAGCTCTTGGAGAGTATGTCAGCATACTGCATCAGCACTTTCCCAATAGTCTGCGAAGACAAGATGTGAGCACTGTTACTTGTCCTCTACGACTGCATAAGAATTCCAGGAAATAAAACAAAAAACCCCCCATCACATTGTTTTACTTCTCACTAAGGAAAGACTAACATCTGGATGTTGAGGGTATTACCTTAGCAAACCTCCTATTATAATGAGCAACAATGACAGGATCTGGGCACTCCAGCTTCTTAATGATCTCAAAGCTCTGATTGAGCTGGGTGAAGACATCCACCACCGAGCAAGAGAACAGAGCATGCTCAGACGTTTGCTGGAACTAAAACAGAAGTACAGAGAGTCATTGTCAAGCAGACAGATCTGAAATACACCCATTTCATGTATGTTTCCATCATCTGTGGCATTGAAGGCAGGACAAATTTATCCAAACCTACATCTTCCTCAGGAATTAATCAAAAAAACTCTCAAAAGGCGTAGAGATGCTAAATAGCCAATTGAATTGGGTTGCAAGTTTACTGTCCTTTACCAGTGATGACATGACAAGCACCAGGGAAGTGCAGCTTGATGTTGAGACTCTTGACGAAATGCATGGTCTGTCAGTTAATGAGGAAAGAAAGAGAGAGTAAAGAGCTCTTTTTAATTGTATATTTTAAAAAATTTAGATATTAAACAAAATGTTTCCATTAGTATCACAGACTACAGTCACTGAATAAACGAGAAAGCTCTTCTCTCCATTGGGAATAGTCAGCAAATTAAGAATAAGATTGGTCTGTCAGTGGATTAAGGTCACATTCTCACTGCATGACTAAGTACATGCAAAGTGCCTCAATTTTCAATTTCAATTACCTCTCCCAAACAGAGAGAGCACCAAGCCACTGGCTGACAGATTAACAGCAGCAGAACAGACATAAATGAATTATATATACCTTGCTATTAGAAAGCTCTCTGTGACCTGTAAAGTCCTAAAATAAATGAGTTTCCCAGTTGTTTGGCAAGCAGAAAGGGCCACATCCTCCATTTGTATGACAGTTGAATTTACAGTGTTTTATTTGGTTCTGTGCACTGAGCGATGTAGGACCAAGTGTTTCACTCAGTGTGACCTACATACCCCATCTTTTTTATCTCTCTCCAGAGCACCATGCAGGAAGTCTAAGGAAACATCTTCATTTTCATCCAGCCACTGCATCACAAATTGCTCAAACCACCTGTGGGAGGGTCAGGAAAGACAGCAAGTTACAGCAGGAAACAGAGCACTCCAACCAGTGCTACAGTTCCAGCAAGCCTTGTGAAGGCTTGCCACTGTTAGATGTCTGAATGCTGCTGTCTGTGCATGTAGTCCAAGTTCCCAAATATACTCGTACCTGTTCTGAAGCAACCAGTGAGCAGGGCCTGTACCATGACTTTGGCTGGACCAGCAGGACACAGCCCAGCTCAGCCTCTGCAGACTGCTGGTCTTGAGTTGTTTTTGTCCTTCTCCCCATCTTTTCTTTTCTTGGTACCTTCCCTTTTTTTCCCCCTGAGAACCACATTTAACTTTGCGTCATCTCAAAGCACTTTGTTGTTTCTTCCCCTTTCACTCAAGTGCCAGACAGCACAAGGGAAACTTCCACACCCACCATCTCTGCATGCCAAAGGGCACCTCTCCTGCTGCCCACTTGGATGTACCAGCTTTCACACGAGAGCTGCAAACAAATATAAAGGGAGGAAAAGAAGCACCTGTTTCCCAGGGCCCTTAAATCACCTCATCTGGAGATACAGATATCTCCCTGGAATACCAGACAGAGGAATCAAGGCTAGAAGTTTTCTCCACTTTAATCCTACTTTCCCTTTCCCCAAGGCTCCCTTAGAACACCCTCCCATTTCCATGGGCTGCTGGTCTCACTGTGAAGATGCCTGAATAAGATCAACCTCAGGTGACATTTGCTAGGGCTTGACAGCCTGTCAGCAGCTCTCCATTGTTTTCTTCTGAAGAAGCACAAACTTAATTCATGTTGAGCACTGGACCAACTGCATTGGTGCAAGAACCCCAAAACAGGGAGTTTCAAGAACAAGGACAAAAAAGTTTGTTGTTCCCCTTCACTTTGGAGGATAAGCTAAATGGTAGAGCAGAATTTAAGAAGCTGCCACTGCTGAATCTGAAACATAAGCAGTTTCTCACATGAGCTGGCGTCTGGAGTTACCTCCTGCGCTGAACAAAAGGCTTCTACGTTATCCCACCTTGTCCAAACAGACAAGGTGAGAGGCAGCTTCAGTGATGGGATCTTACAGCTGGTCCCTCTCTTCTCTGCTCTGTGGGACATCTTCATACAGTACAAAAAGGGGGGGTGTGTTTTGTTGTCTGTGTTTAAGCAATAACATAGCACTTACAGCCTTATTTAAATGTCTGTCTAGAATTTGTTGCATGCAAGTGCCAACATAGCACAGCTGAAGCAAATCTTCATTTCAAATATTACTAAACAGCATTCACAAATAAAAGAAAAAAGTGCCCATGTGTGATTTAGTCCATACAAAAGATTATTATATGAGCTTCAGAGAGTACAGCCTCCTCTAAACAGGCAGCTGTGTTCATAGAGATTGTGCTAATTATGGGCTGAGTTTGCAAAGAACATGAAAGCATGTGCCAGACATGAGAGGGAGATCAAGAGCAAATTCACAGGCAGAGCACACTAGATAGCCTTAAATACTCTCTACACTTTGAAATATAAAGCACATCAATGCTAATATTGGAAATTGTAACTGACACAGTGTTAAAATGCCAACAGAAACCTGTCTATGCAGCCCTATTTATTATAGACAGCAACAGTGGAACACTGTCACAGACATATGGACTTCCTGTATTCTGGAAAAATTCCTTTTGAATGGCACTTCAGGCTCCTAAAAGTCAGCATATGTTGAAGTCTGCTGCAAGTTTCTCAAGCTTTCAACATTTTCTTTTAAACTGCAATAGTGTATTTTAAACAGCTCGAGCCTTAGAAGGGAACTCAGGCATTTTACAAGGAAGCAGCTATATATCTTCCACCTGTTTCACAGTTCCCAGGCTGTGAGCTGTTGACTGCTTCACATGTCATAGGTCAGTGCACAGGGAGGATTACTTGTTGGTGCCAGAAGCCACAGTTTTCACTCTGAGAAGCAGAGCAACTTCTTGATTATCATTCATCATTAGTTACTGCACCACATTCACAAGAAAGAGCCATTTGCTGTTGAGAACAGTCACTGCCCATTTTTATGGCTACCATATGCTGACGTACAAAATCAAGTGCATAGGTATTTTACTGTCTTGCCAAATTGTCTAAATAAAGGTGGCAACAAAAAAGGTACTGCTGGGTGGGGTGAGTATGGTATATCTCCTTCCCCCTCATTAAAAAAAGCATTGCCTTCAGGAAAAAGTTTACTATGAATATTAAGTGAATCGCTTAGGTCAGGTCAGGACATTCTGTAGATACATTTGCAAGGCCAGCCTCAACTTTGCCCTTTATTTCTGGCAGGAAAACACAAGAGATGCAAATAATTCATAAATACTTCCAGTCTATGTGCATATTCAGGACCAAAATATGCTCTGAACTGTAACACAAACCTAGAGTTATCTTAGGCCAAGTACCCCTTACAGTGCCCTATCAGGTCTTGGGGTGCTGAGCAAGTGAGGGGAACTGCAAAGGCAACATATTCTAGAACCATATTCAAAATTATCTAGCACAAAAATGAATAAAAATAATCTGATTTCATGCAGAAATAGCTTCGAAATGTTATATGGCAAATATCTTCTCCCTCGTCTGCTTCAATTATTGATCTAGACGCAAACGCTGTAATGACTCACGCACCAGCACACAAGGCAGTAGCTCACAGTGCTCCTTCAGAGACATTCTGTGCTCACTGGGGTCAGCAGTGACTCCAGACAGCACAGAAAACCCCTCCAAACGAGGTATGCACGGAACACACTTCAGTCCTGCCTGTTGGGAAAGGGAGCAGCACTTTGGGATTAAATGGAAGTTTACCTCTGCTGGCTGCATGACAGAGAGGTAACACAAAAGGCTACCATTTCAGCTTGGCCATGAGCATGGCTCCTGCAGTGTCACACTTTACAGGTGAATTCATCTTGTGCATTTGCTGTGGGTATCCAGTGAACAACCTGTGGGCCTTGGCAAGTGCTGAGGCAAGAAGGCAGGCAGGGTTCCAAAGAGTAGAAGAATAAATACTGTGTTTGATGAAGAGAGCCAGGATAAGTCAATAGGATCTCAAGGAAGGAACACCTTCCCCCACCAGGGAGGAGGCAGCTACAATGCTAGCTGCATGCTAACATCAGTATTAAAACAAAACATAGAACACTTACTTTACACATCTAAAAAGCTAGGTCAGCTGGCAGCTAAAAGCTGAAGAGAGGAAGTTTTGAAGTCTCACTCCCAGATACATAGCTATTTCCGTTTCATAAACTGCTGCCAATTTTCAGAAAATAAAGGAAGTATAAACACTTCAGCTTCAATACTTTGGAGCCTTCACTTTGTTCAATTATATCTCAAGGCTATCAGAAACATGGTTTCTCATAGTTTCAACATGAAAAGCGAGTCTGTGGATAACCTCTTGTCTGACAAGAAGTCAAGCAACCCAACTGTTGTCTGGACAGCAGCAATTTAGTTTCACCTAAAGAGTTTACTGATGTGCAAACCTGATGTGTGGACTCCTTTGTTTAAGGAAGTTTCAAGACTAAAAGTGCTTGTGATGAAGCGAATCAAAGGACAAGAGCACATAGCTGTAATTGATATCAAAGGGATATTTCATGACAGGTGAAGGTTATGGTTGAAATAAACATCACCTATGTGTGACAATGTGCCTATTGTACTAAAATAAAAGAGTGAAGTAACAAAGCCATCGGCTGCAAATGCACATGAGCACTGAAGCCCTACCACAAAGGCCAACAGAGCAGAACAGACTGCAGAAGTCTGCAGAACAAAACTGAGCGTCATTATCCTGATTACACAGGAGAAAAAGAGAGATTAAGAATGTCTGATGGCTTGCCTGAGACTGCCCCGACTCAGAGGCACAGCAAAGAGAACAGGGCTTCTGAGACTGCCATTCCAGCACCCTGTTCACTGAGTTTATGCCTCTTGCTGACCTGATTTGTTAATCAAGGCCCACAGCCCATGCCGAGCAATTATGCCAACTGCCTCCGTCTTATTAGTATGCAGCTGGCACCAGGCTTGAGGGACCACATGAACAACAGGATGGGAGGAGAATTCAAAGTGCCAAACTGGAAACACAGTCCAGGCATGATGTGTTTTCCAAGGGGGACATGTGCAAAGTGCTGCATTCGGACAGAAGTGAACAGTCACGTACAGGATGGGAACAGTAGCGTGGCAGGACACAATGATGAGGGTGCCTGTGGGCTGGCCTGTGGCCCACTGGAAGCACCACTAGTCAATGATACCTCTGAATAAAATTTTAAAAAAAAGGGTTGCTGTCAACCCAGAGAGCAGCAGCAACTGTCTGCAAGGCAATGCAAGGCAAGGTCTAGATGAAACATCGATATTTAAGGCTTGGTATCGTATGTTCAGACACAGGCCAGCTGGAAAGAGGTGAGTAAACCTCCCTTACAAGGAAAGCTGGGAAGAAACAAGAACCAGCAGAAGACTGGGAGGAGACACGAGTAGAATATTTTAGTCTTGTAAAGCAAGAACAATTTATTCTCCGTGTTCAGCCTATAACAAGCTCAAATCAAAACAAGAAAGATTTGGAGGGAGAAAAAGGAAAGTATGTTAAACTCCTGAAAACCAATGGAGGGGTAACAGTGACACACAAGAAAAAAGGAGATGTGGTGCAACCACCACTGAAAGCCTCCGAAAACCAGTTAAAATAGTGGTCAGACCCAGGATACCTGCTCTTGCCTTAGGCAAGGAACTCTAGCTACAGCATTATCTCTGCTTTGCTCCCTTTTGGGCTCATAGACCTTCTCCAGGTCTGAAATCTACTGTTGCTCTTTTAAAGTTAAGTAGAAGTTACAAACAACTGCTTCGAGCTCAAGAGCAAAAGCTTATCTGATGTTTACAGCTAAACCACCCAGTCTTTCTAAAAAAGAGAAAACATCTTACAAATCCTGTTGTGTGTACGTATGACATCCACACACACAGACATACAGTATATACACATAAACCTGTGCCTACTAACACAAGAATGTAAGCCTACATCTGCTGTTCAAGAACTGACCAAAGCCCACACTGCAGGCACAGAGGGACTTAGAGACTGTCCATGCCATTGCTAAAGCTTTTGAAATGCTGGGAGATATTGTACAATAAGGGACCGAGTTGGGTCGGGGCAATGGCATAGAACACCACAGGGGACAAACATGCACATAAAAAAGCACAGAAAATCAGGAGTGAAGACATGCTGTATCATGAAGGCAGTCACGGGAGAACCAAATGATCCCTCTACCCTCAAGGTAATGCAAGGAGACAGATAGTGGGGATTTACTAAAGGAGACATAATACACTCACGCTGGATATTCAGGCACTTTTCCCTTGAAGGCAGGCAGATCACGAACATATTCATTGTACAGCCACTTCACTTTGAAGTGTAAATTCATATAGTCCGCGCTTTTACACAGTCTGTGTTTCTCATGCTCTGTAAGGAAGGAAAAATAAGCAGTTAGGCCTGAACTTACCACTATCATTGCCATCAGGCACAGGAAGGTTTTATAAAGTGTATCTGCACTATGCAATGTTTTGAGGATGAAGCATCTACAGAGTCATAAAATCTTCACAACACAGGATTTTGGCAGCAGGCACGGATTCTTGGAGGTTGACCATTGGGGCTCTGGAGTTTATTTCTGTAGCTCTAATTAATACTTCCATTTGTTGAAGATTTTTGGTTGTCAAAGCAATAAAAACAGAGCAATCTCTTATGGTCTTTTCATTTAACATATCGCAGTTGAGATTCCATCATTGCAGAGGAAAAATCATGGCAAGCAAATCTGTTCACTCTTGGATACAAAGGCAATAGCAACATGTTACACTACATCCCATAGGAGACAAGCAGAAAACACCAAGAGTTTGACAATATGAGTCACAAGAAAGTTCAAATGAACTACACAAGAGGTGGAGCCTTCCCTGATCCCTTCTTTTCCAGAAGGCAGCATCTGCTGTTGAGCCTCTTCCTCCCTCCAGGTTTCCTCATGTTTTTGTATCCAGACAATGCTGGGACAATGCAGTTCTTCCCTGTATAATGCACATACCTCCACAGCATGACCCTTCCCACACACCTATGCTGCTGAAGCACTGGCCATACTCAGATCTACATTTCAACTCCTCAAATCACAGCTCCCCTTACTTAACACAAGGAATGTATGCACCATGTCTTCACTCTCAAGGCCCTTCACAGCCTACGTCCACACTACCATCTTCCAGCAATTGACTCCCACCTCTGATCAGCCCACAATCCCTGTTTTTAAACTACTTGTTAAGTTCTCCCAAACGCTTTCTCTCCCAAGCCACCCCTCATGTGCTTACAACAGGCAGCTCCTTCTACTGCACTTCTTTTCTTCAAAATCTCCCTGGAAAAGATTGAAATTAATTCCTTTTTCATGATGCTATGAGGATTCAGCAGCTGGCTTTTGTCTGCACTGTGACCCTGAGTTATCAGGTGATCAATTCTGCACCGCTGCTCCCCAGTGCTGCCTGTCCATATCCATCTCTTTCGTTTGCCAAGCTTCACAGCAGGAATACACTTTGTGCCAAACTTCTTTGTTCACTCTAGCACCACAGCAATCTGCTAGTCCATGACTACAGTGTGAGATATACTAAGACACACATGATTTTAGCTCAGGCTCAGCTTTACACCCTTAGAATTTGACTTTAGGCTTTTCTTCCTATCTTACATATGAGTACCTCATTACTGATGTAACTTTCCATGGGCATCACTGCTGATATGCAGACAGGACTCAGCTATGTTAAAAAGAGGAAGTATTTTTCTTAACTTTGAATGGATTTAATCTAGGACTTCAGTACAGGTATCCAGTAACTGAGTAGATCTGTGCACATGTGAGCAATACATGCTACAGACACTCATAAGTGGAAGACACATCTTCATGATGCAAAATGGCCATAGTTTTCTAATCAGTTACCTGACAGACAAGCTTATCTTACATCATCATCATCATCATCATCATCATCATCATATATTTTCATGTAAATGTGAATTCTTGCAACTAATTCAAAACACTGAGAAACTTCCACATCTCTCTTGAGCTTCACTAATCTGCACAAGAAGAAGGTCCACATCAAGTATGAATTATCCAACTGAAAACACTAAATGCAGAGAAATTTTCATTCAAAATTTTTCCATAAGCCTTGGCAACTGCCAAGCAGTGGAATGCCCAGTATCTGAGAGACACAGTCCCCAGGAGTCATGGTTCAATGGACATATTACATGTAGTATGGTCCATTTCCCTGCAAAGTGAATTTGCTTGTATTGCAGCTGTGGAAAGTACATTCCTTTTTTATGTTATGTATTATATTATGTTATGTTATGTATTGTATTTTTTTTGAGCACTAAGGAGTATACTCAGTGTCTGAACTGCTGACATCTCTCAAGCAACTGCAGAAGAAAATATAAACACTCTCCACAGATCTGGAAACAAACAGAGCAATAACTGTGCCCGCTTCTCTCCCTGTGACTGAGGAAACCAGTGGACAATTATAACCTCATTAACTTGGACATGCGCTGCCTCCAGCTGCTGTTCCCGCATGGGGAAAGTGCTGTTCCTGCAGAGGGAAGGTCTGACTTGGACAAAAAAAGGACTTAAATCAGACTTAGTTCCTCAAAATTAAGCAATGCACTAAAAGCAAGGAATTCAAGCCTTTTTCTGTTTTTTTTTTAGAACATTTAAAACACTTCTAAGTTGCAGAAGACAAAAATGCAAAGCAGCCACGGAAGCTAAGCCCAAGGACGGCTACTAGGACTACCTGGCCATCTAAGTGCTAAAGGAAACACTTGACACTAAGAGCATAAACTATAGGAAAGTAAAAGAAAGAAGGAGAGGTCTTACCACCGTAAAAGAGAACTTTACGTATGCGAAAGAGAGGTGGGGCTTGTGACAGAGAAAAGACAAAAGTGAACTATAACAGCTCAAACATTCTGGAGGACAAAGAAAGCCAACAAAGACTCAAATCCCCCTCATTCCCAACAGCTCACACCATCTGCCTTCCCTCCTTCAATGGACCCCGCACAGTTTTGATAAGCTGCTTCCTTTATAAGGGGAAATGTTTAAGACCACCTGAAGGTGACATGGAAACAAATCAGTCAGGGCATACATTGAAAACCCATTTTAGAAAAAGTGAAGATCCTGGGAGCCATTAAAGTGAAGATCCTGGGAGCCATCAGTCTTAGAACATTTCTGTGCTGCTTTATAACCTGCTGGCTTTTAAAGAGCTTAGCAGCAGCAGCAGCAGCAGAACAGCACAGAGATATTGTCCAGCAACTATTGTGTTTTATCCTGAAAAGACCACAGAGTTCTGTAAGTCTCACACACTTCCTCACCAGATTTCATCTGCAAACAGTCCCCAGTGAAGAAAAGCTTTTAGGGTCACCAAGGCCATATCATTAAGGCATTAATAGGGAACTGCTCCCTAGCAGCACAGTTTCTAGCATCACATCCAGTTCTACTTTTTCAGGCAGAGAACAGTGCTTCCACCACATCCTTCAATTCACAGATTATGCTTCCTGATTGTTAGCCTACTTTTCATGGGTTAATTTCTAGCAAATAATGCCAAATTTCTGCAAAGAAACTCTAATAGGTACCGAGGCTGTTGAAGCATCAACACTTTAGACAGATGGCATCTGTGTGTGCCTCTGATCCCCTTCTCCTTATTAGAAGTGAGAAAGTGGCAGAATGATTTATTTCAATCCTGCCTGCCAAGTCTACTCAGTCTCTCTACCTATCAGAGACGCTTCCAGTTTGCAACTCTCCTAATGCTGATGTGTCCAAACTAAGATAAAATGGTGCTGTCAAGGATGACGTTGATTTTCTATTACTGTCTTTTAAGGCCTTTCTAATAAAGGAAGAGCACAAACCTCTTTGCTCGAGGTGTTTGTGCTTTCTGGGCCACAGAGGACAGTGAGAAACCTATTAACTCTCATTAACCAGTCAGTGTCCCAGAGGTTGTCCCAGCCAGATGACTTGGAAAATCATCATCTACGCTACAGTGATTCCAGGGGAGCATGATCCTGCCAGCCAAGAATGGGACACACGGTCATCTGATCTGTTTTGCTCTTAGGTTGATGGGGAACACAGGACACTTATCAAAGACTAGTCCTGTACTGCCTTCGCCAGTAAACAGCCAAGTGCCAGGTCTGCTGTGAATTGTGCCTTGAGTTATCACTGCTTTGGGGAAGACAGAAAACAAGAGGGTTAGATCCTGGAGCTCCTGCTATCTCTGATGATGAGTCTCCTTAGGAGAGCTGAAGGCGTAAGATCTGTCTGCAGTGCACTTGCCCTTTCAGCAGTCAAACACATGGCTGCCTGATGGCTGCTACCAGTTCCTAAAACACATTTTAGAGAATAGGAGTTTAATTTTTATGACTCAAACATTTCTCACATCAGCAATCTAACTCTACAGAAGGTGCCCAAAGGACACATGGTGCAGCATCCATCCACAGGCTGTCATGAACTCTGGATCTGAAGCCCTTAAGCACTGTATTCTAGGCATAAGTTAGGGTTTATACATTGTCCTGCACAGGCTGCATGGGTGCACATGGGGGTAAACTCCAGCTAGGAAAGGCACGATGGGGAAAAAGGAAAACAACTCACACAGCCTACTACTCTCCATCTCAAACAAACTATCTCCCACCTGAGCCTCCCAACTCTCTTCCACACTGTGTCCTGGAGAGCACTGTGGAAGTATGAGGCTGGAAGGAGGCAGGGGGCAGTTTCATGCAGCCAGGCCTGCCACTCTTTCCACTCCAAACCCTTCACGTGGCCTTTGTGCAAGAAGAAAACTTAATGTCACTGCAGAGTGGAAGGGCCAGAGATCCTCAAGCCAGGAGGAAAGGTATAGAGCCACACATGAACTGGAGCTCTGACCTCAGTAGCTATTCTTCAAGAGACATTACCTACATCTTAATGCCTGGGACCCAGCAAAGGGGCTATTTCCCAGAACTGCTCAGTCCATCAGGTACTGTTAAAAAATTGGACTGATGGATCAGAACAGGAGTCTTCCTTACAGCACATACCCTCTATTTGTACAGCAGCAGTATGATCTTTCAAGTCTTCTTTGCAGATCTGTTTTAATGCTGGCATTAAACTACAGAACACTAAAGCTAGTGTGAGAAACTACATCCAAAGTGCTAAAACTATGGGTAACAGATTAAAACTCTTTGTCTATTCACAACTACAAGCTCTTTGTCTACTCACAACTCACTTCAAGGAGCATGAACTTACCACTTGGTGAGGTGAATGAGCTCATGTGATCCAGAACTTAGGAACAGAACATAAGGGAAAACATCACGAAGAAAGTTAGGAGCAAGTGTTATAGTCTGGGTTCATGTGCACATGAACATATCTCTACAAAATAGATTAGCTTTTGTTGAAGAGAGCTCCTGATGCATACAGACCTTCGAGCACACCAGAAATGTACCCAGGGATGATGCCACGAACCGGCAAAATGAATATGAAACTCTTAGTGCAGTTAAACTGGTAGAACTATCAGTGACTGAACCTGAGAAATGACAGAGCCAAGAGCTAAAGACAGCAAATCTAATCATCATCCTTCACATCATTCAATTGGTTTCCTTCAATCCCTTTTTTAACCTAGTTTAAAAAAAATACACTTAGCTAATCCAATCATCTGCATTTAAAATATATGTACTAAGGCCTATAACTGAATTATTGTAGAGCTTGTTCTAAAGGTTATCTTCACAAGTTTCTGGAGAGCAAAGCAGTGAGGAATCACACTTGCCTCAAATAGAATTTTGCACCCTGAGGATTTCTTGAATATATATTTGGAAGAGACACACCCCAACACTCTCTATTGCTGTCCAACCCTCCTGCAGAACTTGTGCAACTAGAGTACAAATACATTACCATGCAGTTTTTCAACTTTTGCTCAAAATGCAAATCCTCCTCTGTCCATCACCCGCCTTTGTGTCAACTTTTGTCAGCAATAAATATTTCGAAAAGGGATGGTCTTTCAGCAAGTATTTGCTATGCACTGGGGAACTAAGGGGTGGAAACACGATACCAGTCCTTGTCTTAAGAAGCTCCCAAGTGACCAGAAGGTTGTCAGGAAAAGGTAAAATAAGCCCAGATTGATGAATGGGAACAGAGTCAAAGGGGACATGGTATGAGATGTGAACAGAGAAAACCTGGGAGGCCAAGCGAACATGGCAATCAAATAAAGTCATTAAAAAGACAAAGAAAAAAAACCAGTCAAAGTCATGACTCCTTTAACAGTCAAATTCACATATGTAACCTTTTTACAGTTACATTTTGGATGCAACAGGGAAAGAGAATCTTAGGAAAGTAAGCAACCAGATTTGGAGAGATGTCACGGCTGCAGAAAAAGGAGGAAGATAGGGCACTTGCAACAGTTAGAAGAATAAATTGCATTATATGTTCTCAACAGCAAGCACACAGGAGTAAATAGAACCATAGATTGGCTTGGAAGAGACCATAATGATCATCTCGTTCCACCCACCGTGCCATGGGCAGGGACATCTTCCACTAGACCAGGTTGCTCAAAGCCCCATCCAACCTGGCCTTGAACACTGCCAGGGATGTGTCACTCACAGTTTCTCTGGGCAACCTGTTCCAGGGCCTCAACCCACTCACAGGGAAAAGTTTTTTCCTAATATCCAATCTAAACCTATTTGAAGCCATTCCCCCTTGTCCTGTCACTCTATGCTCTTGTAAAAAGTCCCTCTCCATCTTTCTTGTAGGCTCCCTTCATGTACAGGAAGGTTGTAATTAAGTCACCCGGAAGCCTTCTCTCTTCCAGGCTGAACAATCCCAATTCTCTCAGACTTTCTTCATAGCAGAGACGCTCCATCCCTTCTATATAAGTAAGGACAAAACTGAAAGGGGAGCTAAAACGGTTTGCAGGAGCAAACAGTTTCTAGGGAAAGATAACATGAAATTATCACTGTTGCCTCAATCTCTAACATATCAGCAAGTAGTGACAGTCCCTATAAAAGACGTTCTTCAACAAAGTAGGTCTTAGTCCTTCTTCCCAGTGTCTGTTCTTACATCAGCATGACCTCACAAGACAAAGGCACTGCGGGGTACAAGCATATATAAAAAGCTGCTAACACAGAATTGAGAACATTTCATCCAGCCTTGCAGCCTGCTGAACTCAAGCCCACAGCTGGCAAATAGCCTCCCCCCACAGCACAGTCTCTGTATCTGTTGCACTGACAGAGATTAATAAAATAAATGGAGTCAACCTTCTTCACTTACAGAGCAACCCCACAGACTGTTTCCAAAGAACAAAACACAGGAAACTCTCTTACTGGCAGCATTTTTGTCCTAGCAATTTGAACTGAGAGTCTAATAGGCTCTCATTTCTATAAGCAAGCTCAAACCAAACTGGGGACAAGTGGATTGAGCAAAATTTTGTGAGTGACCAAAAGCAGTAGGTTTGACTGGGGTTTGGAATATGAATACAAACACTAGCATGCCACAAACAGCACCAGCACTTCTCTTTTATCACAATAGCCCCTTATAGGTGATCATAGAGCCCAATACTGCAAAATACTGAGAAAGCAACTGCTACCACAGCTGCAGAGCTAGTGGGAGCTGGATGCTCTCTGAACCTTGTAAAAAGCTGATAAGATTGTGCAAATCAATGCATAGAAATAAAATCAAGTTCAGAAACTGTAATCAACCACCTGAAGAGTACTTCAAGTAGCAGAATTCCTTTCCGGAAGTTTGCTGGGCTTTGCATGCCTAACTCTTTTTCAGAAACAGTAAAATTTCTTCCCTACCAGGAGGTGGAATTATGTAAAGGCTAATTCAAAGTGAAGATGTCTGCAGCAGGAATTTTCTAACAGCATCTTTCTGCCAATGGCTTAGACCATCTATGCTGTACTATCCAGGGAACTAGAGCCATGGCAAAACCCAGAGTCCGCCCACGTCTTCAGCCCTTTTTACCACAGTACACTGCAGAATGAAGCTGCTGCTGGCTGCTAATCTAAGCCAACGTGACCTCAGGTCAAAGAGAACTTCTGATTTCAAACCAGCTGGGATGACAATAAATAGCTTGCAACACAGCCTGACACAGAGGCCTGGAGCTCACACAGACCTCGGCCTCAATTCTCCCCCATAAGGCAGCTGTGCACAAACAAGCCACTGGAAATCCCTGCTCCAAAAAGTGCTGCTACTCCTGTGCTTAGGCCTCATTTTCACCAAATGGATGGAGAAGAAGAGATCAGCAACAAGTTAGCTAGCAGCAGTGAGACATTCTCTTACCTTCCATGGCGTATTTCATATCCTGGGCAAAAAGACTCCACATCACCTCTGCGCTGATCTTCCCAACTGCAAGCTCCTGAGGAAACCTGAGGGGACATTTGGAAAAGCTTTGGTATGTGGCAGAGCAAAAGGCTCTTCTTTATTCAGCTCTGAGCTACACTATATACTGAAAAACTCAACCTTACAGAACTGCCTTCACCCTGTATAAAGGTCCGGGTGTGAAATTTGGAGACGGTGAACTGGACTCTGTGGCATAGATTAAGTAATCTGAAACCAACACTGGTTTTAACTCATAAAGCCAGACCCTGGATGTCTTTTCAAGTAGTAATGTATACAATAATTCTGGGAGTGTGATCTCGATGCCCTTGCACCTTTTTCCCTTTCCTTGTCCATTTTTTTATTCTCCGTTTCAAGGGTTACTAGGCTGACATGTGAATGATAATAACCTAAATGTTAAATCAATGATCACTAGGGCATAATCCAGCTGTTTGTGTATAATACTGTGTCAGATCTCTCTCTCTCCTGCTCTGTGGGACTGTTGGAGGGGTGTCCACTGGTTAAACAGACCCATTTCAGGTTCCTTTCCAACGCTATGCCAGCTCCACCCAATGCAATCTCCCAGTGCTGCACTGAACACCATGTTCCTAAATCACAGTGTAAGGCACCACTGTGTGCATTAATGTGCACCCCAGAACTGCTCAACATCAGAAAAAACCAAAAAGAACTCTCACCCCGTTTTCAGGTGCCTCCCTGAGTTCAGGATTGTAATAATCAGGGTGTTTGTGCTCGAACGCCAGCGTAACTGAACCTTTTGAAACTCTTCCATCCCAATCAAAAAGAGTTATTTATAAAGGCAGAGACAGATAAGACAGAAAGACAGACAGACAAGATAAGTACTTCTATAAATGCACAAGTGACAGAAGAGAAAGAAAGCAGTTCAACAAATAAAGCAGAGCGCACACAGACTAGTATTAGCCACACGGGACATGGAAGATTCTTACTGATTCAGGACTGGGGTATAGGAATTCTTGTCCTCTTCTATGATGGAAACTATCAAAGTGATAAGCTTGGGCCAGAAATCAAGGTTCCTGATGCTGGGGCCCTGTTCCTCAGGAGGAAGGTCCTGATTTTTATTCTGGGAAGGAAGCCATTGGAAAAACAGCATAAACTTTAAGGGGACAGAAAAAGCTGGCAAATGTAAATCATCATCCAAACTCCAAACACTAATTACCTGTGGGCCTTTTCTCCGAAGAGCTTAAAATTAATAATTACTATTGGCAATTTGCCTGATCTAATGCAAAACACAGTAACATGCCAAACCATGTTGCCTACTGGTGGCCTCAAACCCAACTAATCCCTGTTCTGTCATTTACCATGCCAAGAGCAGGCCAGGCTCCAGGAGTCCTGCTGAGACAATTATTTTCCCTAAGCTAATTCCAAAAACTTGCTTTTTAGGCACCTGGTTCATGACTACATCCACACTGACACATTGTGTGTGCATTACTACAGAGTGGTTAGAGGAGCTTTTATGGATTTGAAAACAGTTTGTGTCTAGAGGCACCTCCTAAACTCAGTACAGGATAGTGGCTGCTAGAAAACAAGGTAAAATTTCACTGCTCGAGGTTTACAAATGTTAAAGTTTCCTGGATCAGTCTACGTCTGCTCTAATTGGCTTTTGCTCATTCAAAGCTACATCAAACCTTCCCTTCACAAATAACTGCTGAGACTGGCAAAATGCATCATAATTAGTGTAAAACAATTATCATCCTCCACTTACTAATTAGCGCTCATTATTTGATTACAAGTTTTGTGCATTCAGAAGATAACAAGTCACGTAATTTTGTTTGTGTTGGCTTTTTGTATCAATTAGTATTCTTGTTATGATCTTAAGGAAATCAGAAGCTTGGACTTCTGCCTTCTTATCAGCTACTCACAGGGTCTGTCTGGTACTCGCGACTGTACAGCTCATGACAGTTGTTGAAAATGTACTCGTAGGTGGAGTTGAGACAAGCTTTCACACAGTCCTTCACTACCTGGCTGGCTCGGGGTGGGCTCTGCAGCTCTTGGACCTGGCAAGGAGACAGCAAAGGGAGTCAAACAAAGCACTGTTCATAAATCAAGCAGGGAAGGAACACAGTGCCAGTTTGGGAACCACCCAGGTCTCGGTGGATCTGCTTTCAGCAACTTGTGCTATCAGTGACCTGAAGCCACAAATGGGTCACTCTCCCCAGGTATCAAAAAGCAGCGATGACACTCCTCTCCCCACAGGACCATTTGCAGACTAAAAAGAGATCCTGAAGTGTCGAGGAAGATTTCTCAAAATAGACAGATCATGTGGCTTGATATGTGTATAATCTGAGACAAACACACAATTTCTGCTGAATTTATAGGATTTTGTTACAAAGCCAGCGAGTAATCTTTCCCAACACTGGAATAATGTACAACAGACCAGCAGAGCAGATAACATCTGATCTGGAAAGTCTTACTGAAGACCACTTGTATGCCTTCAAATACAAAAACGTGCATTAAGGACATCTTTCATCACAAGCTTTATTGAATTTTAAAGCACATCAGAATCCCTAGGGTCATGCCAACTGATACGCCTTCTCCTCTTGCAACAGCAGCTGTTTTCATTATTTCTTTGTTATGTTGCTTTAGAAAAATGCTGCAGGAGCACTTTAGACTAAACAGATAGGCAGGCATCACCCTGCAAATACAACAACGACCCAGCAACTTTGATACTGTCAGTATCTCTAAACTTCTCAGAGGATTTCTATAAAGCAAACTTTCAATACAGACAGACTGTCTGAATGAACACTTAAAATAGAGTTCCAAAACATCATTTACCCTAAGGGTTAGGAGTAAAATTTTAAGAACTTCCTGAAACAGCTCAAATTTAACACTTGGTTTTTGATAAGATAAAAATTTCTAAGTGACATGTACAAACTGATGGCAGCAGGTTGTAAACTTTAAAAAAAATTTAGAAACCAATACTCAGAAATTAAAAATAATCTCATTACACACTGCTAGAACAATAAACTTAACTACAGAACCAGCACATTAGCATTCATAACAACTCCTCTGGATCTCTACAGAGAGTTATTATCTTATTGCAGTATTTTGCCACCCATGAGATAAACTCTAAAATATTTACTAGATAAAAGATAGTGAATAGATGGTAGTGACTGATATTTTGTAGGAAAAGCTTCCTAATGATGTTAACAGAAGCAAATTATCTTCCTAAAACTAGACAATTTTCTTTATTCCTCCTCCTTTTTTTTTATGCCATATTTATGATTCAAGAACCCTAGGCAAAAACCAATTTACATCTTCACAGTGCAAAACACAGTGAAGTAAAGACAAAATGTGGATGTTTATACATGTTCACAGATGATTTCCATTTTCCTTAAGTGTCTAAAACAAAACAACGTGAAACAATGCTTTGAAAATGGGAAATCAACTCCTGGGGGAAAAACTGCAGAGGTGCCATTCCCATCCCCACCCATATCACTACCTTCATCCTGAAAAAAGTGATGCTGGTCAGCAAATCCACTGTAGACTTCAGGTCCTGCAGGCGTTCACGGCTGCTGGCTGGGAAGTTATTCTGTTGACAGAAAAGGGAAATCCTGTTGGAAAGCACAGCCAGATCCATGCAAGGCTTCAAGCATGTGCTAAATAAGGAAACTGTCTTGGAAACATTTCCTGCTCAAGTAGCTTGTACCAGTCAAAACAATGCTCAATAAATAAGGCCTTTTTGCTGCAGGAGCTTATCTGTTTGCTTAATTAAATAGCTTCTCATAAGAATGTAAAGTCCGTGGATGCCAGAAGACTGACAGCCCTTGGCGGCAGGAAATCTCTCCTTGGCTGCAGAAGGAGCAGGCTGGGAACAGCCTCGCCCCTGGCAGCCCTGGCCTCTTGCCTGAGGTTGCTTGTGTGGGCCCTTTCCTTTCTGCACTCACTGCTTGGTGTTTTGGTTGCCCTTCTGAGATGTTGAGAGGTGTGGTGCATTAACACCTCTCCAGAGAAATAAACTGGACTGAGAAGGAAAAATGAGCACTGTTCCCTCTAAGAAGGAATCGTAACCACTCAGTCACCTGTAAGACCCCATCTGCCAAGATAACTACATATCCTTCAGTGCATCCTTCCCTCTAATGCATTTATTTTACAAACCCTTCCCATCACCCTGCTGTCCACAGACATACACACCTTCCTCTTCCACTCTCTGGGTTCCACTGAAACTAGAAGTCTTGTCCCTTCCATATACGACACATATTTGTGTATGTGCCCGTATGTATATATATGCATGTAAATACATATGCTGACTGCAGAAAGTTTTGTTTCCTGCATGAGATCCTCCCTCTCTGACCTCAGGCACTGCACCCTTTCCTACACTCCCACTCTCTCCAACCCGTGTCCTTTAACTGCATTCATGTTCCTCAGCAGGTTTTTCCATTAAAACCGATGTGATTTTCAGTTCTGCTGCAAGTACAATAGCAAAGGCAACCTCCACTTGGGTAGTCTCTTCTTATTTGCAAGTTCAAAAATTATTTAGATACAAAGGTAAAAAAGGGCAGAGGAGAACAAGTGTTCACTTTTTATTGAGGACTTGAAGAAGAACACACAGTCTCTTGACAGTAGTAATTGAGTATTACTGCAGTTCAGCTAACCACTGCAAACAATTTAATGCTCTTTGCAGTTATTTGTAGATGCTCATTTCTAGATAACTCTCCTTTTAAGGTTAACTTGTCTACATGTGGGCTCTGTGGAACTCAGGGTATTTCTCAAAATCAAAGACTTTGAAAGGTCAAGATCTAAGTACAAACCACTGCATGAATGTGAAATGCTGTCTCCTGTCTGGAAAGCTGCAAACTAACACCTTTTCTTCCGGATCTTAACCTGCTCTTCAGGGGTCTTAAAATAATTACTAAATGCTCTCACATTGCTTCAGACATTTCTCTAAATATAATGGCAATTAGATAACACCTTAATTATTAGAATACACAAATCTTTCCTGGTCCTCTATGTAAGATCTTACTTGTTTGTGCACAGGTCAGTTGCATTAGCCACCAAAAAGCAGCTTTTAATGAAGACCAAGCAAACAAAAAAGGCATCACTGCTACAGATTCCTATTGCCATGCATTGATAATTTGCCTTCTGCTACTCAGTGGCTCTATTTAGACCTTCTATTACTAGTACTGTAGCTTCAGAATAGCTCTTCATATACTATTCCTTTTATCTTCTTTTGCACTCTGCCCCTTTTCCTTTTTGTTCTCTCTTCCTAATGCACTTCTCTTAATCTGCTCGTGTTTTTCTCCTACATATGTTTTTTGTGTTTCAGATGAATGCACTAATCAAAAGAGGATCTAGTTTAAAATAAATAAATAAAACCAAAGCTCACATTTTGCCACCATTTTTAAAATTTTCAATGAATTAAACACCAACTGAACTAATATGGCAAGGAAATAAAGAAAAAGAAAGCTAAGTCACGTGATAAGAGTATACTGACTCTGCAGTAACAGAGAAAGAAAGCAGAAGGTTTACGAAGCCTGTTAGATTAATGCCAACATTTAAAACTCATCTAATCACAAAGTGTTGAAGAGGAGAGAGTCTCAAATCTGACAATACATCTTTTGTAGATCCACAGTTAGGGATAGTGATTTAAATTTGCCACATCTCAAATAACTGACAACATGGTTGTGGGTTCTCTAAAATATTTCTGCCATAGTAGGGGAGAACAACTCTGTTTTCCATTTTTAGATGATACCTGAAGTAGCTGATAAAAGTAACTAAAATAATTTAATCCAATCCAACTGGCGTTTCTAGGAGAGTATCAGAGATAAGCACAGTTCACAATCCTCAAATTATTTTGGAAGGCTTGAGGAAGTTATAAAAGAAAAAAAAACATGACTTAAGTTCTGTCCATGAGGAAAACTAAATGGTATATTTGAGTAATAACAAGTTTGTCATGACAATTCCTGACGACACAAACTACACAAAAAGTTAGAAGCATATGAGAAATCCAAATGGTGTGTTTCCCCTCTGCCCACCAGAATGCCTGAAAGGACTCTGTTTATTCCCACTCACCCTGTACATTGAGAGATCAATCCGAAGTGAATTATGAAGCTGGTCCAGAAGCTTCACAAATCGTTCTTTCTGTTGAGCAGAGAACACCAATAAACACCACATATCATCACTGTCCAATCGATGTTCAGAGTAAGCAGCAGGCTATCAGGTAGTGTCAGATCTCATGAGAGCAGGAGGAAGCAGTATGGATACATGGCATTGTGGAAACAGTGTTTTCTTTCGATTCTTGGATTTACTTTTAAACTGTAATTATTTCTGAAGTCTGTGTAACGTTAGAATTGTCAGAAAAAACACTCCATAATTACTCTGAAGTAGAGGCAGAAGAGAAACCCCTTTGATTTCTAGCCTGCAATTTACACCAAACTTGTATTTAAGAGAAAATATTTATTCAGAGATGAATAAAGTACAGCAGAAAAGGGTCTAATTCAGAGCAATAACACAGCTTCAAGACCTTATCTATTAGTTCAGTGACAAGCAGTTCAGTGACAAGTATTATAGGCTTCTTGTGACATATCTTTCTGAGGTAGATTTCTCCACTGGCTTCTGATTCAGCACTGTGAACATCTCCTCAATCTATTTGCAAATTCTCAATCTGATGGGAAGCATAAGCCTTTCCAAATATTTTGTTAGCATACTCAACTCCACCACAAGTTATGTAAAAAATATTTTAACCATTAGAGGGATAGACATTTCTTGTGGCTTCGAGTTTGTTTTTTCTTCCTTAAAGACGTTGCTATTTTTAAAAACAAAGTTCTGAAATTACTAGATTGCATGGTATATTTCACCAACAGCATCAGCAGCCTGAGTTTAGTATTGTTTGCTCATTCCATACCATCTGTGCCCTAGTGTAACGTGAACATAAAGAATAAACATCACATTGCATTACACTGATTGGTATAAAAAACGTGTGATGATGACGACAATAAACCCATGCTCTTTGTGTAGTCTGAAAGAGTTTTACTGCTTCCAGCTCCTCATAGATTTGAGGTTCCTTAAACAGAAGTTATTTACTGAAAGGTGGAAGCACCGCGGGGAAGTTACAGAAGTCCAATTGTAACATCACCAAACACGCAAACATACCCCAAAATTGGAGGCTGCAAAGCGGTCCGAAGCAGACACATTTGTGGAGGCAGTGGTGTGTGCATAATAAGCATTGATATTGGCAAGTAAGGTGCTCATCACAGCTGGCACGCCTGGGCACATGTATTTAGAGGAGAGACATGCAAAATGCCTGCAAAAGGACAGTTCTGTAAGTCATTGTGGTCTTTTCTGAGTGGCAGGGCTAGACTTTATCCCTTCAATAGACCCCTTATTCTGGTGGGCACTGACAAACAGATGCAAGTTATGTTTCATCCCTTTACGTAGCTTTCCAGCATCTCAGAGCCTTTTTCAGAATGATGCCATCCAGACAACAGCTCAAAATGAGAAACCCCTTCACTACAGCCCTTTCTAGATCATAAAACAACTTCTCAACTATTTGTTGCCAACAGCTTGTGACTCAGGTCATACCCTGGGTCCTGATGCCAATTCCTAGAAGCAAGCCTGACACAAGGTAATCTATATAATTTGCTGCTGCTTGAGGCAGACATGGGTTCTGAGGCGACATGACGCAGCAGCAACTGCCTCGGAGAGGCACAGAGGGAGCACACATGCTGGTATTTCTGTGTTGCACTGATATGTGATTCCTCATGGCTGACCCTTCCAACCTGCAGGAATCATGCCCACTCATTTGCATTTTCCCATTCTCTCATTAAATGCAAGGACCCTCCTTCAGGAAATCTCAAAATTATGCCAGGAGTGCCCAGGCTCATGAAATGATTAAATAATCAAAGCAAATCTGTTAGACATAAGGGGAGAAAAAAGTAATCAGAGCTTAAGAGGTCCTGTATTATGCGAGGGGGGCAAGTAAAGTTCATTCCAACAGGCAGGAGAGTTGAGCTGTTTTTAAGCTGGAATCTTCAGAACTCCCAAATGAAACCTGGAAGCTACTTTCCGAATATAGCTTTCTGCTGAAGGAACTCACAGAATCACAGAATAGTTTGGGATGGGAGGGACCTTAAAAGTCCTCCTCTGCAGTAAACAGGCACATCTTCAACCAAACCAGTTTGCTCAAAATCCGTGACCTTGAACATTTCCAGAGATAGGACATCTACCACCTCTCTGGGCAACCTGTCCATCCCGTATTTTACCACCCTTGTTGTAAAAAATTCTTTCCTTTTATGTAGGCAAAATTTACCCTCTTACAGTCATGCTTGCTACATGATACTTATGTACCAACTGGTCATTTAGGCACTTGGTAAATAGATATAAGCACATAAATTGGCTTTGTTTAACATTAAGAAGAGAAAACGTGAGAAGTAGGGATCTAATCAGTGTCTTGACTACTTAGCAGAGAGGGGAAGGTTAGAAACATAGAATCAGTCATTAAGGCTGGACAAGACATCCGAGATCATGGATTCCAACCACTAAAGTAGCATGGCCATTATTTATTTTATCACTAAATCATGGCCCTAAGTGCCCCAGCCACATGTTTTTGAACATTCCAGAAATGGTGATTCCACCATTTCTCTGGGCAGCCACTTAGGGAGAAGACTGAGCCAGGTCAAAATCCTTTCAGAGGGAAGACTAAAAGACAGGCAGCAATATGCTGCAGCTACAGCATAAGCAATTCAAAGTACGATTTTCCAGTCTGGATTTTAACCAGGAATTTCTTTCCCAGAGCACTACAGCCTGAAGACAGGAGCTAAGAGAGGTAGCAGACCTTCATCCTTGGAAATTTTCCACGTACTGAAAGAGCCCCAAGCAGCCTGGTCCAACTTCCAAGTTACACCTGTTATAAGTAGTGACTAGATCTACAGAGAAACCTTACAATACGCAGAAAAGCTGCTTGCAAGGTGACATGAGTACAGTTCGTAACTCACCCATGGACCCATAACCCAAAACTTTCTGCTTCTAATGTGAAAGAGTTCACTTTTGTCTGCTCTATATTTACATTTGAAATAAGAAATAAGCTAGGCACAGCGCTACTAGTCTGTAAGAAGAATGACTAATCCCAAATCCAAGTAAAAGTATAGTGACAAGGAGAAGGTTCTTTGAAGATGAAGAACTGCATTAGCCAGCTCCAAAGAGGACAAATCAGTGGCTCCATTACTCAAACTTTCTATAAATGCCTTCAGCAGCATCTGGCAAATCAGTCAGTTCAAAGGACTGTAACAATTGCTGCGGCAGTTGTGTAGGACAAATGCTTTCACAAAACCTCATCCCTTCTCACATCATCAGAAATATTCAGTGGGAATCCTGAGCAATATCTTTTTAACAGAAGAGTTCTCAAATAGGGATTTTTGACAGTCTGAAAACAGGAATGTCTCAGCCACCAATAATAAAATACGGTCCTTTATGCTAGTGAAGTTGCTGTAATTCCTTAGAATTATTTTTAAAGGTCTTCACACAAATGCTGAGATAGAAGCTTAATTCCAGCATTTTGCCAAACATTATTTTCCAGACTTTGAGTAAACTGGTGATTCAGAGACAGGCTCGCAGCAAGCCCCATAAGGAGCAGCTGTCACTGCCAAGCCTTCCATTACCAATACACTTCATCATCTAAACAGTAAAAGCCGCCTCAATTAGTTACACCAATTACGTGCACAAAACGCATCTTACGTCATGGCCTGATATATTGATTCAATGCCGTAACGCATTGCAAATTCATCCACGATCTCTTGAGCTGTCTCGTCAAAATACACCTTCCAGGCATCATCTCCTTTGGCATCAGGGATCTTCACCACCCCATTTCCTTGCACATCTGTGAGATGGTGAAAGAGGTTCTGAAAGACAAAGCAGGGAATAAGTTTGTGTGTGAGGCTGCTGAAGGTTTTAAACAAGATTCATGAAGATCTTGGAACTGCTGAGGTGGTGGCACTAACACAAATTCCTTTGTTCTCCTCCTCTTTCTTTCCCCCTACCCATTCTGTGTTTTCTGCTTTTGCCTTCTTTTCTTCTTGAGTGCTCATAGCTGAATTTTTTGCATGTGGACCTACAGCTTTACCCAGCAGACACTGTGAACAATGCAGAACAGTGTTTCAGTGCTCTGAAACCACACACTAATTAGTTTCCTGAAACCTACACATTTCTGTCCTCGGAAAGATATGTCTTGGACAAGCTATTTAAACTAGCTGATGTTACAGCTCTGTATCAGCATCGTAATTATTATTATACAGCAGAACAATCCAAAGAGGGTTTTTTCTTCTGAGAAGGATACCCTTAAGATCACCCCTAGCAACTAGACACTTGCATTATTATTCATCATTCCCTTTCACTTTATCTAACACTACAAAAGTTTTCAGCTATCATTGCTGTGCAGAAATTGCACAATCAGCTCAGTGGGTTTCTCAGTAATCCTCAAATTCAAGTCACTTGCAGTTTCATCAGCCTTTCAGACAGCTGGCTCCCTGCAGTAAGGGGTGCAAAAGTCTAATGATCTCATTAGTAGCTAGAGGACTGTGCTTTACACTACTATTTTTCCTGATTAAATTATCCTTGCTGTAAATCATCTTCATTTTAGAATACACAAATGAAAGAAGGGGATGCTTAAGAAAGAGACCTATTTGCAAAAAAACAGCAGCAAGTGATCATGGATGTTCAAAGAAAAAAAAAAAAAGAAATAGCTTACCAAACAGAAGCCATCATAAAATTAAAAAAACAAATATGTATTAAAGGAGACAACACAGCCTACTAAAAGAAGCCTACTAATGTTTTTTCTATGCTCCAGAGCTGTCCAATAGACAGCTCCTTGCTAAAGCCAGAAGATACCACAAGACTCATCCAACCCAGCGTCTGGAAAAATAATCCATAAATGTTGTTCCTGTTGATGAGCAATCCTCTCTGTGATGCAACTGCCCTTCTTGTCTAAGATGAATTTACTTAAACCTCACTGGACTTTAGGATATTCTTATATATAGGGCTCTGACTACTCTTCCTTATTCAGGCACTTAAGAGTCTCAGCCTACCACCTGCCTTCTCTTTGACATAGATAGACTGGGTACCGTGCACTTCTCCAAGGCAAGGTTATTCCTTTAGTCCTTCTCGTAAGTCATCTTTGGGTTTCTTTCAACTTCTGCAGCACTGCCTGCCCAGTTCAGCCCATCCTGAGACAGGTCGGTACCCAGTAACCTCATCTGATCTTCTGTTCCCCAACAGCACAGTTCTGTTTCCCCAAACAGTTGTTCATAACTACACACCAGTGCACAGACAAAAGAATTTATACCACCAGTATCTGCATCACTCAACAGCCAGAAACAAAACCCTCCGCAATCATAATTTACTTACGAAGCATTTTAGTATGCTTCCTCTAAAGAAAGACATAGATACAGTACACATTGAAAACATCACTCAAGGAATTTCAGACATTTCTCCACATTAAACTCATGGTTATTTGGCTCTGAGTGGATCCAATGCCTCATCTCTGCCTAACAGTAGCGCAGCTGTGACATGGGACAGACTGAGCCAGCCAGCCCCCAGCATGGGGGAGACAGCCTAAAGTTGCCTTTGCCTCTCTGACAAATGCAGGTCTGATGATTCACTATGTTACCAGGCCTGCATAGGAGGGAAAGGAAAGCTCACCTAAGGCAAAGGGGCACATTCCAAGGACATGAATGTCAGAAAATTGCTTCTTCAGTAGTCAGAAGGAATATGGTGGTGTTCCCAACTCTTACCTCATGAAGGCAAGTGTACTGAATATGATACGGAGCCACCTTCTCCTCGCCTTTGATCTCCACACTGATTTGCAGACGAATAGCCCCAGACACTGCAGACTTATCTGTTCTTTTCTCTAGAGGAAGAAAGATCAGCAATTGTATGCATCGTTCATGTTCAGAGCACAGACATCTTGGGGTGACAACACTGGCAAAGAAACTGCTGGAAGCTCAGGCTGAGTCACCTCAGAGAAAACTTTCTCTTTTCTTTCTAAACATTGAATACTAAGTAGACATCAGCAAAACAACTGCCATGATACACCCTCAATATGACACATCTAGCTAGAACTAGGTACATTTTTAGACATAAGACAGCCTTCCTGTCAGCAAATGTGCTACAGGGTCTTGGATTCAGTCAGCTGAACTAAAACCACCAAGGACAGATTCCTTTTCTGAGAACATAGCTGAATGATGTGGAATTCTTCCCTAACTTCATATAGCCCTGAACTCCTGGGAATTGCTGGCTGTCCCTATCAAGAAGATTTTGGACCTCTTATGACTATTACTGTGCTTGTCAACTCAGCACCTGTCGGGGGTGGATCAGAAGAGGCACCATCTGGCTACTCTAGTACTTTCCTCAACAGTCACTGGGAAAGGTCTCAGCAACCTGCCAGCCCAGTGCAGTGCACTTGATGGTTTTATAGTCTGGTAAAATGTTCATGTTAAAACAAAAGCAAAAAAAAGGATGTATGTAAAAGGGCAGTATGCCTCCAGCACAGGTGGAATACAGTCCTGCTCCAAGCATTTAATCCACTGTACTTTTCAATGCCTGACAGAAAAAACCCACCAACCTTCTGGCATGTTATGCTCCTCTTCATTTTAACTGGGATCATGTGCCCTTTGAAACTATGTAAGCTTTTTTTGTTTCCTTTCTTGCAAATTGTCCACATGCATCCAAGTGCTATCAAACATTCCCAAACTGACACGTAATGTTTTCAGTCCCAAAAGCCTTGCTCACCAAGGTTGTACCACACATCCATCTCTCCGCTCAGAGTACGAACTTCAATGATTGTCTGCCCCAGGAAATCATCTGACTCGCGTTTCAGTCTCTGCTTGACACGAGACTTGATGTCATCATCTTCATCCCATACTCGCACCTTGATCCGGTCAGAGGAATTATGGCACTCACTGCAAACAAAAGAAGTGCAATTTTAACAGTGCACACTGCAGCCAACATTTACATGCAGCACGCTTTGCGTTCCTCTTGATCCACTCATCCAGCATTAGAGGGATGTATTACTAAAATCTATTAGCAAAATGTAAACAATGCCTGTTTATTTAAAAGTCTGGTATGAACTACTGAACAACCTCTTGGTGCAATCTAAATGCTCCTGTGACATGGCAGATACTGCACTCCAGACGCAAGCTGAAGGACCGCCCTGCCCTGACCTCAGCCACCTACTCCACACTTACTAAGTGGTTGTGACTCTCCTGCTTGTCCTCACTGTCAGCAGCAGCTCCCCAAACTTGGGAATTCTCCTCACAGCTGACTGTGAAGCCCAAAGAAACCTGGGGATAGCTAAACTGATAAATGCTTTCATATACCCCCCCAAAATGATGATGAGCGTCGCACTGGTTTCAGTAGCTCACTCCATCAATGACCTCCTGTTCAGCTGTAGGTGCTGAGGGATACCTGTCTTTATGCAGTATCTAGGACAGCACAGTCAAGGCCTGTGACACACACCCTTCATGCTGGTTTCTAAAAATAGGATAAATAGCTCAGGTGGAGGTAGATCTCTTACTTCAAGATAGTCACAAAGCAGTAGTGTATGAATGCACAATACATTATAACCAAATGATACACGTACTGCCTGAGGGGAAAGGGTGGGGTACAGTAATTACAGCATTGGTATTTAATTACTAGAATTGATTCTGCCCATTATTCACAGTTTAGACTGATACTTTGTGCTCTGGGTAGATCAATAAAGACATTTCCATTAAGAGAAGTAGTTTACTGTTTGATGAATTGGCACCCTCCAGTTTAATGCACAGGCAGAATTTGCAGACTCTCCCTCTTTTTTAGGTGTTTAGACACCTTTTGTAGATCCAAAAAAGCTCTTGGATGACAGAAGTGGGCAGGAGAACTGTATTATAAGAGCTCTGCTCATTTACAGGGCATGCAATAAAGCAATTTGAATGCTCATATGAGACCATGACAAGGGTGATTACTCACCATAACTGCTACAAATGTCTACCCTCAAGCAAATAAAACCTATGAAAACAGGCAACTGCTGCTGAAGGCCTGTTTTCCAGCCTTTTTAACATTAACATGCTGCATCTGTTGCTAAGCAACAGGGAGAAAGAAGAAATGGGTCAGAAGAGATCTGCTAAGCCTGGTCAATAGGATGTGGCAGTGACTGGTATGAGCATGCTCTCTCACAAGAAACCATTTGGGCTCTTATTGCCACCACTGTGATTCAGGACAACATTTAACAGATGTCCACGCAGCTCCTACTGATTTTTCCAGTAGAGAGGGATAGCTGGGAATTATATGGACAAAGTCAGAGGCAATTCCATGCAGTTCTGATCATGGACAGAGCACATCACTGCTCCCTGTCTTTGCTGTGCAATCCATGCTGTATTTAGAGTTCAGGAGAAAAGAGGTTCTATGTTTGGCTTTATTCTCCTCTCCCTCCTTTTTTACTGCAAGAACATCTTCCTTAACAAAATCGTGCAGCCAAGTGTTCACAAGCAGGGAATTCCTGGACTTGCTGTTCTTTGTAGCTCTCAAATTTATCTGAGTACATTGCCATATTTACCAGCAACACAGTGTAACCATGTTAAAGAAATCCTCTCTTCCTGACATGGTGTGCTAATGTACAGCCTGGCAGTTTTGTAGAGGCTCAGTGTTCAGAAATGCATGGGTGCCTAAAAACACAGACTAGCACACGCTGCCATTTACAAAGCATCAATAAGTCCTGACTTCTTTAGACTTCACCTTCTGGTGAGACAGCTCTTTTTTAGGACTGCTTTGATCTTGTTTCTTTGCTACCAGTGGTCTTTCCTTAAAGAAAACATTCACTGTTCAGACCTAAATCTAACTTAGGCAGTCCCACATGCATCATCCCACGCTCCTGAGGTGGCTGGCTATCATCCTTCACTCGACTACAGCAGCATAACTCACTGCTAAGTGCTACAGGAAACTTTGCAGTAGCAATTACTGAGCTACTGAAGCTTCTGTTTTACCACACCTTTCTCTGCTGTTTTTAAGAGACTGCTCAATTTGTATTCTTTATACTGGTCCCATGCCAGAGAGTGAGCTTTATCACTTGCTCAGAGCAGCTGAAAGCCTTGAGCTGGTGGCTTACCATAAAACATCTAGGTTTGTAAGAACCACAGCCCTTGCTTTTGGTTATGTCAAATCCAGAGGTTACCTTCCAGAGAGCACCCCAAAACAGAACCATGAATACTGGGAGATTTGGGCTTTCTGACTGGAAGCAGGTTTTCTAACTAATGACATAGCTTCCAATTTGTGACGACTCTGTAAGACTGTGGCTAACAAGCTCTGCTGCTAGAAGCTTTCCCCTTCATTAATACAGGAGCTGGCACATTTCTCAAGATGCCTGCCCCACTTCTTGCTATGTTTTTATGAAGCTTGATTTCACTGTGTGCACACATACGTCTGTCCACCCTCCCACAGCCGAGCTCCCACAGCTTTCCCAAGAGGATGCAGAAAAGGAAAGTGACCCCAAGGAAAGGAAGAAATTACCAAATGCTCTCAGGTCCTCTTGAGTGCAAGAGACTGGAAACCACATTTGCTATGTACACAGCTCAAAAATTGCCTCTTTCTTTTTTATCTATATTGTCTTTGTGTTTACAATTCGGCCACTTTTACACTTAAAGCTACCAAATAAAGTAATATTTTCCAGAAACAGTACATCAAATTTTTAAGAAAAATTTAAAACAAAAAAAGGTGATTTTATTTTTTTTTTCCCCCCCATGAACTTTTTCTGCCTGAAGCCAGTGGTTGCTGCAGAGGAAGCAGCTGAGCCTGGTTCTGCTGACTTGTTCTTCATCCCACTCTCTACCTCCGTTCTCTTCTACCACTTTGGTCTTTCCCAGCAGCAAAGCCCCAGCACCCACGCACATCCCCTGCACTGTCAATATTTGGGTCTCTTCCCAGGCCCAGCTAGCAACTGGGCTGAGGGGAAGCACGCGAGCACACGAAGCTGTAGTTAATTCTGTTCTGCACACAGTGACATGCCCACACACACAGCAATTAGTATATTGGTGGCTAAACAGAACAAGCAACTGTTGAATTTACACTATAATTCCTCCCACAATGAAGTTAGTAATTTGCATCCTTCTAATCCAGCCCTAACTTCTGAGAAAAAAAAAATAAAATTGTAGAAAGTGATTCTTAGCTGTGAGATCTCTGCCCACGTTGGGCCAAATTGGCTCACATGATGTCAAGGGTTTGGGACAGAGTATTTAATGTGCTTTGTCTCCTCCAAAGTGTGGAGAGAAAGAAAAAGGAGAAGTGTCTAAAAATGACCAGAACATCACTTCTGAACCAACGATTCATCCTTTGAAAGCAAAAAAAGCCTAACAACATTTGTGCTGAATTTGCTAATTTTGATTTGTAGAGCTGACTACCTAATAAAGATAAAACAGAACAAGTAGATTTAAGCAAGAACAGACAGTGAAAGTGAAGGACCAAAGGAAGCAACAATATCTTGCAGATTTAAAGCTAGGTTGAAGCCCAGAATTAAGTAATTTTATTGTGTGTTGATATTAAAAATATTTATGGTTCAGAGAGTCTAGTGAATATCTATATGTCCATATTCTGTGAGCGGTTTCCTTTGAGTGTTGTGGCTGATGCAGCTCTCAAGAAGGGCCTGTAAAGTTTCACAGTCTGGTGCAGTGGACATTTCAGACAATGACAGAGAAAAAGAAAGAAAGAAAGTGCAGAGCTGCTTGCAGAAATAATGGATGAGAGAGCAGAAGCCAAGACTTTAGGACCTGTGATCATTTTAGGAGGACAGCTTTGCTCCTGAGGAGCAGAGCTTAAAAAAAAATCAGAAGGGATTTTTCTGGAAAATGAGAAAGGAAGGAGTAGTTTGGCAAGCAGTAAAAAGTTATAACAACATACAGAGACAGCAGGAAAAAAAAGTTGTTTGGGAAAATAGTGTGGCTGAAAAAGCTAGAAGATTTGGATGTGGTTCAAATGAAGTGTCATGACATGGCAGCTCTGTTGTGGCCAACCTCAATGGGAATGGAAGGCAGAAAACTTCTCAGAACATGTTCACTTTTAAACAGTGACAAGACTCCCCTACGGGGGAGAAAAAAGGACAGGGGAGAAAACACCACAGGCAAAATCGGAGTGGTAAGAGAATGGAGGAAAAATCCTTAGCACCTTAGAAGTTAAGCACGACAGCACAGTAATATGCCCTGAGAGCCAGTTGTTGCTAAGAACAAAGAAATGAGTTTTCTGTTCTTACTGGCATGAAGCTCTTTTCTTAGGGAAACAAGTCTAATCATTTGCTGTTACCCAGCACTACAACACAGACTGACAAATTAATGGTGCAGTTCTAACTACAGAGAGCAGGTAAAGTGACTCTGAGCATTACATCCTTAGTTACATTAACTCAGCTTTCCAACAGGTGCTTGCCACAAGACCTCAACTCTAAGATCAAATTTAAGTCTCACATTGGTAACTGAACGGGGAAACAAGTGGTATTTTATCAGAGTGCCAGTTTCAGTATCTGTGGTACCTGGTGAATAAAGAAAGCAAGAAAAACTGGATGGCCCCTGCCACACAGTGAAGGGAGGCTGAGGGGCAGCGTTGCAGTGACATCTATAAATACAGTGGTCTCAGAAGGGGAAGTCTAAAATACAGCTCTGGAACAGTCACACATAACCACAGAGATAACTGAAAGGTGCTGAGTTTGACAAGAGGCTCAGCATTTGAAAGGAAAATTGGGGAACCAATGTGACAAGTCAGTGGTTAGCTGAGCAATAGCACCATTCCCATAGGATTAACAGGAACGCGTATCAAGTGGGCTCTGCATGTCCTAGTAAAACACTGATTATCTGCTTGCAGGAGGCACTGCATTTGTTTTAACTCAGTTATTCTTCTGCAGTGAGAAAGAATAAAACATGCCTCTTGAAAACTGTTCAGTGACAATGTAATCTGTTCCAGGCAATGATTTCGCACCCACCATTCAAAGCTTCAGACACAGCTGTACTCAGACCATCCAACTTCAAGGGGGTATTACTCTAAAATGAATGAGTTTTGCACCCAGCCCAAGAAAAACAGCAACATCTGTTTGAATCCAGTAACTTGTAGGGTTCATAGTCATTAAAGACTGAATAAAAGGTACAGACAAGTAACCTCCAAACAAGCCCAGAGCTCTCCCTTTGAAGTGGAAACTCTGTCCTGTGGTCGAGTTTATCCTCCTAAATGCTGTCTGCTATTGTAAACCATGCAAATAGATGCTCAGCTTAAGCCTTTATAAAAAAAAGATGCCAGGAACCCTGCAATTTCCACTGACAGTCCCAAACACATCTAAATGGGGAATTACTGTCTTGTTCTAATTGCACTGAATATGGCAAAAATAGCTTCCCTCTAATATCACTGGACTGCATCCTAAGGAAATGAGAGTTACACAGACTTGTTATGAAAGCTTCTACATTCCAACAAGTTTTGTGAAAAAATAACAGCTAGATGGAGAAGAGAAACCCATGCCAGCTGCTGTCCCTGGAAAGCTTGCAGCCAGCTGGCTCCCATGGACCAATCCATACAGACAACTTGGAATCCAACTGCGGGCAGGACACTTGTTGCCTTCTGTCCAGCCAGAGTTAAAGGCAAGGGAAGAGAGCTGAGGACACAGGGGAGAAATGCACCTGGCAAATGGAGTAAGCCACCTATAAGCCTACTCATCATAAATAGAGGAAAGAAATTGGAGTTTTCTGCAGAAGGGGAAGGGATGTAAAGCCAAGGGGAACAGGATGCGAGCTCGCAGAACAACATGTTTGTACTGCAGGAATGGCTGAAGTTCCTGCTGCCAGGCACCACATATGCAGAGACTTTGCATCAAACTGGCAACACTTTGAACTTAGCAGAAAAATCAACACCTTATATTTTCAAAGGTCTTCAAATGCCAATGAAATATACAAAAATCTCTCCATAACAACACATTTCCTAAAGCTATAGATGTAAACATACAGAGAGATAATTTTCAGAAAGAAACAGGACCAGGAAATCACTAGCTCAGGCAACAGAAATACACGGAGAGAACTGGTCATTGATCTAAGCAGATGCCTACAGTTACACAGGCTAGTAATGACCTAAATAGCACTTATAATGGAAACACAAAGTGCTTTCAACCTTGTCTTTTCTAAAATGTGGTTCTAAATCCGGACTCCCAAATTGGGTCAAGCCTACCACAACATTTTTTTTCCTGAGAATATATGGAAAAGGAACAAAGCCATTTTTAGGAAGAGGTATTTAAGTTAATATACTTTTCCATCCATCACTGTGCATAAGTATAAAAAACCCAATTTGAAATAGGCTACTGCTGCCTTAAAAATTTAAAACTTGTTTAAGCTGCTTTTAATAAACTTCACTGAGTCTATGGAAAGAACTATATCACTCAGTTGTACATAGTCTGCCTTAATTCATGCCATGGATTACAAGAACAATGCTATAATTATAATGACTGATGCACAGAGATTTCTGGCTCTATATCCAACCTTCGAAAAGACACTGGAATTGTGTTCATATAAAAGGCACTGGCCCTAATGAACACCAGCTACAAACAAGTCCACTAAACCAAACAGAAAAGGAACAGCAATGGCTAACGTGCATATTAGTAACTGACCTGACCCCTCTTGCTCCAGTTGAAATGTTAAAGCATCTTGAACACCAAACTTTTCATATGTTTACTGCAAGGTTTTCAATAACCACCAGCACACTTTTCTCTCACTATAAGAAATTAACTTCATTCTGAGAAACAAAGACACCCCCCTGCCAAAGCCTTTAAATTTGACAATCTCTTGATTGTCCTGACAATCTCTTATAAAAAAGCTTGGCATGTAATGGGTATTTTTGGTTTGCATATGTTAATTTAAATTTCAATTTCATTATGGGGTAGAAAATTTTAGAATTTTCTTAAGAGTTGTGAGCTGCAAAAAGATCCATAATTTCAAAATAGAAAGATGGGTGTGTAGAAGACCAGTGCTGCACACACTTCTAAAATACTCTCTCCTCACCCAGCAGAAGATGAGCTTTGACACTTACTCATGAAATGACACCCTGAATCCAGTACTGAATGCTGTCCTGCCATCAGTGTGGACACTGTGCTCATTCCCTGCATCTCCTCCTGGTATTCCAAGGCAAGACAGAAAGTAGCACCAACTCTAAAGCCCAACAGCATGTTATCTGCTGAATCACAGACATGGCGATAAAGTCTAAACAGTGGCACCGTTAAAACTGTGACATTTATCACGTTTTGCTATCTATCTTTAAACAGAGTATTTGTTGAAGCTCCTAAAATTAGAAGGGAACACACTGCAAATACCATGGTAACTACTTGGCATGGTAAATCAAGGTCCTTAAGGCTCCCACACAGACTTACTGCTATTGTGACTAGAGTTATTCAAATGGCACCTAAGCATACTTACTACTTACCAAGCAGCAATGTTACCTTGGATTAAACTAAGAATAAAGTCAAGGGCTTACGAGCCCAAAATAGCACTAAGATTTTTCTGACGTTAATGAGTAGCTCAAAACTGCTTAAAAATAATTCTGTTCGTACTGTACACTATAAAGACAAAGCTGCGCTGATATATAAACCTGATTTTAAAACACAGACACTTTGCAGAGAGATCTCCCCACAAGCAGTTTAGGAAAGAACGGGGAAATAAAAAAAGGAAGGAAGGAGATGGTACAAAGGAAGAGCTTACACCTTAAAGGAAATAAGGATCTTTCAGATCAAATGAAATCAACAAGAATCTTCAGAAAACGCTTGCTGGATTTCATGTCTCCATTTTGCTTTGTAACACTTTCAATGACAAATTGAGGGTACTGTTTACTTATTCAATAAAAGCAGGATGGAACAATGTATTTTGAGCATAGCTCATATCTAAAGAATTGTGCCTCCACTCTTTGCTTTCGATTCAGATATCAATACCTTGGTCATCTTGAAAGCTCCCTCAAGAAACAATAACTCCCTCAAGTTATTGTTAAATTGATTTTCCAAAACTGAAAGAAGAGACTGCTGGCGTGACAGACAACTGACAACTAATTGCCTTTAAATTTTGTTGCCAAACACCAGTAGCAGGTCACAGCAACATGTCACAGGAAGTTTGCTTAGTCTTTTTACATGAATTTTATTGAATTTTGTTAGCTAGGAACAATAGTCGCTGACTTAAATGTTTTTCTTCCTCTCTAGCATTCTCCAGAAACATCAATATGAAAGTGTTCAGGAGGCACACAATTTGTATATACAAAAGGAAGACAGATAGGATAAACAGGTGTGCACTAAATACACTGTTAAAGATGTCAGCCCTCCACACAAACTCACACACACACACACACACAGAGTGAAAACAGAACCATCCCAGATGACAGATGATGTGGGAATGCATTCTGACAGAGAAGACATCGCTGCCAAAGCATAGACTGTACAAACAGGTAAAATGGGGGTGAGAGTCAAGAACACTCACAAGTAAAACTTCTCTTCCCATACAGGGTTCAGATTCCCAAAAATCGTTTTTGTCCTCTTCTTTGTTTTACCCACTTGAACGGTTACATACGGATCGCTGGACCCAGTCTTGTCTTTGGCCTGCAGACCCTGAGCACACACCACTGAAAGGCAAAGAGAAGGGTTACCACCACAAGACAAGAAGACAATGTGGCTGAACACCCTGTGAAGCAGCAGCTCACAGAGACAGGAGTATCACTCATGAGAGTTTTTCTGATGAACCTCAGCTCCTACTACAGTGCCTGCAGTAGGAACATCTCCATCTGCTACCTGTATGTACATCGACCAGAAGGAGACAGAGGTCAGAGAAGCCCTTTCTCTCAGTTCCCTCTGCCTTCCCACCAACTCTCTCTAACTGTAGGCTCACTAACTTCAGGCTCCCGAGTGAGACCAAGAGAATCCATGATTCCCCACTTACCGGTGATCGTGATCTTTGCTGACCATTTTGAGGTGCCATCGAGCACACTCTGCTTCACTGTCTTCATCTGCTGAGCATGTGTCATTTTGCTCTCACAGAACACGTCTCTGATCAAGTCAAAGATCTCTGGCTTGTTTCGCTCCCGGATCTTCATGCGATCCTTCATTGCCATGATGAAATTCTGGGTTCGGTCTTCAGCTCCATGCTTCGAGCTCTTCTCTGCTGCTCCTGTGCACCAGGAAACATGCAATGCTCATCAGAAACAAACAAGCACAGGATCTTGTTTCACTGAATCTGGACAGCAGGATCAAAGCTACGAGTTACCCTCCACACCGTGGCTCCTTGCTTTTACACTGACTTTTACACTCAGTCCCCCCTATTTCAACATACGCACAGAGAATCTGGACCATTTAGAGGTGGGAGGGGATAGTTCCTCTATAACCTGGGATCAGATTGCTCTCCTGACAACAGGCTGATTTAATACCCTTACAGCTGAGGAAGACCCAGAAATGAGGTTCTTACATTAACAGCAGATATCAGCAAGCCCCCTGCTCTCCTCATCTTGCTTTGAACAAATAAATCCCTGCTTGGGCAAGTGCTAAGAAGAGGACATAGGACCACCATTACAAATAGTATCTATGAGCTTGTCTCAAAGATGCACTTCAGCACCACAGAAGAGAAGTTCAGATGGCTTAACACTGTTGGCATTTCCTACTCACAAGTGCCACAGGACTCCCTGTTCACCACAGAGTCACTGCAAACCTCTGTCTCATTGTGCCTGGAACCACCCTGTTTGGATCAGGCATCGAGCTGCAGACACAAAAAGTGCCTCTCTGGATGCCACTCTATTTTATCAATTTGTATGGAGACAAATCATCCAATTCCAGAATTACACAGGTATATTACCTATAAGGTAGCAAATTCAATAGTTGAAATCTTGAGCCATCATAGGCGTGGGGCACTGGTACAGTATCGAGCAGCTGGAAACACAAGAGCCAGTTACAGTCTGTAACTGCATAGTTATTCAAAAGAATCTGGAAAAAGAGAAGCCTCTGGATGCCTGCATACCGCTTACAAAATTCAGAAGTTTATAACATTATGAGATAAGACTACTCCCACAACTGACTGCTTCCTACTCAATTTTGACAGTCATTTTTACTGTCAAAATTTAAAGACTGACTATTGTGTCAGATGTGAGACATGCATTAATGAAAGCACTGACATGAGCTAACAGAGAAGATAACTCAGGTGTGAAATGAAAAACAGGAACATAAGATTATTGCACACTGCCTCTTTACCCAGTATCTGCAGTAATTTCAAGTTACGATCTTGAATCGGATTAAGCTAAAATGCTACAAAAGTCTTGTGAACACATTCAATCATAATCTTTCTCTTTAATGTAATGTGCTTTTGCTTGTTCTTCTTCTCCAGGATAGTTTAGTTAAAGCAAGCTTAGTCCTAGAAAAGTTGTTTTCATTCAGGTGTTCACCAAAATTAAATTACCTTAAAATCAGAAGAAGTGGGCAAATATGATATCTGGAGGACCTTTAGTATAAGGTATTGTAGTTTTGCATATGAAACTGCTTCAGCAGGTAGAGACTAAATATGAAAAAAAATTATATTTACACTCACACAGGACCCCCAGCAGGACAACGTAACAGCCACCCTTGTCACCAGGCTGTTGTCAACAGGGTGCCTAGTGACTAGCGCTGCCTGAAGACACCCATGTCTAGGGCCTTCACTCTAACACCTTTCACCATGACTCAATTCACTTCAATAAAGAAACAAAACTCTATTATAATTTTCACCATCCACACCAAAGAGAACAAAAACACAGTTTGGAACAAACTGTGACCGTTGAAGTGTCAGAAGTTCATTAAGGAAACTGCATAACAAGGCATGCTATTTAGGACCTGGGTGTAAAACAAGCCATAATTTTACATTACCTGAGTATTTTTTCATTTCTCTTGCTAGAGGCTTGATGTTCAGTATTTAATTTAGTACAATAAAATGTACATGCCCCAGAGTTTCCTGTTGTTGGCTTAAGATGAAATGAAATCAAACACTGGAATTAATTACGCAGTCCCTGCTGTTTCTACTCACCGGTGATGAACCTAACATTTATTAAAGGAATATGAAACCAAAATGATACTAGGGGCTATACTTTGAACTTCAGATAAGAAGTGCTATTCAGTTTTAACAGAACTAGGTCTTCTGGGGATGGAGGTAGACTCTATACTGTGTATGCAGAGCTACAGAAAATTACTGGGAAATCAGGAAAGGCCAAACTGAACAATTTGCCTTTCCCAGCTGGAATTCTGAAATGTGTCGTGATCCAAAGAAACCAGCTGTGCCCTGACCTTTCTGACTTTAAGGAAATTAAGAACCTAATTCAAACATTAAGGGTTTGTGTTATGCATGAGAGGAATGCTCCATTTCTGCATGACTGTCTAAATAAATTGCTAGCCAGGCAGCTTGTGAATATAAATGTTTCACTGTCCATCACTGAGGCGGGACAAGAACTACCACAGTTTTGAGGTGGCATGGTCTGCATCACTGCCTTAATGCAAACACTCCAGAAGCATCAAATGATGCTTTAGAATGCAAACTTGGACAAATGGAGGAATTCTAGTTAAAAACACATTTAACATCCCCACAACCTGCAGAGACCTTGCACTGTGGTTTTATTCCTCTGCAAGGGCACCCTGGGTTGCAGGACATGTAAGCCATGTCACAGAGACCCCTAGAGCCCTCACTTTAGTCACCTCTAGGCTTGGCTCTGCCTTCAGAGGAAACTCCTCACCTCCATCCATGCTGCTTCCCCACTCAGCCCAAATAATTTGCTCAGATATGGTAACTCCATTATTCCTTCCCTGATTGATCTGTCCCTGAGCTGCAGACACCTTATTTAACAATTCGGGACTAATAAAGAACAGACAATGTCTGTTCTGCTGTCTCACCAACACGCTCTTTCTTAATTTTAACATCTGCTTCTTGGTACAAAACCAAGAGAATTCCCAAAGCAACCACTGGGGGACTAATTAACTATGATGGATGTGTTTTAAACCCAAAACATGTCATTATACTGAATGGCAGAGGATGCTTTTCCTGGTGTTGGACTGGGATTGTGTTTCTTCAAGCTGCAAAGAGGGTTTTGTCCAGTGGATCAGCTTTTCAAGTCGTGTGAATAGCAACTGACAGGCATCAGAATATACAAGTAATGTGTACAGTACCACAGAAATGGTTCTGGGCTTTCTTTCTCTCTTCCTTTCTAGGACTGAATTATGAGTGAATTTATGACTGGAAACAGAAAGCAAGTATGTCTATATTGGGAATTGTATTGATACAGCTATTAGTAAACCACCAGTGCTGTTATTCTATGCTTTAACATGAAAAAGTCAAGAAAGCAACACTGGCAGGATTGAAGGCAGCTGTTCAGTAGGCGGATAATGCTTAGAAATTATATATTCCTGAAACTTAAAATAGATATTCAAGTTTCAAATAAAGGTATCCCTCCCTCCCTCTGTGCAAATATTTTCCTACATAGAACTTTGGGAGCAAACAAATGTTCATCACCATGGTGTCTAATCATCATTCAACCCAGAAGCCAAGATGATTATCACAGAGTGACTTAATCAGTCTCATTAACAGTCCACTCACTGACCTGGTCTCAGGACTGCAGCCTCTGAATTCAGAGTACAATACACACAAGCTTCTCACCCAAAAAGCAACAAACACACCTGCTGCCTTCCAGTCTCGAGTCAAAAAACACAGGACAACTCCTGAGGTAAACCAACAAGCCAGAAGCCAGAACAGTTCAAAAGCAGGGTATTTGGTAATGCAGACCTGATGGCTTGTGTGAACTTCTCCAAGGTTTGGAGATAAAGCTACAGATTTCATGTTCAAGAGCAGTTTGAAGCTTGAGATCTCATTTTCAAGATCTCCAGAGGACCACATTCTGTTATCCCAAGACAATTTCTTTTCTCATGTTTAACTGTAATCTACTGAGGACGAGATTAGCATAACTAAAGGCTAAAAAGAGAGCACTGTCCCTTGAGCGAGCATTTATGAGCTTATGATAAAAAGGCAAGAGCCCTATCATCAGAATAATAACTTCTGAGTGCTCACAATATTATAAACCAGGTGGCTGGTTCCAGTTTACTGCACTTCAGACATCACCAGTTCATGGAACAGCCCTGCCAAACCAGTCTGCAAATGGGTTTTGATTCAAACTGAAACAAAGCATTGCTGAATTTGAGTATTTCATCAGTGCAGTCCCACATGTTTGTTGAGTGCATCAGATACTCAGTTTCTTAAAAATATGGAGAGCAAGAAAAGTACCTTCAGAAGAAATAACCAAACTTAATTCTTACAGACTTGGGGAGATATTTTATTTCCCCCAGAAAGACAAGAAGGATAGGAGATGGATAAACAGCACATTTTGATTCTAAAGAATAAAATCCCAGGTGTCTATCAAAATTTTAAGGCATAGACAATAGAAGTATACTTGTAACCAGCCAGAAAATTCATTTTACTCCAATGTAACATTTTCTGGAAGAATTACACAGATTGAAGTGAAGATGTATCCTGAGGCATCAAGGTATAATCAATAGAATTGCATTTGTCACCAGTCTGAAAATTCATTTTACTCCGTTGCAACATATTCTGGAAGCCTTCAATAGACCTAAGTGAAGATACGTCCTCAGAATGTTTGGAGTCTTTTGCCAACAGCAACAATAAAGCTTCTGTTAGGGAAAAAAAATCCCTCCTGAGTTCAGTAAACAAGAAAGTTCAATCTTGAATTTATTGGATCTCTAAACTGTTGTTCGTCCACCAGAACTGCTAGACAGTGTTCTGCACAGACTATGTTCTTCAAACATATATTAAAAAAAAAAAAAAAAAAAAAAAAAAAGATAATTTCTTCAATTTTCTTCTTGCTGGGTTCCAGTTAAAAGGATTTTAGCATGAACATGCCAAAGCAAAGAACGGAGTTGCCTGGAAATGTCTTTTAATAGATTTCTAGTACTGCTAACAATTGCTTTCCCATCCTGGAAGCACATTCACATATTGAATCCACCATCTTCTTCATCTCCCAGCACTGTCCTCTACCTTCTTCGTCTTTTAATTACACAATTACCATCTTCAGTTTGCCTTACATCTCTGTCCCAGCTAATTATACACTCTACACCCACAGTGGGTAATCTTGCAGACCCTGGTTCACAGTTTCTCTATCTTCCTTGTTATGATGCTGGACAGCTTACAAATAATTCACTAAGTAAAATTTTTGCTTGGTTGGGTTTTACCTTTCTACATGTTTCAGATATTTTATGCCCAGTGTATTCTCAGTTGTTTCCTCTCTGTTTCTACAACTCTGCATGATGAAGTAGCTTGAGTTTACATTCAGAAAGAAAATGTGAAAACATCCGCAACCCTCTGAATAAAATAACAAGTTCTTAATGCTTTGCTAAATATGAAAAGTAGAGTAATTTCCAGTTGTTTCTTCTATTTCATGGAAAAACACAGACTTATTGCCATCATCACATCCCACAGTCCATTGCAGAAGCTTATGTAATTACAGCTGGAGATTAAAAAAACTTCCCCCATGGTTATTCTTTGGCGACTGTTTCAGATACCCCCTGTTTTCAGGGTGTCTGAGTCACTGAAGTTGCCTTCTACTTCTACCTTTAATTTTCTTACAGAAAATTTAGCCTTTTTTTTTTTTTTTGGCTTTAGGCCATGGACATCTGTAAGGTAAGCCAGAGTCATAGCAGGTGCCCTACATGCACCTCTTACACCTCCGCCGTGGGCTCCACAACATCTCTTCAGAAACATTCTATAAGGACAGATCTCATATGGCTATTTTTACTTTTATTGAAAGAGCATGATTCCTGTCCTCCTGTCCCCCACTGCCAAGCTTCTCTTTCTAAAGATTAACAAATTCATACAATCCTCTCCCAAGACATTCTCATATTTTCCCCATTACCACTGAACTCCCTCCCAGCCTGAACTCTCCCTTCTTGAACGTGGATTCTTTTTCTGCAGGAACCTATTTCCTCTTACTTATTATCTGTTTCTTAAATTTGGGGGGGGGGGGTTTGTATTGTTTTCAACTTCATGATCACTGCTCTGTTCAACAGCTTTGTGCCTGTTTCCCCATGCAGCTGGTGCAAACCTAATATTCCTCTGTTCTCCATAGCATTTTTCCCACACTGAGATATCACAACTCCATTGCAACATTACAACATCCTGGGTATGCAACAGATTGTGTCAGAAAACTGAATTATGACTGAATTACATTCTCCTGGACCAAATGCAACACCACAGCTTTTTCCTTGGTCACTAAAAGGTGCCAATGATGCAACAGTTTTAATGCTATACACTGACCTTGCAACCCTCGAAGACAAATCCAGAAACTCTAAGCAATTGAGGGACAGAGAAGTTCTGCCAGTATCAGATGTGTCTTACAAATAAGCCATTGCAAATAGACCTAGTCCTAACTGTGACAAATTTAGGACTCTGCACACATCAAAAATACAAGTACAAACAACATCCTTTTGTGGTGTTAAGAAAAGCCATAAGGAAGAAAAAAAAGTGACCTATGATCCACTGGTATGCCCTGCTGGGTCATCCAGCCTGGCTTTCCCAAACAGCTACAACCTGAGGCAGATAACAAGATTTGACTTTTGTGTTCCTATAACTCCTAAATGCTCACAGGCATTTGCAAGTCTGCTTACACTTCAGAAATATGTTTATACTTCAGAAACTTTCCTGATTTCTTAGATTTAGTCCATCAAGCTGCAATGACAAGAAAAGCAGGAGTGAACAGAAACAGCCCCACCTTCCTACTCAAGATTTAACACATATGGTAGAAATTTCTATTCCGTTTAGACCAAGATATTTTGCTCTCAAGCAGGAATATAAATCTGAGACCAAATTAAGAAACAGTTTTACAAGCAAACAAAAATAACGGGACCAAGGCAGATGCCTAAATTAATACTTTTCTCTCTCCTTTTTTTTTTTTTCTCTTTAATCAAATTTCTTTTAAAGTTCTCCCTTGCTTGTGTAAGGTCTCATTTATTCTTCAAAGTCACAGAGCTCCTTGAAGAGATGACTTAGTTTTTTATACCTCAGAATTAAAAAAAAAACCAACAAAATAAACAGAAATGCTAACAGGAAGATGAAATACTGCCCATACACCCAAATATCACCTTTGTATCTGACCCACCACCTCTGCTGACTAAGCTCCAAGTTCCCAAAGTAATTCAGCCAGGAAGATCTACTGTTAAAAAGACAAAACACTTGCCCGATCTGCCCTTTAAACAGAGAATCCAAGCTTAGTCATGGACTCTATCCCCTAAGCAGGAACCCAGTGCTGCTCTGAAGAGTTGGCACAGGCTGATGCCTGGAACAAGCAATATGACTGGGATACCAGGGCAGGGGGGACTGAACAAATGTCAAAATATTCACCCTCACACCCTATTCACCCAGCCCACCGCCTCTCTTCCACACAGGATATGTTAGCAGACACCACCTCAGCTGACAAAAAGAGAGTAAACAAAACAGACAAACAAAAAGTCAGCCAAACCCAACAACTAGACATGAAAGAGTCAAAAATTAAACCTTCTTTTAAAGTACATCAACCATAATTCTGCAAAGTTCTCCTGTATCACTGGTGTCTGTGCCACAGGGCGAAGGGGTTAAGCTCAGGCACCTTTCCAGAAAATGCAGTCACTTTAATAACTGCAGCTTCACTGATTCCCTGAGATACCAACAGTACATTTAGGAAAGCTCTGGTAGCACTTCTGGAGAGCCACACTCCACTGGCCACTACTCACTCTGTAAGCAGTCAGCGTTGAGCAAGTCTTGGCACTTCTCATGGCACTTGACTCCACATTCCCCGCAGCGCATTCCCTGCCGTGCAATACCCCACAGCAGCCCCTCGCATTCGTAGCAGTACGTAGGAGTTGTGGCTGTCCACACCTCAAAGTTGTGTGGGGTTGTGCAAGAGATGGGGTAAATTAAGGCTTGCAAGGTCTTCTTATAGACATGAGATTTCTGAAAGGCAAGAGAAGACATAAACTCACATCCAGGAAGGTGACTGAGCCTGTTTTTGCTGGTTAGCACATGAATTTTAAAGAAAAATGCATGAGGGGTGCAATAAATCTACAAAGTAGGCAAATTTATAAAACTTATACAAGAGGTGTCAGAGGACATCCTTGCGCTTCCAAAAACATTTCTCCAGGCATTTAAAAAAGTGGAAGAGGTTGAAAGACAAGAATTAAGGTTTGTTGACAAGGAATATCTTGCATAAATCAAGTTTCACACACTGTCCCCCATGGCAGATAGCACAGGAAAAGATGGTGAGATTACTGAGTTCAAGAAGTGTTTGGACCATGCTCTCAGGCACATGGTGTGACTCCTGGGGTGTCCTGTGCAGGCCAGGAGTTGGACTCGATGATCCTGATGTGTCCCTTCCAAGTCAGCATATTCTGTGATTCTACATTTTTTGGCATTATATTGACACATTTAATGTTATTTTTTGCATGTTGAGTTTCATTATACAAACGGTGCATCTATATTTCTAGATAACTGTGAAGCTGGCTCTGCATCCCAGAGAGTCTGCATTCCAGAGAATCAAAGCAGGATGCTGCTATCCATAATTTGCTTACTAAAAGTTAATAGAAGCCAAGCAATCCTCCCACTTACCAGCTCTTCATCTTTGAGAGATGTTCTAGTGGCCATTGCTGAGGTAATTCCGGCTTTCCGGGACTGAACCAGTGACTAAGGAGGAAGAAAGTTTGTTATTCACTACCAATATTTAGGAATACAATGGCACTACATGCCCAGAGATGTGAGCAAGGGGACTCCCTCATGCCAGATATCAAACCAGCAGTCTACTGCATTCAAGTTGATTTCTTAAAATGACAGCTCACATCTCAGAAGAGTCAAATGCATATTCTGAATGGCCTTCAAATTTGTTTTCATCTGCCCAGAACCAGTCTCAGTTAAGTAAATTTTTATATGTTCCTCTGGTAAGAACTGTCAATGAAACATGGGTTCCCATCTCCACTTCCCTGTTCTGGTAGAAACAATAACTCTTCCATTGTCTAGGGTCACCACAGGGGACTCACTTTTCTATATCTATTGTCATTCATATCCAAAAGGATATTATTTCATCAGTTTTACAACACACACAAACTGTCAAAATATGATGGTAAAAGAGTTACAAATAACCAGGACAAAAAAAAAAGGGGGAGTGGGTTTGAATGTGCTGGTGTATCACATTCATTGGCCATCACTGAACACAATGAACTGCATTTTCCCCTCAAAGACTGCCTTTCATGTCGCCCCTAATGCTGTTTTGCAGCTGTGGATAGCACAGGACAGTGCCTTTGCAGGACTTCACAGTGGCATACACGGGGTTTCTGCAGCAAGTCACTCCAGTTAGATGAAGGCAGAGGAGGAAATTAAAGGTTGCAGCATTTGCTTTGAAATCACCAAACTGTGTCAAAGCCTCCATTTATGCTCTGCTTTATGCAGTTTGAAGACAGACTGAAAAAGTTCATTCCCTCAGTGATGGAGTGGGGCAGAATGCTGGATACACATGCACTTCAATACTCCAGGTTCAAAACAAGAAGAAAAGAAATGGATGGAAAATAAGGTAAAATAATTTTTTTTTTTTTTTTGGTGAAGACTTGATGGATAGTCTTTAGCTTCACTTACCATGGCCTGTGAAGAGAGAGAATGAAAGCATTCAAGGGAAGTAAGACAAGTTAATGCCATTATTGCAGAGATTTAAGATACAAGCAGTTAGCTAGACACATACTAAGCTTCCCATGCATAAGCTGGCAGAGAAAATTGCATGCATCTTCTCACATGAATTACAGGATATGGAAACTTTGGTCTTTCAGCTGTTACAGCATTTCTCCCAAGTATGAAATCGCTACGTGTGCTGAATATAGCCAACAAAAAAACATTTGTCCTGCAGAAGCCTTATTTCACCATATCATACAAGCATATGAAACTTGTCCTCATTACTCGCTTGGTTCTCATGCTTCCTCAGTGCAGAAGCCTACTGGCAATATTGCAAATAGCTTTTAAAATCCAAGCGCATATGCTCGTTTATCTATCCTCTGAAATTCCAGCCCTCTGGTGAGTTGCCAAACCTCACATGGACATTATAACTTTCCCTAAGGTACGTGATTTTTTTTTAGGAAAACACTTAAAAATAATGCAGGCCTGAAAATAATCAAATACTTTGTGTAGAATAACAAGGAAAAAGAACACAAAAAATACCTTAATTCTGTCAAATGAAGGTAACTGTCTACAAAACTATAGCTTATTCTCACTGAGATTTTTTTCAAGCACAACTCCTAACCCTTTAGCATAAGAATTAATTTAACGAAATGGGAAACCTTCTGCTTCTTGAAGTGACAGAAACCATTATCATACACTGAAAAAGTAAAACCAGCTGCACTAATGGCTATGTGAGAGAAGAGAAACAAACAAATCTCTTACCAGATCACTGACAAGTGGAATTGGCTTTTTTTTGCGTAGATCAGGCATGCTATCGATGCCATAGAGACCACCTGCAGGCCTGGAAATTCAGGAGGAAAAAAAAAAGAAAGATTAATTAGTTTAGGGTTGAGGGGATGAAGAGGGGGATGCTTCACTGGAGGAAGAAAAATCAGCCAGAAGATTATACTTAAGGAAGTGTAAAGTTAATGCTAAAAACGATTAAGTGTTTATCTTCTTCACGAACAACAATCCAGACATCCCTGTCGGGTGTTGGTGGTTAGGAGAGGAGCGTGTCAAAGAGGATCAGCCCAGGGGCAGGATGCTGCTACCCAACTTCTGAATCAAGGCTAGAACATAGTTAATCCTGGCCCTTGAGGTCCATATAATTATTAGGAAAAACCTGACATCTGAGGAGAAAGGAGATCCTTTTTATTTCCATAAAAGAGACCATTTGTGGTGCTCAGCATTTCAAGCCATCCAGACTTGTACACACAAGAGCTGCCATTTGCTGATGGAAGTGGCAATGGAGCAAAAGAGCCACTATCCCAGGAACAGTCAGAGCCTGATGAAACAAAACCCTATAATCTGCTTCCCACCTGACGATGCCAGACTGGATAATTACACCTGGAACCTGCTATTCACTGGTAACACCACATGGATGTAACCCTGTACTTGAGGCAGATTTATTAATTCAGTTTAAAGGCCCCCAGTAAATGCATCCATCTATAATGACTTTAGACACTGCTTTTTGCTAAGGCTGGAAACAGAGCACACACTGCTGTGACTCCATGCAACGAACACTCAGCCCACCAGGCAAAGCCCTTCTCACTGTTTCTCTCACCTTTCCCTTCTCCACGCTGCTTTCATGCCTTGCTAACATTAGGAATACGGCTCCTGAGGCCTTTTACTTGGCTACAGAGACTGCAAAGGAACCCTCTGCCTCTCCATCCTTAGCCATTCGTTTTCATACAATACCACATCGGCTTGCACCCTTTGGCATTCGTATGATAAAGTGGATAGCCCTTTCAACCAGTTTGTTTTGCTCATTTGGCACACTTGACCCAGCTGAAATGCTTTAGGGCACCAGTTACAGGAAAAAGGAGTATGGGACAAACTGTTTTAACTGCAATAAAACCCACAGACAGAGCTGCCCTTCCTAAGGATCCAGAAAACCAAACTGCCACTACAAATTTGCACATGCCATGAAAATTGGGAGGATGGTAAGTGACAAGAGGCAACCCCCAGAAAGCAGGACCTATTCAAGCCCCTGTTAAATACAGCCTAAAGTAAAAAAAAAAAAAAAAAAAAAGGAATCCAGGGTGACCAAACCCACAAAGCAGCAGGTCGTGCTCGAGAATAGACAAGGGTGTCACGACACAGACCAGCACAAGGCTGTACCAGAGAGGAAAACAGAGAGGAAAGCAGTCTATTATTACAGAAACATGAGACAGAATTGCAATAGCACAATTGACTTTTTCGAGGGGGCATGGGAGGGTGACATGTCCGAGCCAGGGCTGAGCTGACAGCTGCTGCTGGCTGGATGAGCCTGGTGGGAAGGTGAGCAGTCACGTGTAACTGCGCAAACTGTGCAGGCTCCACATGCAGGATGAGTCACATTTGCACGGCAGCACAGCCCCTCTGTGCTCCTGACACACCACCTGCATTCACTGGGAAGGGAGGCAAACCCAGACACGAGAAAGGTGGAGGTTTACAGCAGTTAATTGAATCTGCTGAAATATTTGGCCAAGAATGAGAACAGTTTTCCCAACACTGGGAAATCCTTACAGTGAGGTGACACCATGCTTTTACTAGAGAAATCCAGAAAAACTTTTTTGCTCAAGTTACACTGCAATGATCCCTTCTGACTTATCATAGAGAAATCTCACCTACATCAAGAAATAAGAAATATCTGCACAGTGTTTATATTGCTAGAAATATTACTGCCAGACTTACTGGGATTAAACACGGAATTTTGTCTGCTGCCCTAACATTACAAATCCTTTCTGATATCAGTGATACTTTTTTGGGGTAAAATAGGTGTCATGAAAGACTACTCAGATAATACCAAGAATCTCAGCATTACTTAAGCTACAACACAGCTTATTGATAAATTGGGGTCAGAGATTTGTGTCAAATCACTTAAATTATGAAAGCATATACAAAATAGAAAGGGAGAGTCCATAAGCTGAAAAGATGCAACAAAATGGTTACAAGTAATAATCCAGAGTCAATGCTCCTGCTAAAAGTCAGTTGCACAATTGAGAAATTACACTTCTTTTCTACACAATTTCCAATGATTTTTTTTCCAAGTCAATTGAAAGGAAACTGTGATACTCTGACCTTTCCCAGGGAAGAAAAAGCATTAAAATTGCATGTTTTATAAGTTCAAGATGAGCCTATACAAATGATTGTGCTCGAGAAACATGTCCAGTTACATCTTGGTTTCTTGCAAAATATTTTTGATTGGCTGAGGTTTATGAGAGAATCAGTGGTAGGCCAGGATGACAAACATGTTTGAAAGGTGCTTGTACTGGTCACTGAAGAAAGGCATCCTAGAACATAAACAGTTATGCACTCAGATGACGTGCTTTTAGCTTGTTAATATACATAAACGAATGAATAAATAAATGAGCAGCAACAATTCTCAATTTTCAAAAGTGTTGTGCTTTCAGCTATCTCAGTCTCTTTATTCAAGCACAATTTCTACCTTTCTTAAAAAAATTACAGTGTTTGCACAGACAGAAGAACTGACAGTGCCTCAAAGGTGTAGCTTCATATGTAGTAGGGTAACTCTTCTCTGCAGTGACTGTAATAGACCGTAATATTTATTGCATTATTATGGAGAGCTGTATTGAGGAATGAATAGCATTTCTGTATGAGAAGAAGATTTGCATTAATAAATAAAATATATAGATATGAGATATTACACCCAGAGACTGATTCATAATACCAATTGTATCTTTTTTTTTTTTTAAGTGATCTCTCCAAACCCAGTGATTACAGACAGGGAGCTACTGTTGCATTATTCTAAAAGTGAAAGTGCCTTGAAGCATGTATTCATCTTTAATACAAGTTTTATCACACAGAAGCTTCCATTAAATCTTGAAAATTTAAGCAAGCAAACGTGGTTTGCAATGATAGAAGATGACTACTTCCTTCAAATTACACCACTATTCTAATCTTCATATTGAAAAAATAAATATAAATGTCTAAATATACTTTGAGACTAATAAGCCACAATGTGGCTAAGGGTGGAATTAAAAGGTTTACCACCCACAGCCACCTTCTTCAGAAATGTCTTGCATGGGGAATACAGTGAATATGACAAACTTTTGTCAAAACTACATTAGCCAGACTGTTTTGTTACATCTTGCACAGAAAGGAAAAAAAATTACAGACTAGAGCAAACACTGGCTTGAATTGACAAAAAACATTTTTAAGTATTTCAAGGACTGTAGGTGTATTCATCTTTCAGGCTGGGAAATCATTTCGTGTGCACGAACCAATAAACCGAGTACACTGTCTCCATGTTAAAGCAGGAGAAGGTGCTGCTTATAGTTACTATAAATCACTGTCTTGTGCTCCAGCAAATTGCCAGTTCTCCAGCAGCATGCTCACCCAAGTCCTGGGCTCCTTGGGAAAGCACAGGGTTGCTAGGTAGCTCCAGGTATCCGCAGGTGACGCTTTGTGGGAATGCCGACACTGAAGAACAATAACTCCAAAAGCAGAAAGCCATACAGTGAAACCTCTAATTTAACTCCACGTTTTATTAGGGAAGCTTCCTTTAGTAGTATGGGAATTAAGTGTGTAGCAAGACAACCTCTTGCTGAGATTTCAGGGCAAATCAGCTGCTACTGACTGTCAGCTCCTAATGAGTGCCCCACCACCAAACTGAATCGCCCTCATCGTGTACCAGGCACACAACCTAGCGGCCCATAAAACGTGTCACTGTCTTTTTTTTTTTCCCCAGAGGATACCATGCTGGCACCTATTATGCAGAGTGTCATGCTGAAATTTACAATCAGGATCTGTCTGCTTCATTTGCTGCCATCGTGGAGAGAATTCGCGATCCCTCACTCTCATCTGTACAAATCAGGCACGATGATCACTGCTTTAAAAATACAAACTACAATGATTTCTAGAGTTAATGCGGTTTTCACTACTATAATGACCATAGAAAACACTGCAAAGACAGAACACTTCTCCAAACCTACCTTTTCCTTCTAAGAGCAAAAGACACAGCAGTCTTTCAGAGCTACTCTTTCACGCTCCTTATGCCACAAGTGACTGATTCAGGAAAAAGAATTTCATCCAGACTACTCTGAGGTGCTCAGTAACAATTATTTAATACCACTACCATAAGCACCTGCCACCAATATATTACAGATTATACATTGCAAGTATAACCTTGATCTTAACCACAGTTCTCAAAGAGCAGCACAGCCACCTCCAGCTCCTTAAGAGGAGACCAAAACACAGCAGCAGCCTGGCCCTAAGTGAGGTTTGGCCACTTCATTACTTCATTTAAAACACCAGAAATGCTGTTTTTACTTATAGTGAACTGCAGACATCACTGTAATTATAAAAACAACATCTCAAAACACTACTTACCCTCCTTTGAGCCAGGGTGGTTTTGATGGATCAGCCACATCTTGGCCCTTAAAGAGACAAAGGGAAAAGAGCAACATGAAACTAGTTTCCAAAAAGACCAGAAAATACAAGAAAAAGTATTCAGATTGTATTCTGAGGAAAGGGTAACAGACCACACTGCATGCTGGCAAATGCATACAGAAATTTATTCAAGCACCTCCAGTGACCAAGATGCCAGGATAAGTCATACAAACACAGACAGGCTACACAATTTCATTGAACACCTAGGACTGGAACCTGAAGAGCCTGTTCAGTGCACCTCCTCATTCAAAAGGCATTCTTGAAGACCAACTTTTCAGTTTTTTTCCAATCCAAAATAAGTTGGAGTTATTGGAGAGCTCCTGTTACTACAGGTCACCACTTAATCCAAATGCGGTCACAATGAAGATGTTATAAATTAAAAGCACTTGCATGAAATGCACAAATGACAGACCAGACCAACATGAACCTTTGTACAAACACTTGTGAGCTTTGCTCATGCTCAAATGTGAAGAGTCTTTAGTCCCCTAAGCAGAGAGGTCCCATTGCAGTTCCACCCATTCCTATCAAAGTATTTAATTTCTAACAGGTGTGAAAAAAGAGCCAGCACTTGCAAGATGACTGCAGGTGGACTGGGATCTCACAGTCCAATGGAAAACACCGCAGACTGCCAATGTGAGCATTCATATTTTGAATTCAAACAATATTCTCATGTTCATGTTCGGATTGCATTTATAGAGTAATGTTTTGTTTCTTTGAAAATCTTCAGTGGACTCATTAAAAGTGATAAATCCTTAAACACCTGCAATGTACCAAGAGAGAGGATTTCATGAAGCAAATGCAACCACATTCTTCTGAGCACACAGGGGAGGACATCTCTACCTTTGCTTCTGAACACTTGGAAGAGCTGTGGCTAGAAAGCAAAACTAAAATGGATAAAGGTTTTATAATGGACTGAGCTTAACATCAGATGGTTCAGCTGAGATGAATGACAGAGAATGACAAACAAACGTGGCAACATTCACTGGCAAAAGGAATTAGTTTAACAAACAAGTTTTCGATCATTTTACCTGATAAACCCTAAATAAAAGTGACTGATATATGAGACATTAAAAGACCGCAAAACAGCTTTTTCACTGCAGCCTGTAGACCACAAGAGCATCAGGAATCTGTCTGGGGGGAAAAAAGATCCAGGGAAAGCTGTTACCTTGCTGAATAATAACCATTTCCTATGGGCAACCATGAGTCAACAGACAACAGCCAGGAGCGTGGATGTGGGGAGGGCGATTAGGAAACAAATCTGCATCATCTCCCAGATTTGAGACAGGCCAAGTAAAAACTGCCAAGAGTTCCAGATAAATTATACTTTTGCTCATGTATTTTAATTACTTTTACCAAGCCTTTTAGTCATGCAAATAAAAAGAAAATGAGAGAAAGAACATCTCTAGGGTCAAGATTCAAAATCATCTAGGTACAACAGCACAAAACAAAAGAGCTTCCAGCAAGTGACAATATTGATGCAGGGCCATGGCAGGTGATGGATGTGAAGATACAAGAGTTATCACCTGCTGAAAGCAAAGTAAAGAGGTAATTTGCTCCAGGCAGCCTTCTCCCTGAGAAAATGCCAAGAGAACGAGCCCTTGACATTCATCAAACAGGGACTGATGCCTCAAGACCGTAGAAGAGGTAATGCAGTATCCACAGTTAAGGTGTGTGTGGGGAGCAAGGACATGTGATCCAGATTAATGTAGGATCATTACTGGCTTCAGCAGCTTGAAAGTGCTTCTGAGCAAACACGAAGAAAAGAATTAACATGGAGGCAAGTGAAAAACAGGAAAAAATGTAACAGAGGTGAATCAGTTTTGAAAAATTTCAGTTAAGCAACTATTTTTCTTTTTACTGTAAAATGAATGATGAGCTGAATTTTCACTTCAATAAAAAACTTTTGATGCAATGCCATGTGACGTTAATAAGGCCGGATAAGCTGAGGAGGAGGAAGGAGCTTTAAGGTGGGTAAACAAGTAACTGCAACTGAGCCAGCCATGGACAACGCAATAAGGAAGCTAGTGGGAGTAAGCAGGATCTGCTGATAAAATCTGAAAATGACAAACACAGGGGAATTATTGATACTGAACACATATGTCCAGTGGAAAGAACTGATGGCAGTAAAGACTGCAACAGTGGAGGATTAAGCGTGGAACAAATGGCAAGGTCAAAGCCTGCTTTGAACTGTGTACAGGGTGCTCCTCAGTGGAGAAAAACACGTGACAGTAGACTTGAGTCCTAGTCATCATACTGACCATATGCCTCTATGATGTGGCCATGTAAGCAGAGAACACCATCCCGAGTATGTCCAGTGAAATGCCCCCACAGAACTAAAAGCATAAATACCTTTGTACTGTGCTGGCAAGACTCCTTTAGCAAGGGCAGATGAAACACCTTTTTAGTCTATATCAAAGTAAAAAGAATTCACAATGGAAAATGGCAAAAGCAGTTTGAGGATGTAAATGCAATACTATAGAAGGAGAACAAAACATCTTGCTTACTCTAGCAAAAAGAACCTTTTCCTGTGTTTGTTCAGTAGGCAGGAGAACTGGAGAAGACCTGCAGCTAATCATAAACGGAGGATGAAAATTCAAAGGTGCCTCACCATGATAGTTCTGTGGCAGCCTTTCAAAAGGAGAAGCAGACACCAAACCTAACTAGTTCTAAAGAAGAAAATTAGGAGGTTTATATATGATGTAATGGCACGATATCACACAGTGGTAGAGCACTGGCAGTCACCAGGAGGTCCTCTGCAGCCCCTTCTTGCGCTGACATATGCAGTCAAAGAACCAGAGGCTTAAGGAGCTACAAGTGCTGGCTCAAGGGTCCAGACACCTCCATGAGTGCCAGTTAAACAAAGCAACCCATAGTTTGTACCTGTGTTGTGGGTAGGAACTCCTCATGTGTTCCCTTCCATTTAAAGAAGGCAAATGGCAGTGCTGTTCAGATGCATTTGCTGCAGAGGGGGAGTTTTCCACCCTCCAAAGGCAGCACTCGGACCAGGGAACAGCAGGGCTCCAGCAGCTGCTCTGGGACTTGCCACAGCTATGGTTCTGCTCGAGTTCAGCCCACAGCAGCAGCCTGACTCACTCACAGCCTGGGCAAGCAGCGGAAGTGACAGGCAGGTGAGAAGAACACTGTAACAACTGCGAGAGCTTTTAGCACTGTCCTTCCCAAAGCAAATGGGAGACGCAAAGGGAAAATAGACACATTTTACACCCAGTCATCCACATGCTGCATGTCACGGGAAGTGTTTTGCTGGCTTATGCATCTTCTCTGCACATCTCTGTCACTTGATCTTTCCTTGAAAGCAGCCAGACCAGTCTGAATCTGAAATGTTGTGTTTTTTGGCTTTTTTTGTTTGTTTGGTTGGTTTGGTTTGGTTTTTTAAACCTCCAGTAAGCAAGTGAAGGAGCACTCAAATGATGGAGACGCAAGCATGTAAACAAAACAGCCCATCACATCTTTATTTGATTTTTTTCCATTATTTCTGATGCTGCTGGATGACATTTCTACACCTACTGTCCAGCAAATACCTTCAGCTGGGGAAGTGCTTGTCACCCCTAGTACTGCAGTATATTCCCTCACAGTAAAGCATGCTGCAATCAGTTGCTGAAAGGTCTTCTCCAAGCAATTAAAGTTTCTTTTCTACCAAAAACCAGTTAGCAAAACAATACCAGTGACAGAGGAGCATAAATTTAAGGCCCTGGATTAAACAAGGTAACAGACATGATCATTTAAGGCACGGTATTCAGTCATAGGGAAGTTAATGTTTGGTGAAGCCTAAAAATGAAACTAATACGAGTTTTGTTTCCTCAGGAAAAGCAGCAACTAGGCTTACAAGTAATTCGAGAAACTATTCAACAAAGCTACAATTTTTAAATTCACAAATTCTCTCATACACAAGAAGATGCTTTAATGGCCAGAACAATTATGTACTTCTGTAGAAGCAAAAATCCATAAAATGGACGAAGCATAAAAAAAAAAAAAAAAGAAAAAAAAATCACCGTCTGGAGCACCACAAGGAAACAGAATAATATCCCTAGATCTGTCAGCCCTCCACACAAATCCATCTCTCCACATAAAAGACTTCCTAACAATGTAACTTTCCATCATATTTAAGCACTGTGTCTAACACATTATCCTCTCAAGATAAAAAACAGATGTAAAACATGGAAAGCTGCTTTATGATGCTTTATTTAAAAAGATTTAAAAAAAATCAATAATGACTTTTATTTGTTTTGAAAATCATCCTAACTTGCGTTCAAATGCCACGCTTTATTACTAAACCTCAAACCCCTCAGTTTAGATATAGGCTAATCTGAATCAGGCTAAACCAAGGAGCAACTGTTTCACTGTCTAAATTAAACTTCTGGTCATGCCTAATTAGAGCATTTCTTCAGAGGCATTAGCAGAGTCAAACTGAACTAAATTTTCCAAGTTAAATGAGTCTTGTGGTTCAACATCTTCATTGAACTCAAGTATGCTGCATTTTACATGGAATCCAAAGCCGCAACAAGTCAAGGGATTATTTTAAATTCATTTTCTATTCTGCAACAGCATCAATTTAATTAAGGATTGAAGAGCCCCAAAGGAAATTCATCCCACTTGATGTATCGTCCAGTACTACTTTTCTAGTTACCAGGTGAGCGGTCTAAAGGAGGTTGAAGTGGTTTTGCACTGAAGCCAGAAGGAGATGGAATTTAACACAAGTATTTGACGCTGCTTATCCCAGTGGTGAAAAATTCCTGAAAAAGCATTAATGGACAGATATTTACCAGTAAGAATGAAACAAAACTGCTCATACATGAGCCAACAAAGCTTAGAAATGCAAATTAATCAAACTCAATGGATGAGATCTGCATGGAGGCCCAAAAGCCCTGGAACATTCAGTCTACTCCAGGAAACCGATTTAGCCTCATTCATACAACAAAGGGAGAGGGAGAAGCACAGCAGGCACTGAATCCATGCAGCACAGGTTCAAGAAAATAAAACAGCTGAGGATCCAAAAGCCAGAAATTTCTCTGTACGAGATACAGTTGCAAACACAACTGTTGACAAAATACACAGTAGTCAATAAAATAATTCTGCAGATCCTGTTAGGAGGAAAGAGTCACCTGTTGCCCACAGCGTAATAAGCAGAGAGATAACCAATCCACAAGTAGAAAAGTAATAACTGTAGGTATTAAGGGAAAAATCCTACCCTTCCCATGGGGCACAGAGCCCTGCTCAAAGCAAAGTGAAGCCTGTAGCTACCTATAAAGGCTTGGAATCTGCAGTGAACACCTTTCAGCATCCAGTCTTGCTTAATCTCAGTATTATTGCCCATAGATGTACCTTTGACTTTAATTGATGTTAAGTGTATGAACTAGACAGACATGAAATGAAATAATATAACTGAAGAAAAACGAAAATACATTTGGTTTAAACAAGATTCATAAAGAGGAAGACCTGAAAGGACAAGATAAACAACTTGTACTCTGCTAACACGGTGCCTGTGAACATCACACACACCCCACAGAGCACCGAAGGGAGGAGATCACTCCAAGCATTCATGTTCTCCTCTTTGTACAAGGCAATACGCACTGAACAGACTCTTAACTCATACACAGTGTTAAACAAAGCCTCTGACAACCATGACATGCTAAACTGAACCTCAGCGCCTCAGCAGGAGCAATTGGCTACATGGAGACAAATCATGCACACACAGGGGTTTCAGAAAGAGATGCTGGTTACAAGGGACAACATGTACAACCTGGAGCTCTCCTCTACCTCCTTCTGCAAAGAAAAGAGAAAGATAAGAAGGAGAGGAACAAAAGTTAATAGACCAGATTTCTGCCATGAGGTCTGTAAAATGATTTCAGAAACTGGGGGAAAGGTTTGCCATAAGTTGATAAAACATTTGTGCGGCGAAGAGTTTTCCCATGCACTTCCTGGGACATACACCAGTCAACTAATCTCTTTCAATCAACCTCGAATTCAACTAGTCAAATTTCATCCATACATGCACATGCATTATAACATATGCTTTTGAGAACTCTTTTTGGAGTTACAGTTCCGGTTTTATTAACTGAAGAATTTTAAATAATCGTAATGCAGAATTGGAGCTGCTGTTTATCACACAGGAAAGAAAACCTGTACTTATTATAGAGAGAAACAGAATTTATTCCTCCTTTCCCCCAGACTGCATCCACTGCCTGCATCTGAAGCATCCCTGCTGCTTTCCTCCTCACCCCCTGTACATTTTGCCCAGTATGAGGAAACCGGCAGCTCCCACGGAACACATTTTGCTTTTGCAAATACCATAATGCAGAGAGATATTTTCTGGGTTTATACATCTAGGCAATTTTCCTCTGAGAAAAAAAATAAAAATCCAGAAGCCTCCTACACTAAATCTCATGTTTATGGATAGGCAATTTCAGGGCTAGTAAAGTTACATGAGAGTCATACTCAAAACTTCCGGTACAGACACGATAATTTTTAAGTCCTCCAATCAGATAATTCTCTCCCTGCACAGAAGAATCATATTACTCATTTGCATATGAAAGATGGAGGGTAAGGAATATCTTCATGGCAACAGGAGACACTCAAACTGGTTTAAAAACAAAAATAGTTTTTGAAGTTACTGTCTACATGGGTATAATTACAGACACGCAATCACTAAGACAGGAAAATAGAGAAGCTATTTTAACTCAATTGCTAAGGAGAAGTCAAATTACTTTAGCAAATGAAGTGCTGGATTGTAGATAAAACAAAAACCCTACTTTCCACCTTAAGACATGCCTGCATGGATGCTCATTAGGGAAAAAAGCCTCTGGACCACCCTGCAGGCTTCTCCTTTGGAGCTCATGGAGGAGAAATCACAATCGGCAGGGTGCTGCTGTCTCCTACCCAACAGCCCGTGTGGCAGAAGTGCTGTGTTGTGACAGTCAGCTCTGCACAGACGTGCCAACCTGGAGAGCTGAGGAAATCTGGGGTCCACCCCGGACTCAGGTGAGAACATGTTTTGTTGGGCATGGACACTTCTGACTGTTCTCCTCTGAAGAAATTTTTTATTTTACATATAATATCGTCACCCTGCCTGTCCTGTTCTGTTAGAGAAAACCTTCTCACCTAGACAGAGGCAATTCCAGTCCAAGTCCTCTGGTTTTGTCCTTCTTTTCGCACAGTCACCCTAGGCCCTTCCAACCCAAGCCAAATTCTCTCCTGAGATGGTCCACTGTGTCTCAGAGCCAGATATCCCTCGTTCCTGGGTTTTTAACTCCTTTGTACTTGAATGATAATCCTTCCTGATGTCTCCCGTGGACTCTCAGAGGGCAGGGGATGCAGAAGACCTGGACTTGTGTCCCCTCTCAGGTCTGCCATGGCTCTCAGTCACGTCGAGTGGGGAAACCCTGCTTTTAGCCCCCGGCTGGAAAACACTGAGGACAGATGGAGTCTCTGGCAGTGCAACAGCTCAACAGTAGCAAGCTACCAGTGAGCATATGCAAGCTACACATTTTTCAAGAGCATGTTCACTTCGCTCATTTGGGGCTGATTTTCCACAGAAAATTCCTTGACACAGACTAGCACTGCCAAATTTTAAGACCTCAGGGCACTAGAGTGTCTCAAATATAGGTCAAACTTGATTTTATACAAAAACAAAGAAATCAATCTTGCATTAGAGTAATTTTTTAATTAAAAAAAAAAACCACAAACAAACACAACAAAACATTTTAGCTTAAATTCCATACATATCTTTGATTTCTGATCCCCATCAATTTAAGGCAGTTGGGGACAGTTTCAGGCCAAATATAAAATTTGGCAAAGCTCTGAGTAACTGCAGACAAAGATCTAAAATCTTGTGTCTCAGTATAGCATGTGCATTTCATCAGTGGTCACTAACTTGGTTAAACCTCTATCACAGAACTCTTTCACTATTCCACTTTTGAGCAGTCACCATGCATGCACAAAAATCTCTATTTCAGGACTTTTAGTTAAAAAAAAAAAATCAAAAAAAATCAAACTTATCTTCATCTTCACTTTCACTTTTTTTTTCTTTTTTCTCAAACTCAAATTTGAAAACCTTCCCCAGATTTTCAGGGGATATTTTATTTTCTCTCTTTTGACTTCCAATTAAACACAACAATTACTTACATGCATCTGCCAACTTCCAAATTCTTCTGGTAATTTGCATCTGTGTACAACTATAAATAAATTAAACCTTTATGCCAGTGCATCATCTCTGATTCACCAAAACATGCAGATTTACCAACACCTTCAAAGTTATCATCCATTCCTTGGCTGCAGGCTGCTGCCAAACATATTTAGTTAAATACCCCAAACTGAACTTTTGAGCACACATGAGCACCACAGTGGTTCAGGTTCAGAACCGAAAAACCACAGCTGCAGAACTGGGTTTTCAGTGGACCTTACCCAGGAACTGGAAACCCTATTAACAACAAATTACATTTTTAAAGTGAGACACTTATCTACTGCTGGGGAAAAAAACCAAACCAACAAGATTTCACTGCATTCCAAGTATGATGCTTTTTCCAAAGGAAGAAAATAAAGGCTTGGCTCACACTTGAGTACGTGAAAGCAGGACATAAAACTGCAGCTTCTCTTTCTTTAAAAATACAAACCAGAACAACACTATTTAAGAGAGTCACAGAATCACAGAATGGCTTGCGGAAGGGACCTAAATATCATCCAGTTTCAATTCCCAAAGAGCTTCCCTGCCTAGCTCTGAAGGTCCTGACTGCTTTGCTTCCTGACATCTCCAGGGTTTTTTTCTCTTCCTTTTCTTATCCTTTAACCAGTATTCTCCACTACCCTTGACTCCTTTGACTCCTCCCATTTCTCAGAGCACATTTCCTGCATCACTATTTCATCACACACTTATTATTATAGCTTCAGTTGCCAAATCTAACATGTAGATCCACCTTCACATGAGTGTCACACAAGCACCAGCTTTTGTCAAGTCACTAGATGATGTTCAGGAGAATTGAAGCAGGGAGGCTCAGGAGGGCCAATGCACCCTCAAGCCAGATTTCAGGTACGAAGTCCAGCTCTATTCCTCCTTCTCCTTCTTAACTGTTTTGGCTACTTCTCTCCTTGTGAACATGCCTGTACTGCTCAAACTCTGCTGAAATGAGCAGCCTCCTCTCACATTCAGAAACAGGCTATTTCAATACTTCTGCTGCACTGTGACATACGCTAATCCAAGCCTCTGGACTGGTACAGAAGTCAAACACAGGTTGACAGATTGTTTCTTCACAATGAAAGCACAGTCACTGGAAAAGCACTTGGAGTTAGACAATTCTTCCTGTCAGAAAAAAGAGCCCTCTGATTACTCTGACTAGCTTTCATGATTGCAAGAAGAGTGAACACAGTATTTGACACACAGAAGTTCACAACAAGGATGTGAAGATTTCAACCTGCAATTCAAATATCTTCCACCCTTGAAACAAAGCCTCTTCCCTTAACTGTGTAGTGATTTGGACGGAGATGACACCAAGGAAGTCTTCCCACTGCCTTGGAGTGGGAAGGAGGCAGATGGGAAGGAGAGGAAGGAGGCAGATGGACTTACATCTCAAGTTTAGGTTCTGTTTTACCTATCAAAGGCCTATCAAAACGTGTCCCATCAAAAGATGCTGGTCAGCTCTATCTCCCATGTGCTCAGGGATAGATTTAGCAGCACATCTCCACCACTGTATCAGCTCACATTGGCACTTCAATATCAGTCCTGGAAACAAGACAGGTAGCTCCACAGAAATGAATGATTTCTCATCTCAAGGACAAGTTACGGGAACAATACCAAAACACAAGTCTCAACCTTTTTGTGTGTGTGTTTTGTTTTGATTTAATTTTTATTTTTAAAGGGTCTGTACTAGGATAACATCTAGCAGTGATTAAACACTGAGAACTCCCACTTCATGATAGAGTCACTTGAAGTCTAGATCCACTCAACTCACAAAAGTGCAAATCTGGATACTTACAGCTCAAATGCACACTTTGTTATCACATGTCTTAGCTATTATATTTAACAAGAAACCAAGTCACGAATTATGATGAAAAACTTTAACACCTGCTATTTTGAAGAAGCACTGCAAATCTCCTTCATGAAAAAAAAAGGAAAAAAAAAGAAAAAGAAAAGAAAAGAGAGAAGTGAACCTTGCTAACTTGTTTTTTAATGTGTTACACAATAAATTTTAGGGGGTTTTGTCAGTAGTGTTGTACAGCATATCTACTTGCCTCTGTAACTCTTTGCTCACAATTTCTAATAAACTGTTTACCCTCATAATGAGGTGTTGGCCGCTGGCTGCACAAACAACAGATTTTGACATCTCCTCAAAAACAATTTTTTTTCATTTTACCTGAATTTGTCTCCTCAGTAGAAATCCCGTTTCCTTCCTGCGCTAATCCTTTTAAGAGTCTCCTACGCATTTGTCTCTTTTCCCTCAGCACATTTTTGAAATTGTTGATGCATTTGTTCAGGTAGATGGTCTCTGCGCACACCTTGTCCAGGCTCATGGGTCTGCACTCCTTCGCTGGCTCAGGTAGGGTGTTCACATCTTCTCCAAGCTCCTCAGGAGGCAAGCATTGCCCAGTAGGGATTTCACAGTCAGATGATGGCACCAAACTGGAAACAGGAGGCTCGTGAGGAACAGAGGAAAGACTGGAAGGAGCAAATTGCATCTGAGCAGATGCTTCACTGTTGACATTTGTGTTTGCCTGGCTCTCAGAGGACTGACTAGGAGGGGTTTCTGCAAAGTTGTCAGAGCTGCCACCCATACCTGAACTGGTCAGCATAAGTGTGTTGTCATCATCCATCTGTAAGCCACTATCATTTTCCAAAAGCATTTCAGAATCACTTGTTTCCAGTTTATTAAATACCACCTGCAGAGCAGACCTGAAGTGGTGAATAGCTTTCCCCAGCTTATTGGTGTAAAACTTCATGTCTACAAGATCAATGTTGTCCCGGGAATGGTCAAGGAAATACTGTGAATTTTCCAGGACATCCCTAAACACCTGATCAGTTGGATCTTGATCATTCAGGTCCATTTGGATCATATCTTTCAAGCTGTCACTACTATCAGCCATTTCATCTGTTGTATGATCATAGCTAATGGTTGTCACTCCACTAGAAACATCTTCTCTTTGAATATCGACTTTCTCTGCACTGGTTAGTTTGCATGAAGTATCACAGTCTATTTCAATTTCTTCTGTGGTTATCCCCTCATCTTTTTCTAGAAGGGAAGAGCAATTCTTAGTGATATTTTCAGCATCAAGCCTGTGCTCACCACCATTATTTGAAGAACACATCTGTTTCACATGGCCAGACGAGTCAGATGAGCAGCAGTGGTTTCCATCACCTGATTTGGCCAAACCGGTCATCTGTGGATTTTGCAGAGGTTCACAAAGGACCTGGTGAATGTCACTGTCATCTGAAGGCTGCTCACTGCAGCTTATTGTTTGTGCTTCCTTTCCAGTCTCAGACACCGAGCTGCTTTCCTTAGTCAAGGCTGATTTCTGTGCAGAATCAGGTCTCTGCCCTGAGCACTGTGCTTTCCTACTCGTGCTTTTATTCTTCACCTGGCATAAGTCCGTTTGGAGTTGCCGCTTTTGCTCCTCACTGGTAGCAATCCGGACCCCTGAGCTCTGCAGAAGGATAGACTTTTGTAAGATAAAGTCTCTCTGTTCACAGCTGACAAGTTTCACAACTGCTGGTCTTGGCATTAATGGCTTGCCTGTACCCATATCCGATCTATAAGCATCTTTTATATACTTACTGCACTGAATACCGTTGAAGCAGTGATACTCAGACAAGAAGCTGCAGATAAGCTCTACTGTGTTTTCACCATCTTTCTCCGGGATGCCATAAAAATATAATACTGGTTCTTCCTTTTGTACCTCCTTTCTTGGCTCTCGAGCATGTGTACCCTGGGTTTTGCCACCAGAACCACCTTGTAGGCCTTCTATCTCACTCAAGACTGTATCCACGCAGCTGGAGACTTCATCCACAGAGCCTTTTATCAAGGTGAGGTGCTGACGGAGCTCTGCGATCTCCGTCTGGATTCGACTTATTCCCTGGAGCTCTTTAACGATGTAATCAACCACATCAGCTGAGCGATCTCTTGATTGCCTCCTACGGCTCTTGTATGCAGTGGGTTTCTCCTGGGGAAAGCACCCTTGCCTTTCGGCTGCATCCCTCCAGCTCATGGTAATGCTCAGAGAAGAAAGGTCCTGCCCCTCAGACACTCTGCTCTTTATTTCAGAAGAGGTCTGTGTGATACCATCAGAAGAATTTCCCTGCAAGTCCTTCTTGTTCTGCTGGACTGAACACGGTATTTTCACATAGCCATCCCAGTTCAGTTCCACCTCACCGACACAAACTTCACTGACTGCCTTGGAATCACGTCTTCCATCCTGATGAAAATCCCCTCCAGCTGTGGAAAATTCAGTGCTCCCGGGGCTCCTCTTTATTCCACAAACAAACACGTCTGTTTCAAACTCCACTGGGGATAGCTGGCACCGATGTGCATGGTTTGAATTATCATCTACCTGGCCTTGAAGAAGCCTCTTCATTTTGTCCCGCAGAAACAAATGGAGTTTTTGCTTCCGGAATTGCTTCCTGCCCCACAGTTTTACAACAGGTTTTCTGTGCAGAAGTGAAATTTCATTTTCTTGCTTTTTCAATCTACTTCTAGCAAACATCATCAGCTGCACCTGCGTTTCTCATAGTGCTACAAGCTGCAAAAGCACACATCAATCACAACTCGCATCCAGTTTTTATTCTGTCATGAAGCAGCTACCGAAAGAGGGGAAAAAACATTACGGTTTGGTTCAGATAGAAATAGCCAAAGTAACTTAAGCAGCAGAATAATAAAAAAACCCAAGAACAGCATACACATAAAATCAGACAGAAAGAGGATGTGCTATTTAAAGTGTATAGACATTGTCTTGGTTTTGGCCACCTCCCCTGATCGGGTTCTTCTTTGTCAAAATATTCGAGAAAGGGGGGGAAAAAAAAAAATCTAAAGAGCAATTGTGGTCATTCCCTTTTTCTACCAGGTTTGCAAATTGCTCTAAGCTTGAGCTCCTGGCTATGGTGCACTATGTGATTTAATTACCCCTCTGAATACAGAATTCTGACATTAGAAATTCTATCTTTGCACATTTCCTTTCCTTTCAAGTTCATAATCTTCATCCCTTCTTGCTTCAAACCAAAGCAGAAATCAAATTCAACTTGGCGCACTACCAGCTAGCCCACAGGAATTGCACAAAGTGACGTAAAGTGGCAGGAAGACTGGATGACAGATTTCAAATGTAAAACCTTTATACTATTTTAATACTTTCATCTTAATATTTTGCTACCAAACAGTATTAAAAAAAAACAAAAAAAAAACCAAAAAAAACCCCAAACACCAAAATGAAGCAAACTCAAAAAACCTCAAAGCTTGCGAGCTCCCGAGCTAACCTGCAGTTAAATATGCCACGCTCAGCATATGCACAAACAGGCTGAGCTGACAGCAGGAATATTCTGTATGTCACTTCTACTCCAGCTCTCAGGATTTTGCAGTGGATCATTTTCCCTGATTTAAATCCCCTCTACAAAGAGCAAAATAAAAACAAAAAACACCCACTATGTGAACTACTTCAAACTTTCATGTGTCTTTGCTTCACTTAGTAAGCAACATAACAATCAGCTTTTTCCTCCAGAGTGTAAGGCAGACAGAGACCCATACAGAGAACCTCCTGGAGCCAGTGTGACTGGAGAACACAAGTGTATTTGATGATTCAGTTTGGACTTGCTGCTGAAGCACATATTCTTTCTCATATTCTAATGTGAATGAAGACCTATAGTACCTGTCTTCCATTTTTGGGATTACCTCGTTCTCAAAAAAAAGAAAAAAACCAAAACATTTTCATGCTCCACAATGCACAAACCTAACCATCACACCATCACATCCACTCGCTCCAGAGCTCACAGAAGCTTTCACATGGTGCCTCTTAGGGAGCGCATACAATGACTCCCGTTTTCAAAGCACTGACTCAAAGTTTCCAAACACTTACTCAAAGTTTCTTCACCTGCACTGATCCCAACCTGCTGAGGTGCAGAAACCCTCCCTAACATGTCCTCAGCTCCACCTCAGCTGGGTGTGCTGCCGCCAGCTTTTGCCTGTTAGCGAGCATTTTCATCATGGTGAGTATCTTGTTTTCACTTTTGTTGCTTCATTTTGTGGGCAGGAAAGGAGAGAGTGTTTCTTGATCTGGAGGAAGCAGCACTGCAAATACCAGTCGCTATAATAAGAGCTTAATTATTATGCTATAACAGAGGTTGCATCTGTGCTTCAGGTTTTAGTCCCATCATTGAGCATCTCAGCTGAACTACCATACCAAAGGCAGCATCTGGTATTATGTAGAATAAACAAATTCTCTGTGAAATTGATAGCTGCTTAAAAGAAAACAAGTTTTAATTTCATAGAATTTTCAGGCCATTGGTCAAAAAAAAAAAAAGGTGGTTTTTTTTTAATGTCTTTCTTATCTAACTACTCCCTCATAGAATAGGTTTCACAAAAGAACTATTTTTTCAAACTCTCTTCTTCGCCACAGTTTAGCTACTTTCACTTGATTGGGTAATTGATGTTTAACACCAGAAAATCACTTCTCTAACAGCATTAAGAAGTGAACCCTCAGAGACCAAGCACCTCAATTCAATGGCAGCCAAGAAAGAGGGCTCCACAGCTGTGGCTCCCTACTAGTGTTGCTTGAGGGTAGCACACAGAAATGCTAATTTCAAATATTATCCACCATACTGAACTCCAAGTGCTAGGAGAAAAACCTACCTATGCTTGTGTAAGGTTTCCCTCAGAAAAATCCTCATCATGTTCCCTTCTGCACTCATCTTTCAAGGCACCAGAGGGGCTTAATGATCATTTTAGTTTAAAAAAAAAAAAAAAAAGAAATCAATTCAAGATGGTGTTTGCTCTCATCTCCTTTGTCTGCTGCAACTTTCAACAGCAGCAGTTTGATACAGAAATCACTTTTGCCTGCTGAACACTTACTTGCAGGACTGCAGCTGTTCCAAAGCTGGAAGCTCAAGTGCAAACAGCACAGTTCTGTCATTTTCATTTATATATACAGTGTTTGTGGTTTATGTATATGTATGTATGTATATATAGGTGTATATATAGATATACAAGAATACCTATTTCGTTGGAGATTTTCAAAAAAACATCTTTGATTTCATCAAATACCATCAGTACCTTTCCATCTTACCCCAAGAAGGACAGAAACTGTTTCCTCCCCAGCTGGGAACAAGGCCAGAGCAGAACACGTGGACAGCAGCTCTAGCTCAGAGGGAAGCCTCCCTACCTCTCCCTGCAGTGGGTGGAAATGAACAGAAATTGCTGTTTACCACCCAAGAGCAAATCACTGCCCACTTAGAAGAATGCCAAGAACCAAGTAAGAGAATCACCCTCTTTGCACCTCTCCCACAGGCTTCCTCTTCCTCCATTCCCCTCTGGGCATTCATTCGCCCACCTCATTCTGTGGGTTGTCCCCACAGTGCCTCTGCACCTCCTGCCAGGGTCCTTCACTCCTCTCCACCCAGGGTTGTGTGTGTGCTCCTGTCCCATTCCACTGCTCCAGACTTGGGTGCTCTGCAGTCACTTGTGCCCTGTAAAGATCCCTTATCATGTTGCCTGTGTTAGGGTCATTCTTTTTTGTAGCACCGACGTGCAAAGCGACAATGAAAGTTAATGCGGGTTCAGCCAGGAAAAAAAAAAAGCTAATCTAGATGCAAATCCTTGCTGAAGTCTTTTTCTCTTCCAGAATCACTCCAGGAGCCACAGTAACACATAACAAGAAATCAACTCTTTAAAAAAGAGAGTATTTGGATCCTGGTATCCTGCCAGATGCTGCGATCCCTCACTGACTACACAAGGTTTGTTCTGACTGCCTTATTAGCAGGCATTTCTCTCCAGAAGAACTCCATGCTCAGTGCAATGCAGCTGTCTCTGGGGATGCAGGTTGGAGAGCAGCATGCAAAGGCACCATCATTTCTATGCTCCCTAAATTCTCAAAATGAAGCAACACTCAAGGTAAAAATGAGGAATACATTGCTGCTTTACTTGGGGAATTTTTGGGTTATTTTGCTATTTCCATGAGGACAAAGCTGACATATTAAGGTTTTTAACAGGGGAAACACATGAGCTACCACAAACACTGTACAGCTTATTACCTTGTCAATGGACACACTTATGAAATATCCTTGAACATCACCCATGAACAACAGTTACTTTTCCTCCTGACATACGGATTTGCCATGACAACAGGAGCAAAAGCATGGCATGCCAGCATCCATGAAGGAGAAAGAAGAACATGAGAAATCCCATGAAGGAATAAAATGCAATTATGTTATCTCTGCTGGGGCTCAGCCATATTATACACTTTGGGCACTGGGGGAAGTCCAGGCTCTTCCCAGGGAGAGGGGATGGCTGCAACTCACTCTGAGCAGCATCTTCAGCTCTGTGAGTCACTGGACCAGCATGGTCCAAAACAAAGCCAGCACTGTGGTGCCTTCAGCACTGCCCCACGCTGCAGAGAACTGCCTGCAGTCCAGTGGAAGAAAAGGGTGTGGAAGCACAAAACCCTATGTCCCTCAAACCTTTGCTAAAATGAGGTGGGTTTATCTTAAAATCATACAATTGTTTACATTGGAAAAGACCTTTAAAACCACCAAGTTCAACCATTAACCAAGTACTTCCAAGGCCACCACTAAACTAAGTGCCACATCTACACATCTTTTAAATACTTCCTGGGAGGCTGATTTCACCACTTCCCACTTGGGCAGCCTATTCCAATATCTGACATCCTGACATTTTTACTGGCTATCTGGTTTTCATCACACCAAGGTAAATACTGAGACACCTTTACCCCACAACATCATGCTAGAAGGTGCTGGTACCTCAGGGTAGACGTAATGTTCAAGGTCACCAGCAAAGAGATTTAAAAACAATTAACTATGATCAGAAAAACATTTCACAGCAGCCTCTTTGGCTATTGATTCTTGCTACTGAGTGAAGTCTTTTTGATTAGATTATATTTACAGTATCTTCCACACAAAGTGGTATTGTATTACCTGTACTATCAATTACACCAGGAAAAGCAATAAAATGTCTGATAAATTGTCTTGCTACTTTATAAAGAACCATTTAAAAATGAAGAATACCAATAACTAAAATGCAGGACATTTTGGGAATAAAAAAAATTGGCATTAACAAGAGAAAGAAAATCATGGCTAAGGCTGCCATAGCAACATCGCCCCAGCACTCTGCATGCTGAAACATTGACTCTTCCTGAGAATATTACAGCATTTTTAAACACATTAATTGCTGAAATAATCCTAACAACAAGGCTTGACAGAGGTATGAAGGGTTACCATCAGTTTGGTGATGTATGACTTCTGGAGATGAGCCTGCAATTTTCTAATTAAAATGATTACATTTAATTTTGGGTTGGATCATATCTGAACATGGCACTATTGCTTTGCTTCTGAGAATGTGTCTCTCTTCAAACCTTCTCCTGGTAACTAGCAAAACCTCTAACTTTTGAGTCCTGGCATGGATGATTAAGAAAGTACTGAGCTGAGCAATCCTGGGCAAAAAGCAGGAGAGCTGGAGAACAAAGCGTACTGTTGAGAAACATGTTCACCTCAGGACATTTTGGCTAAAATGTTAAGCTGCAGAAGAGACACATGGAACACCACAGTGGATTAAAGATGAAATACATCCATGCCATTGAACAGACAGTAGTTACAAAAGAACAAAAGTAATTGTAAAAACAAACCAATGTGAGCAGAGGAACTATTACTCAGACCCTCAGCAACCCTTTCACAGTTCCTTTGCAGCATAGCTTCAACTTAGGTTCTTGCTCAGGAATTACTGCACAAGCTGCAAAACAACATCCCAGCCCCACCTGTAAAACTTCCTTAAGTTTTTTAGTGCTTCCAATTGTATTTTCCGAGTTTCTTGTACCTACAACATCTGTTTTTATACAGCTGAGCAAAAACTGTAAGGGAACACTTCAGTGCAGGTATCAATGACAGCCAGTCTTCCCAGCTGACAGGTTCAAGGAAAAGAAACCCCACACTAGAAATCTTTCCAAAGCAGTTTGACAGATGTGATAAAAGGTCAGGTGTGGTCAGTCAGTCATCCTCATGGTGGAAAAATGATCCAGGGAATACTGCGTACTACACAGTTCTGCACCTCCCACATCACAGTTATTTCTTACCTTTTACACAAAGCCATCCAACCAAGACAAAAAAGCAGCTCTGAATAATATTTTGCTGCACCAGCAAGTGCAGCTACAAAGTGAAGGAACAGTAAAAATAACAAACTATGAGTGTACAACACCCACTGAAGTGTTCTGAGTGCATTCAACAATGTAAAAATTTCTGTTACAAAACAGCATGAAATTAAATTAATGTAATTAAAGAGTGTCATTATGTAGTAGAACAAGGAGATAGCACTCCCTGCCTTAACTCCTTAACACCCTCTACAAATGTAGGGACCACCACAGCAGTTAAACGTGTCTCAGCTTTCTGTAAAATGGGACTAATGTCAGTCACCCAGATGACATCCCTTCAGTGAGCACAGATGGAGAAGGACCAAGTTGTCCAGGCCTTAAGTCCAGCTGTCTTGGGAATGCCCGGAGGGCACCTCAGCACCAGGCAGCCCTTCCATCCTTCGGGATGTGCTCATTTCCCTCTGCAGCGCATCCTTCTGTCACAGCTTTTCCTGCAAGCTGAAAGCAGCAGTGGCTGGCACAGCGATGCATCGCTCGCAGTAACAAATGAGGTCTGTCACCACCTGGCAGCCAGGAAAAGGCGGTATCCAGAGACAGAAATAGGGGTTGTCCCCAAACGCAGCGGGAGGCACAGCCTGGAAGCTGTCGACTATGGCAGTGCAAAGGCTCATGCCTAGCAAGCAGCAAGCTAAGTCTAAGGCACTTACCTAGTTCTGAGGCAACGCTGTGCTGAGATAAAGGCAAAAAGGATAACTGACTACCAAAAATAGAAATCACAGCTGTTTCTGTCATTCTTATGTAAAAATTTCTTGACTCCTTAGCAGAGAACACAAAACCTGAGCAGCAGCTAAGAGCAGTTTAAGAGCAAATGGAGAAACAACTAAGCTCAGCAGCCCCCTTATTTCCAGAGCTTGGGGGTTGTGTACCCACCTGAATCAACCAGTAAATGTTTGCCCAGGACAACTTAAAGCACTAATTGTTCCTTAAACCAGATTTATCAGGAACCTAAGGACCAAGCATTATGCTGAAAAGACAAGCCAGGATCAAGAAGCAACTTCTAATTTAAAGAAAACAGCTCCAAGGACTGAAACAAAAGTATGGGGGCATGCCAAGTTGTCTGGCCATGGGATCAGAGCTGTGGAAATGTCTGCCAGGCTTCAGGGAAAGGTTTGTGATTATTCAGCTACCTCTAACCAGAAAGCAGACAGACAGCTCTGCCAGTACAAAGTCAGTACCTATGGCTTAAATAATGTTTGTGTACATTATGAAAACATTGAAGGGTGCCAAGAGCTCTGCCTTGACTAACAGTGACAGAACGGGCTGTACCTCTCCTCTACTTGTAACCCAGCTTACAGCCCAGTGCCAAGTTATTCTGTGAACTCTCCAAGTGCTGCATTTCTGGTAAGAACCACCACGAAACACATCTGTAAGAATTTTCTCAAACTCTTGGTGACTCCCTGAGGAGGTTTGCAGCTGGTTTTTCCAGGTGACAGTACCTCAGCTCACAGGGACATTCCGGTAGGAAAGGGACAGGCAGCACTCACCAGTGAATTAGGAGACCCTACTTCTGTTGTGAGGGCAGAGAGAGCACAGCCCTGGTACTAGCTGGTGCTACACAAGCTTGCTCACTGATTTGACCTGCTCTGCACTCCTTTAGGGCAGACATTTGGCAGTGTTTAGCTGGGATGGGTTAAGATAATGTATGCAGCAAATGGAATTAGGGTTTTCCAGCTCATGCTACTAAAATGCAGCACTCGGCAACTAAAATCCTCCTGGGCTAAAACTGCAGCTTTACTTCTATAAGCTTTCTCCTTTTCATCTTGAGGACAGAAGACCTCAGCATTCTGTATTAAGTCTTGAGGTTTATCCCCCAAAGGCTCACTCCATTAGCAAAAGAAAGCTGCCCATATAAATGGAAGGAAAACTGAAAAGATATCTGAAACAGTCACACCATCTGCTCTGATTCACGAGCTTGTACAGCATCCTCATCGCTCCTGCATGCCAGTCACTCCATCTCATCAACTCACAAGCTTCTCAGCACAAGAAATCAGGCCAATGACAAACACTCTGTGTTAAAAGCAAGCCTTTCCTCAGTGACATTTAAGGAGAATCAAACCAGTAATTTAATTACTTCAAGTTATTTGCTTTTCAAGTGATCAAATTTAAATTATCCCCAAGCTCTTTCCCTTTAAGTCTTCTTCCCATAGTGATTTTGATGTCAAATTCCAGCTGAGATACAAACCCTCCTAACAGAAAAGTATTAGAAGTAAACAGACACAACCTCAATTATACCAGTCATAAGACATCTACAATTAGTATCTAATGGGTGAAAACAAAAACTAAGAAACAGAGCATACAAATGAACATACTAAGTGTAAATTGCTTTTACAAAGACATTTTTAAATCCAGTCAGCTTCAAATGGAGCTATTGTATTGCTAAAGTAAACACACACACACACACACAGCCCACTCTAAAAATAAAGAGCAATTCTCCTTGGTCGCTGCCTACTTGCACTTTATACCGAGCCACTTCATTTGTTCCAATCTTTCACTTACCTTGCTGCTTCAAAATAAAACAAAAGGTTAAAATGTAAAGGAAATTTATAGAATTAATAGAAAACTACAGAATACAATAGCTTGTTCTCATAGAAAATACAAGTCCTGAAGGATTCCTAATCTTCTTAAAGGTTCACCGGATAATGAACTTTCACTATGGAGATTATCAACATATTGTTGGTGTCCCATCTGAGGTATCAGGGAAAGCAACGTTAAAGGCACCGAGAGTTTCCCGTTCCACAGCAGCACTAGGATGAGAAATCACATAAAGTTGAAGGCATGTTTTGAAGGGAATAAAAAATGCAAACAGCTACTAAAAATCCAAAAAGCAAAAAACAGCAGAAGCCAATGATTGTAAAAGCCAAAAATGAAGAAATCCTTTTGGTTTCCAGGAGCATCCCTCAACAGAAATTCTTTAGTTCCCCACAACAGTGCATCTTTTCCCTTTCTCAGGCTGTACCAAGTACAGTTAAAACTTCATCCTTCTCTTCAGTTGTGACTCAACAGAAAATATTGTACTTCAGAGGCAGAGAGAAAGCTGTGCAGCTATTGCTACTTTACTCCTCCTCGTCAGCTGCCTACTGCCTAGCTCCTCACACACGCAGCCTCCCTGCTCCACTCCTCGCCTCAAAATGATTCTCCACTTTATTATCCATTCAGAAGGAAATACGAACTGATGAAGCCAATCTGACTAAAGACAAAACGCACTCCTTTGGCATTACGAGAGCAGGCAGTGCAGCGCAGTGAGCTGATCTCTGCTGGAAAAGAGCTCTGCCTGACTCCTGTCATCCTACGGGACTGTGGAGAAGGGGGGGCTGGGGGAAAAAAAGCTCAGGACTCAACATAATTAACCAGCTCCAAGAAGATTCTTTGCCCAGTTTATTTTTATCTCTCCTGTTCACCCCCAGACTAACCCGCAAGATTCAGCGATGCCCTCACTGAAATGAATCCAGTTTCCAAGGAAGATAAGTTCTGGTACAAGTGTGGGGGATTGAAACACCCGTTGATCTCTCGTTTCCCAAAAATAAAAGTCACATTGTTACATAAAAGAATGACTGCAGAAGTGTTGTGCACAGAATCAGATCCACTCACGTTGTACTGACACTTCTCTCCTGGGAGTGAGCAGCAGCAGGCACTCATCCTGAAAGAAGCAACTGAATTAAAGGCACTGTTCATCTGCCCCACAGCCTGTTCCAGGGGTATCCAACACACTGCTGCTAAGACAATCTTCCTGTTGAACAACTGATCCATGCTCATATCCTCTGTCCCCCCTCTTCATGCACCCAACACAAGCACCCACCTCCTTCCTGAATACTGATTCTCTGCCTTTAGCATCAAAGGCACTGTACGAGTGCTGCTTTTGCTCAAGGACAACTCACTGCATCTTTCAAAACAGTGTCTTTTCACAGTGTGGGGTGGGATTTTGAAGAGGCCTATATGACTTAGCTGTGGAAATGCCACTATCCTCCCATCTGTTCGAATACCTCCTACCTCCTTGTGAGCCAGCCTTGCTGTGAACGATAAATCCCCTCCAATGTCTTACCTACAACAGAATCAACTTTTATTCACCACTTCCTCCACAATCACCACTGTGCTCCCACCCCTGCCCTTGCTGCAGGGGGAATATTCTCCCAGCACCTTCTACCCCCTGCTCCCACAGCTCCATCCCAGCACTTTGCTGTACTGCCAGCTGACAACAGCCAGGCTGATGTCCCTGTCAGCTCATTTCTTTGGTTTGGGTAAGGGCAAGTTTTGCACACAGGCAGACTAATGCCATGGTTTACATCACCATCTGAGCAGTGCCACTAGTGACCTGCACCTCTGCTCTTTCCATGTGCACTGCCCCTTTCAGTCAGGCACAGAAACCACCTTCCAGACCCCCTGTAAGGCTGGTGTTCCTCTGTGGTCAGTCATATCCTCCAGCCCTCAGAATAACTTCTCATTTTTGCTCTTTCCCTTGCTGCAGGGGTAGGGACTATGGGTCAGAGTTTGAGAAGTGCTTTAGCTTTAAATGATTTTAAGAGTCTGACCCTGAGTTTCTCTCTCTACATATATTTCCGTCCCACCTGGAGAACAGGGCTTCAGCCCAACTGAGGGCACCGAGTCCTACTGCAATAGAAATTATTCCACTAAACACACCAATTATAGCACTTGAGCTCAGAGTTGAAGCTCTGCATGAAATTCATCCACATAAAGACGAAGATTGCCCAACTGAGAAAATAAAATGCAATCCAGGATTTGCGCAGCACTTAGTATCTTCAAAGCCCTGCCTGTGAATAAGATAAAAAAGATCCTCTGAGAGGACTCCCTCATAGCAGTAGCTTAAAAAAAATATTAAGTATCCGTCAGACAACACTTTCTTATTTGCATTAACTGTCTACAGCACCTGAAATTAGACAGTCTTACAAGCTTTTGCGTGCCTCTTTCCAAAGATCCTACTACAAGTGGAACCAACATCATCTTGCCATCCTTGCCTCTGTCTTTCCCTTTTCCTCCTTCCTCGGTCTTTGCCCACTGCTGTAGCCATCAGCACCAGGCATTAGCACATCAAAGTGCCAAACACAAGGCTGCTCTAGCCACAGGTCCTAAGATTCAAAAAAACCTGTGCAAATTTCCAAGTACTGCCACATGAAATCCCAATACTCCCGTGGCTGTCATATAAGAACAGGAGCAGAAAAACACATGGAAAAAGTGAGCAGGTCTCAACAGACAGAGACAGGAGACATTGCTAATGGAGGTCATGAGCAATGAAATGTTGGAAAAATGTCACTGCCCTCACCACAGCTCACAAGGAGCTGGAGAGGAAAATGCGGCTAAAAAAGACAAAAAAGCAGGTGCCCTCAGAAGCAAGAAAGGTGGCACCGTCCAAACATTTAGAACCCCTAATCTAATGCACAGGAGATGGAAACAGGCTTTTTCAGAGATTTCTTCTGAAATAATAAAGATAATTCATAACTGTGAAAAATAGGTATGACTTGTCTATTTCTGACTTGCCTATTTTACGACTCTAAAAAAAAGTCAGTGAGAAAGAGTATGCTTTACCTTAAGGCTGAGAGCACTGAGTTATTTGCCTTCTACAAGAGAAATAAACTTGCACTTAAAAATTTAAATACTTCTTACTGCAATTATTTAATTCACCAACAGATTTTAATTTTAGGTTGAGCCAGCAGGGAATTATTAAAACTGATAAAGCCAGGCTCAGCTATATAGGCCAAATGCTTTGATGTCTGCGAGGTATACATTACCCTTTCTTCTTTTTTAATCCTCATTATCTATTTCATTCCAACTTCCTGTAAAGTAGTGAATTACTGATAAAATTGTAAAAAGTAAGCAATTCCTTCATGAGCACGAGTGGATTAACGAAAGGAAAATGAGCACTCTTCGAGCACAGGTCCTGCTCCTCCCTCTCCCACACTTAACGCCCCATCTCCCTCCAGGAAGACAACCAGGAACATTTCTAGTGTCCTGGCTCTGGGGGAAGCACAGAACTGAGTGGCTAAGGAAATTAGATGATAAGAATGTTACACAGAGAGATGAAAAAGAAACAAGAGGGGAAAACTTAGAGAGAAAAGTCAATGGAGAGAGCTTGTCTGGTACTGCAGGGGAAAACTCTGTCCAACTCACTCTCAGGTTTAATTTGTCTCACAAATGGCCCTGGACATCTCTGACTCTGGAGCTCTCTAAAATAAAATTTTTATTTGACTGGAAAAAAAAAAAAAGAAAAAGCCATCTGTCCCAAGTGCAATTGCCTGCTGCATCTCCCTGAAGGCAGAGTTTTCAGTAAGGCAGCTTGAGTTCAATGCTTCACTAGACCTTACCAGTTCAAATACACTGTGTAAAGTTTATCAATTTATTCAGCAGTCAAAATACACTATTTATTATGTTTTTCAAAGCCACAAGAAGATTAAATCAATCAGCAGTCCAAATACGAAGTGTTAATGAAAAAGCAGCGACCCCCTGCTGTTTGACAGCTGTCCTCAATGAACAGCAGCTCTGAGGAGCTGTGCATCACACAACCCCAAGCAGGGCTGCTGAGACCGAGCGTGGAAGAGGAGACTTTATGTTCTGAGGCATGAAAAACTGCCCTGTCAACGATGCTGCTGTTGTTACAGTAGCTCCAGAACACACGTATGAATCATATGCTTAAGACATTGCTTTCAGAAGAAAGAACAACTTCAAGAAGGTTTCATTCAAAGCACTGACTCTTTCTTTTCCCCTTAGGAAAGGCTAAGGCAAGGTGCAAGGGCAACATGCAAACTCGGAGAGGAAGAAAGATACATGTATCTCCTACAGCACCTTGAGCACCTTGGAAACTGATAATGGCCAGACATCAACATTGAAAGAGTTGAAGAAAAAGGAGGAGATAATCTTACCCAAAGTTCTCACCCTTTAAAAAGTTGGGGTTTTTCCTCTCATACAAGTTGCATTATTTTGTTTATAGAAAGACAAGAATGGAACTGGCTCATTGGAATGAAAAAGAAAAAAGCTAAAGATCAGAGGTTTTGGGATTGCTTACTTTCCAAAGATAGACAACCTAAGTCCCTTTGTTGTCAATGGCTGCAACCAAACCACTGGCTGACTCATTTTCATAGAAAAGATGTTTACGTTCAACATGTTATCATCATTTGACTGTAAGGACATCCGCTGAACTCTGAGACATGAACGTTTCTCAACTAATAGAAGGAAAGACTTTCACATACTTGGGAATAAAGAATATTTCCATGGCCAAGAATGCAGTAAAATTCAAGGTGTGGGAATTTTGTTAGGTTAATGACAAAAATGACTTAACATAGCACCAATGTTTTTGAAGAAACTATAACGAACTATACACTTTACAGTTTAGGCCAATCTTTATCAGGCAGAGATTAAACGGAGACCTTAGAGTTGCCTACAATGAGTCCTCCCATCTCTGTCCCTCTGAAAGTGCTGCTGCCACACCAGACAAAAACTCCAGAGGCTGGAACAGATATAGTCTGACATGGGAATTTTTAAGGTGTAAAATCCTTAAGGGAGTATGGGTCATGAAGGTTGAAAAGCTTAGATTATCTTTCTCCATTTGATTTGTTTATAGTCATAATTCTCACTCACAACGGCAATGCCTTTCCTAAGAGATGTGAGGCAGCCCTTCAAATGCACAGGCTAGACCTGCCCATCCCTTTCTTGTCTCCATGTGGATGTTTGCACTCTTGGCTTTTGGGTACCAAAAACCAAATGCTGTTAGCTCTGCAAACTAGCACTTCACAGAAGAGGTTATTTTATTCCTCATTCAGTAGGTTCCAGCCTCTTCAGGGCAGAAACAAGCCTTGGCTCCCAGACACCACACTCCTTCCAGAAGCTGCTGCCAAGACAATGCCAACCCCACTCGTCACAGCCCACACCAGCTTTCAAAGTCAGGGTGATAAGACTTTAAAAGCAGAGCTGTCTCAGGTGACAGCCTGTGGGGTAGTACGTTGTCCCCTTGTGCCCCAGCAATGACAGACACAATGCCTTCCTTAAAGTGCTTAAGGAAAACAGTAAAATACCCCCAGAGCTTTTGCCCTGGGTTTTGGCTGCCCATCTGAACACACAGAAGCCCTTCTCTAGCTGAACTGTCGTTCTCCATTTTTAATCAAGAAATTAAGTCGAAGATGGACTCAGAAAAATGATACTGCCTTTTTCCACTCAGACGACTTGAAAATTTTAACAGCTGGATGTCCCCATTCCAGAAACATCTGTTATCCTGGCTTTTAGACTAGAGTCAGTTTA